TAATTCTTCACAGCAGGATCGAAGGAAGGTCCTGGGAGGCAACATATCACAGGATGTGGGAGCAGCAGACAGAAACGATGCCTGTAAGACAGTGTTAGCCAATTAGTAACCAACAGAAGCACTTTAATATGTCTAAAAGATAGAAAAACAGAAAGGCATTATTATATGCCTTAAATTTTTTATCTAATGGTAAAAAACACACATGTTAAGATGAAGATTTCATGTCACTGAGTTGCTTTAAATTAAAATCAAAAGTATTTTATAAATCCCAAGGGGAAATTAAATAATGAATGATTAGCATTTTTTCAATCACTTCTGGAGGAAGATTAACAAGCAGCAGTCGTCAAATTAAAATCCTGGAACATAAATCTTATTATAAAAGCATAAAACTATTTTTTCTTTTGCACAAACATGAATATTTATAAAACTAAGCTTTTCGAATGCAGATGCCGATACTGATTATTTTGACCTTAGTCTAACTGCTCCAACATCTGCTGCTGATTCTTTCCCCCCTTAATTTAAATGGTAAAAAAAAAGGACACCGTGATAACAAATGTTAGAGAATGTTAGTCTCAATTTAAAACAAAACAAAAATATATTAAATAATAAAAAACACATGGACAATGGATAGAACATAGAGGAAGCAGCAAAGCATGCTTTTCACATGATTTCAAAGCAGGGCTGCTGAATGTACTAATAAATAATTGCAGATACGCTAATGTTGGCCAGGATATCAGCCGGCCGATGTATCAGTCCATCTCTAATTTATACCCCTTCAAATATAACAATTTGTCCACATTAGAACACAAGAAACAGTGAGCTTTATGTGACAAAGCAATGGGTCTGAAAAGTGTGCTGCAAGTATTTCAGGGTGTCTCTACTGCCTGACCCCCATTACTGTCCATTGGACTTAACAAAATAACTCAAGCTCATTCCAGTTGGATGGAGGGGGTTTGCAGAAACTATCAGGTCTGAACAGAGATAATTGTTTTATATTTGAACTTTGACTAGGCCATTCCACCACATACATTTGCTTTTATGTAAAATCTGCCACTATATCTCGTTGTTTTGCTGGAAGATGAACTTGTTTCTGCCGCCTCCTGACAAGACCAGTTTATTTATATAGCACAATTCAGTAGCTATATAAATAAACTGTGCTTTCCATGAAAAAGTACATTGAGATGATATAATTGCAACACAAATAATTATAGATACTAGGGATGCACGATATTGGGATTTTGGCCGATATCCGATATGCCGATATTTTAAAACTCATGTAGCCGATAACCGATGTTAAAGCTGGACAAAAATAAGTAGTCATTGAAAATAGCAGTTTTGTTATCCATTTCTGACACTTTGAAAAATAATATACTCAAATATATTTTCATATGCTGATATCAAATTGATTTTTAAAAACACAGTATTGATCTATTTTACTTTCAAAATCTCGTGAAATTTAATCGTTCTGTTACAAACTCTCGTGATATTTTGCAAGTTCTTGTTAGATTTTGTTAGTAAAATAGATCAATACTGCGTCAGTATATCAACTTATAAAAATATGGCAAAATTTTGTGAATTTTCGGGGGATTTCGTAGCATAATATAACAATATTTCATTAGTTAAAGAGATTGATATGGTGTTTTTAAATGGCAATATATCAGCATATGAAGATTTGTGATATTTTAATGTATCAGTATTTTTTCCCTCGTCTTTAGAAGTTTTTAAGTCTGTAAAAAAGAAGTTTTTGAGGAAGAAGTAGTAGTATTTTTTTTTTAGACTTTAGAAACTCAGAAGCTGATCAAATATCGGGTTAAATATGGGTGGGCTGGCCGATGTCCAATATTCAGTTTTAAGGCCGATACAGGCCGATACCGATAGGGGGCCGATTATTCGTGCATCCCTAATAGATACTAAAAAAAAGAATACTGCAAATAAGTCGGTTATATAAAAAAAGTTAAAATGAGTGTACTTTTTTTTTCTTGATTGTAAAAAAAAAAAATTCTTCAAGGATTGTCCTGAATTTAGCTCTATCCAGACTCCCACACACCCTGATCAGTATGACTTTCTATCTACCATTCTTCCAGATTGGTATAGATGTACAGCCATGTCGTGCTAGGTTTGCAGTAGTTTCATACTCTTTTTTTTAACTTTAGATGATAGGTTGAGATGCTCAAATCTAAGGATATTTTATTACAACTTAAACCTGCTTTCAAATTTCTCCCTAACTTGTCTGCTGTGTCATTGAGCTCCATAATGCTGGTTAATTTCAAACAAATATCTTTGAGTAGAAACATAACAGCTGCAGTTAAACTATTATGATAACTTCTGAAGTCAACTGGATGCATTGGATTTTATTTACTGGTATCAGATCTTTTTAGATTTTTATTTGTAGAAAATCTTGTATCTTTTAAAACTAAAACTCAAATGAAATTGAATTCAATATTCAATTCAGAAATATTTTTTTTCATTCCAAAGGGATATATAATATCAGTATACCAACCAGGGGCGATTTTAAAATCAGAGGTTTAGGGGTGCTGAGCACCCAGAGACCTATCTGGCCAGCCATGACCCAATTAGCTGTTTTCTACATAAACATTTTCTACATTTTTAAAACTTGCTCAGTGCCCTTTACCAATTACGCATTCCATCATTCACTAATGGATCCTATCTGAGGCTTTTGCCAAATGCCCAACAAAGAACTCATAAAGCAGGATTTGTTTTAGAAGAATATTCCAACCATTTGAATGAGTTTTCATGAAAGGCTCTTTTTTGTTTGACAAACTGAGTGAGTGGGAAGAGCAGTTCTGTTAAGGAGGTGTAGTCTTATCTACTAAATCAAAAGGCACATTTTAAACTTTCGTTTTGGAAAAAGCTTGTAGTTAGAGTGGCCCAGGTTATACAGAGCCATGTCTACAGTTATGCTGCTATAGGTTTGGAATGCTGGAGGACATAGGGACCCCTTTTTCATTCTGTCCCTCTATTCTGCCATTCCACAGATGCTCTCTCTGCTTTTTCTCATAATAGCTTCTTCTGGTCTGTTCCTGTTTGGCTGTTTTTGTTTGCTTTTTTGTTTAAAAAAATCCCATATAGTATACAACAACTAAGATTTTAGGGATGTTTTAGAAGTCCCAAAAAATGGGATAAAAACGCCTATGACAGCAGCTTAAATATGGAAGTTAATGTTGAAGGTGTAACTTCAAAGAATGGAGAAAATTTCAAGCATCTTGTGCAAGAAACCACAACAATATCTATTTCCTGTCTTATTTCTCTACCAGTCAAACTTTTTTTTAATTCAGTCTTCCACCTTAAAACAACTTGAGACTGAAATTCCTACAGAAGCAGACACTTCAGCAGATGATTTTTTGAATACCAAAAAGATTATGTAATGTAATTTAAAGATTTCCCTAAAATATTCAAAAAGGATTCCAAGTGAACTGTCAGCTATTTTGTCAGGTTTACTATCCTCTTTAAAATATGTACTGTTTTTTTTTTTTTTTTAACAGTGTCCTGGGTGCCAATAAGAATAATTGTCTTGATACCAAAAAGAGCCCAACAGATTTTACTTTCACAAGTGGAGCAGTATGTCTATTGCCATACTGTTCCGCTTGATTTATGCATATAAATAGCTTTATTATAATTCATGCAAGGAGTATTACAGATTATATGGACACTGATATTTAAATAGAACAGGAAAGGAAAAACAGAAAAAAGGAGAATATGAAGAAAGAGGCGATAAAAAGGAGATAAAGATAAAAAAAACTTCAGTCTGCTGCATCACTGGCAAAGAGATGTAAAAAGAACAGCACAACCAACGGACAGGGCACAAGATATACAATGAAGTAACACCTTGATAGTATGGCTGAAGTATAAGTAGTATTATTTAATAATAATAAAATATGTACTTTGAAAGAGATAAAACACTATTAATTCTGTTTAAAACTGAATTAAACATATATTCATATATATTATTATATTAATAATAATTATATACGAATATATATATATATAATTTAATAAAATATAATATATCATTAATATTATAATTATATATTAGTAATAATAATACTAATATTTTTCTTTTAGTTCTTCCTAGGAAGCTTATACTGTTGCACTGTACAGTGGCATATTCAGTTCCATTTCGTTTTATTCTTTAAATAAATAATGTTAATAATAAAGTGATAAATGTAACTATATCTTGCCTTCCCCCACGCCACTGCAAATCTGTAATCATTGTGGTGTTTAATTAAAGATAGAAATTTATGCATCTGCAACAGTGTCAACAAACAGGGAAAGCTTTTTTTTTATTATTCTTTTTTTTACAATTACCAACAAAATATTATTACCTTTTTACCGAGAGTAAAATTTGGATATAGGTTAATTTAACTATAACTATATGATACACGTTAGCGACCAACAGCTAAACAAACATTGCACCAAAGAACTGACACAGAAAAAGAAAACATGCTTCGTAGCTTAGAAAATCTTTAAAATTTTATACCTGCAGACGTTTGTTTTAATGTACCCTATACCTCCATGATTCTTCACTCTTCGTGTTATTTTTCTTTTTTCTCTACTTGATATAAAGGACGCTTTTATCCAACTAACCGTTTTTCCTCCTATTCCGGTTTCTACGTCACTCTGGTTGCTAGGAAACAGGAGATGTGTAGCAACTAAATGCTTCCCCCTTAGCAGCAGGTAGCAAGTTTAGCTAATTGCTATATATGAAGTCGACACACTTGATAACTCCTAAATGTTTGCAAAGGAGTAAAATAAATAAAAATGTACGACAAAAACTGACCGGAAAAAGGGTTACATTTAATCACACACACCAAAAAAATATCTGAAAAGGTTTATTTGAGTATGAAAATACAGAACACTGGTTCAGAAAGATAAATAAAAATTTGGTGTTGCAAGAAATGCTACTATGTTAATATAGTAAAATATATATATAATTATTTGTGAGACATTTTATTTAATTTTTCTTAAATAATAAACATATTGATGGAGACTTGGGAGTACTCGTCCATTGCTTTCGTCATCAGGGTCCTAGAGCCGACCTGACATCACATCGAGTCTCGCAGAAAAAGCTGTCATCTTTGAGGACTCTGTCTGCCAACTGTTTATGAGTCGATTCCGGTAAGAACTGCTCGTTTCAAGCTTTAAGGCATCCCTCAAGTGAATGCGAATTATTTTAGCGGCGTCCGCGCCTTAGATCTGCGAGTATAATCTCGGTCTAATTTCCGAAACCAGCGGTCCTAAAGCCAGCCATTTTGAGTCGGTGAAAATGGATAGCAATATGTCAGTTAGCGCCAACAGATACATACATGTGTCGCGCACGTCACCACACCGCCAGGTTTACAAGTATTGTGTTAATCGTAATAGCTGTGGTGTGCAGTGACAGTCTTATCTGCACTGTTGTCTCTGTGGCGCCGACTTCCTCAGTCATCAAAGCGGTTAGCTTATTGTCCCTGAGGTCCTAATGCCAGCCATTTTGAGAATAAATAAAAGCAAAGCAATATATTTCTGCGATTTTTCTTCCAACTGGTCTATCTGACGTCATGTAATACCATCTGCAAAATAAGCAAATTAATTTCTGCAGTTCTCATCTGATTAACACGTGTCCCTTTATTTCCTGAAGTAATAATTTTGTACTTATTGCAATTATTTTTTTTGATATGTTTACAGAAATGAAAATGGCCTCATCTGAGCCTGGCAGCCCACCTCCTGTAGAGCATTTTACTCCCACTGATAAAGATGATGACATTGAAGAAGAAGAGGAGGCAGTGAGAGATCAGCCTGTTAAAAAACGTGGCAGAGGCAGACCTCCAAAAGCCAAAGCCATCTTCAAATGCCCCACATGCACAGAGACTTTTAAAAGCATTTCAGCTCTGCAGAGCCACAAGCTGGCAGCACATGCAAAGCAGCAGCATGCATGTTCTAAGTGCAGTAAGACGTTTTCAAGTAAAGCTCAGCTCTCCAAACATGAACGCACCCACTCATCCCAGCGCCCCTTTCAGTGTTCCGAATGTCATAAGGCTTACAAGACGTCCACAGAGCTACGCAACCACAGCCGCTCTCACACTGGGGAAAAACCTTTCGTATGCACAGAATGTGGTAAAGCCTTCATGCAAGCCATATGTCTGAGGATCCACATAACGCAGCACAGTGGAGAGCGTCCTTACTCATGTAGTGAGTGCTCAAAGAGCTACCCTACTCTGTCTAAGCTGAAGGTTCATGAGCGCTCCCACACAGGAGAAAAACCATATATCTGTGCTGAATGTGGTAAGAGCTTCGCTGATCCCTCTGTATTTAGGAAGCACAAAAGAAACCACCAGGGACACCGGCCATACGCCTGTGAGGAATGCGGGAAAACGTACACAGAACTGAAAGACCTAAAAAACCACGAGCGCTCCCACACCGGGGAAAAGCCTTTCCTGTGCTCGGACTGCGGCAAAGCTTTCTCCCGCTCCTCCTCCCTGGCGTGCCATCAGCGCATCCACTCTCAGAATAAACCCTATCAGTGCGAGCAGTGTGGGAAAGGTTTCACCCAGCTGTCCTCCTACCAGTCTCATCTCCGCACTCATTCAGGAGAGAAACCCTTTCTCTGTCCCCAGTGTGGCAAAATGTTCTCTGACCCGTCCAGCTTCCGGCGTCACCAGCGTGCCCACATGGGATTCAAACCTTATCCCTGCGACAAATGTTCCAAACGCTTCCGGCAGCCAGCTGACCTCGCTGTGCATGAGCGTGTTCACTCTGGGGAGCGGCCATATAAATGTCAGAGCTGCGACAAGGCCTTTGTGGCCTCCTGGGACCTCCGGCGCCACATGCTTGTCCACACAGGTCTCAGGCCATTCTCATGCACAGAGTGCGACAAGTCGTTCACCGAGCGCTCCAGCCTCAACAAACACAGACGTGTGCACTCTGGAGAAAGACCTTTCAAATGCGAGGAGTGTCTGAAGTCTTTTGTGGTGTCCTCCAGTCTGCGGAAACATGAGAAGATTCATCTTGTGGAACAATATGAACGGCAGCAGGAGGCTGATTCAGCCAACACATCCACCTCTGGTTTGACTCCCCTCACCACTCTCCCTCAGTACTCTTGTTCTCACTGTGAAACCACCTTTTGTTCATGGAAAGAACTTCAGACCCACGAAAATCTTCACTCCACCGACCCTAGCTCGACGCAAATCTGTGGAACCTGCGGCGACGAGTTTGCACAGCTGGAAGACCTGGAGGAACACATGAAGCAGCACATGCAGCTGAGGCCGCATATCTGCGACAGATGCGGAAAGGGATTCCTCAACAAATCAGGGTTGCGGAAACACCAGAAGACCCACTCCGAAAACAAACCCCACAGCTGCCCCCAGTGTGGCAAGGCCTTCCTGTTCGCCGCCTACCTTCGCAAGCACTTACGAACCCATATAGACAATGCTGCCCCTTCAGACCCAGCAGCAAGTGTTGATGACCTTAAAATTATTCACACAGAACCACTTCCCTCGTCCTCACCTGCCAGTGAGGTGTCTGCCTCAACTGTTGAAGCAGCTTCCCTATCTCTGACTGTACCTGTAACTTCTTTTCACAATCTCTCAGAATACTTGGTCAAAGATGATTGATTAAATTTTTTCATTAAAAAAATTAAAGCCTCTTGCACTTAAAATGTATTAGATTGCATGTATATGTAAAAAAAAAAAGTCTTAACTTATAGAGGTTGCTCATTCAGATATCTGGCTATGATTTCTGTAATAAATCTGTTCCATCATATACCTTTAATATATCCTACATCTTTAAACCATTTGAACTGATAACGAGTTTCTTCAATTAACCAAAAAAATTGTCTGCTCATATATTCCTTCAATATTTGACATTTTTTTAAATGTACTTTGTTAAAGCAGTTTCACTATTTTAATGTTTTACCATTATTATTGTTATTCAAGTAGTTGCAGTGGAGGAAGGTTCACTGTGAAGCAGTTTTATATCAATAAAGTATAAAAAAGATTTTTTTCCCAACTAAAACTTTTGTTCAGTTTATGTTGAAATTATTTTAATTTTGAAGTAATTTTACATTGGGTTCATTGTTCGTAACCAAGGTTAGGCAGATATTCACTTATATCCCTTGAAGGTTTGGATTTAAATATGTATATTTGAATCATGTATGTATATTTAAATATATATATGTACAAAGGGTATTATGTTTTTTTATGTAGCAATGATAAGTTTCTCAGTAATTAAAAGGCTTTATTTGCAGCAAGACAAATGTTTTCTTTAGTTATTTTGATGGTTACCGTTGTCCTAGTTTAAAGCTCCCTACTCAGGTTCATTTAAGTCGGGACTCTGGACTGCTTCAAAAATATTACAATCAGGAAAAAATCCAATACATATATTTAGGAGTAAAGGATCACTTTGAACCTAAGTTACAAGAAGGTATGAATAATTTTGAGCTCTGTTTTAAAAAAAATATATAAAAGCAAATGCATTGGCAATAACTGTTTATGATTTTTGCTTTGAAGGTGACAGATTTGTTCTTAAAAACAGTAATTAGCTTTAATGTTCCTGTGCATTTTAAAAGGTTTTCCACACTTAACTCTACATCAAACCTAAAAGTCAAATGTTTTATTATTCCAACAACATTTCTGAAGTAGGCTACATGGATCACCAGCAGCAGCATATAAAGGCGGTATCTTATCTTGCAATAAAAGACATAAGGGCTACTGCCCCCTAGGAGTATGTCCTTGGCCCATCCCTTTGTGTACAAGGACTTCACCTCAGCTGATCAATCACTGAAACCTACTAAATTTGTAGACATCACTGTCATCAGTCTGATCCCCGAGGTTGAGGAGTAGAGCAGCAGACCCCACACCTGCTGGTCAGAAGCAGATCAGACATTTACTTCCAGCTCGGCGCTATGAGGCCGACCTGAACCTGTAATAACAGAAATGCAGGAAAAACACTTGTTTATTCATTGCTTTATAAGTAATAATTTCCTGAATGACGTCCACAGGTGATCGGGTAATGAAATTTAATGGATTCTGGCGATTTAAATGCGAAGATATGAGTTTTTACTAAATCTATTCTTGTGATGGAAATTTCACTTTTGATTAACATTATATTTAGTAAATGCCATATTCATAAAAATAAATGAAGACTACTAAATCTAATCTGCTTTAAAAATGAATGCAACATTCTTTGTCTTAATGAGATGTATAAAACTATCATTAAACCGTTGACATCATTTGTAATACTGCAAAAACAGGTTTCACCCTGTCAATTTTTATTTATGATTGTCTCTGTTCAACTGTATCTCACCTTTGTTAATATGGTTAATATAAGTGCCTTGCCCTGTTTGATTTGTCTCTACGAGAAGTTCAAATAAAGTATGATGGAAATAAAAAAAATTAGCTACCATAAAGACTCTGATGGACAGCTAACAGACCGACTAACCATATCGGTACCATGCATATATGCATCAATTCAACAATAACTTTCTCTTTTATGCAATTGTATATTATTTTCAAGAAATATTTATAATTCCTTTTTATGCTTAAATGTTTTTCGCTGCTAAGAAGTGGAACACAGGTCAAATTCCATGTTCGTGTTGCAAACTTAGTGAAAACATTAGAATCCATTTAACAGGATGTAAGAATGCATAAAGATATGTTGTGCAAAGCCATTATAAAAATAAAGGGAATTGTAGTGAATTCATATTTAAGAAAATCGCTTTTATAAAGTTGAGCTGTTTAAAAATGTTAAACTGCAAAATATGTAGAGATGCTGAAGCACTCAGCATCACTACAGTCTGACTGAAGCCTTGTCCAAATATTTTCTGCTCTCCCAGCACACTGAACAAAGGTCCATACAAATGCTTCCTAGACATCTGTTCAGAGTTACGTGTTGGTTTAACGATGGCTGCTCCACATAAATCGATGCATATTTATGTTTTGGCCCAGCAGCCATCATCATAATGTGCTTAATCCTATTTCACGTGTAGTCCATTCAGGTTCCTGGTTTTGGAAGGCAGGAAACCGTTTTGCAGAAATTTAATTTATGGCATTTGCATAATCCATGTGTATTTGACTGTTTTTCAATCTAGTTTTATTTTTTGCATGTAAACAACCTACATCGCTTAAGATTTACTTCTGCTCTACAATCCTAATAAAACTCTCGGTGTTAGCTGCATAGTGATGCTGTGTAATCTGCTGTATCGTGTGATGGTCTGTGCACAAATATTTAAGGTTCAGAGCCCCTGTAGTAAAAAAAAAAAAAAACATGTCAGAAAGAAATGGTCATAGTTTAATGTATAACTCATTTATTTTTTGCTCCTATAGAAAGCCAGTGAGCTAAAGCCTGTATGTAACATTAAACTCCTCCATTCATGGATGTCTGGCTGTTTCTAGCGAGGTAAAGAGAGGAGGGACTGGTGTTCATCCTTCAGTGAAATGGACTTCCTGTTGCTGTGCTTCATGGTGAAGAGCAGCGCTGCACCCGCGTCTGTTAGAGACTGGTGGGAGGAGAAAAATTCAAGTCAGAGCTAAACAAAACAGGCATTTAGCGTAACCTAAAAAAAAGGGCACGATTTACCTCCGAGTCAGACATAATACTTTTCCGCTGAGGAGGAAAAAAATGACATTTAAAGGTTAGCTTTGAAAAAATATATAAAATAAATAGTATGTATTAACAGCAAAACTCACCCTTGTTAGATTCTGTATGTTATTGTTTATAGACTTCATGGTTTTAACCCAGTTTTGGTACGTCTGTTCATCCTCTGCACTCTGATTATGCTCTCTGCAAACACATTTAAATACATGCTGAATGTGAACACCAGGTCTCATTAGATGCCTTTGTGTGATCTGAGCATGAAGTAGCCACCCACTAATGCTGCCGTCAGTCGCAGCTACCTGCTGTTACTCACATTGCTCTTTCAATAAGCTTCTGCTGCAGAGCTCCCTCCTTCCAGGCGTCCAGGAAGCGGCCTCGGACAGCCAGGGCGGCACTGGCCTGTAATGAGTTGAGCTGAATGATGGCCAGAGAGAGGGAGGACAGAGCCGCTGAGCTGAGGAGGAGGATCACAGCATTTTCAGGATAAAAAACCTCAGCAACATGTTTGTCGTTTTACTGCTTTGTAAGCGCACACTCAGCCTAGTTATATCTGTGCAGAAGATGAATTACATGACCTTCAATCTGTGAATGAGGGAGATTAGACTGAGTGGTTCATTCTCTAAAAATATTAGCATGAATGGGGAATTAGAAGCAGCCCTAATGTCTATATGATCATGTCTACACTTAAAAAAATGAAATAATTTCTTAAAATGAGTGCATTTGTTCTTGAATTGACCAGGTAAGTGAGATACTTTGCCAACACAACCAGAAATTTACATGTAAAATAAGAAAAAAACAATTGCATTGTCTTATTTTAAGTGCATATTATCTAATGATCTTATTTTTAAAAGTAGAAATACCAATTCAATTGGCAAATCATTTTATTTACCTACTCAAATTATGGGCAAATACACTTAATATAAGAAATGTCCATAACTTATAAAGGCTGATGAGAAGTGAAACTCTGAAGCTCTTCAGGAAAAATTGTATTTTCATAAGTAAATGCATCAGTATCACCTGTCGGCGGTGACTTCTTTCTCTACAGTAAACACTCTGAGCAGAGCCTGTCCGTTCTTCCTGTATCTGATCTGAAGCTGCATGACGACACGGCTGCCAGAGGCTGGTGCCACAACTAAAAGGGAGCACAGAATAAACACCAATGAAGTGACGACACAGAATTTTTCCAATTTCTGGATATTGGGTTACACAGATCTGAACATACAACTTAAGATAAAATATAACCAAATATTAGAAACAAAGAAAAGGCACAGTGATTCGGTTTTCCAACAGTGGGCCGGATCTATCAAAGGTTTGCGTGTATAAAAATGTGAGCTATTACGCACGCTAAAAAATGTACAAACTGATCTATCAACAGCGTGCTAAAAGGATTTGGTCTTTAAAACCTGCTAAATAGCTCCTCTTATCCATTTAGTACTTTTTCTGCAATGAATATGCAATATGGGGCGTTTACACGCAAAAGTGCGTCTTGTGGGAGGAGAACATGTAAATATATTAATTTAGCACTCGCAAAGTGATTTATCAAACCTGAAAACAATTTTGCTAATGGTATCTGACTCTATATTTAACATGTTTCAAAAGAAGGTGCAAATGGTCTGTATGCGTAATTGCGCACACATGGCAGCGGTTATTGTCGCAAGAAGAAGACATCGAAATGAAGCAAGAAGACGCAGAGAACACATTTTTTCACTCCGTGTGAATATTTTTGGAATGAACGAGGAAACGATCATCAAAACATATCGTTTATCCAGCATTGACATTTTGGAGCTGTTGGGGGGACTCCGAATGGATTTGGAGCCAGCCACAAGGAGGACCCACGCAATACCAGATATCACAAAACTCCTTGCAACATTGCACTTTTTTGCATCTGGGTCATTCCAGCGTACGGTTGAAGCGAGAGCTGGGATCTCCCAATCTCGTTTTTCAGAAGTGCTGTCCGACGTTCTAAATGCCAAGTCGCCCTGACGCCCTACCGGAGAACCCCGACCTCTCTCCTGCGCCTGTGGAGCAACATGCCAATGCTGCGGGGATGCGTACGTGCAGTAATCTCATCCACAGTCACTTCTTGTGAGCCATTTGGTATGTGCATTTTTCTACAGGCCAATACAAAACACCAGTTTTTTTTTTTTTTTTTTTTTTTTACTGCAGTGAGGTAGAAATTCAGCCACATACCACCTTAGGGAATAAAGGTTGCCAAAGTGTGTGTGTGTGTATATATATATATATATATATATATATAGCCCCTCGCGCAAAATTCCAGTTTGCGAGCGCAAATTACTGCACGCAAAATTGGATCTTGATAAATCCGGCCCAAAATCTCCAAATTATTGTCCGAATTTTTCTCTGTGGGACTGCACACTGTAGCGGTGGGTAGCACTGCTGCCTAGCAGCAAGAAGTTTCCAGGTTCAATTCCCAGCCTGGGTTCAATAGCTGGCCTGTGGTCTTTCTGCATGGAGTTTGCATGTTCTCCCCATGCATGCATGCATGGGTTCTGCCTGGGTACTCCGGCTTCCTCCCACAGTCCAAAAACATGACTGTTAGGTTAATTGGCTTCTCTAAATTCTCCTTAGGTGTGAGAGTTTGTGTGTGAATGGTTGTTTGTCTCTGTGTTGCCTGGACTGGCGACCTGTCCAGGGTGTACCCCGCCTCTCACTTATTGACAGCTGGAAATAGGCACCAACACCCCTCATGACCCCAGCAGCAGCAGCATGATGGAAAATGGATGGGTGGTTGTTTTACTGTGGTTCACTTGAGCCCTAGATATTCCCCCTTTTTTGACATCGTTGAGCCTGCCTTATCAGAAAGCTGCATTTTTAGTGATTTCTTCTTTCTGCTGCTGTGGCATTAAATTGAGGCCAGGGAAAGGGAACCAGCCTTTCCAAAAACTGTGGTTCATTGCAGTTAATTCATATGACAGTAGATTGTTTCTTGGCAGTTTCATTCAGCTATGACCTTGTTTTCAGGTGGCAGCCAGACAGATTTAGAAACAATCTTGGACAAACTAAAACACCCCCCTGTGTAGCCAAGTGGCATTGATTACAGGGTCCATTTTCTTATTTCTCTTCCTTTTACATGAATACACCCTGCCTCTCACCTCAAAGTGCTGCTGCCACTGTGATTTCAATGTGAGAACTGAAGTGTAATTTTCTGGCAACAAAAGAAATTTTCCACATCATGAGGTCTTCTGGCAGCTCATACTTCGCACTTTGTGCAATCAACCTTTAGATTTGTTTGAAAGCGAATGAAATAAAGCTAATTCTGTTTTATTATTATTTTTTTCCACCTTCTGTGTCTTCACTTGCTCCAAACTGGACGGTGATCTCAGTATCGATGCTCACATTCCCCACCTCTCTGGTCCCTTTGTGTCCCGCCTCCCTCTCTCCTTTTATCCGCCTGCAGCAAACAGAACATGAGTCAGTACCGTGGGCTTTATTATTACTGCAATTTGAAGGTATTAAAATATTTTCTGATGACAAGAACCAATGAATCATGTAGTAGCACTGTGTTTATTGCAGCTCTTACTTACAGAGATTTGGGCACCAGTATGGTTACTGCACAGTGTGTAGCTATGGTCCTGTTTTGAATTATCTCTTCAAACTCTGCATGCAGCTGGTTGGGATTCGCTATTACTACCTGGATACAGGACAAATGAATAGAAGGGAAATAAATCGATGCCTATGTTTAAGAGATTCAAAACCAACCCAGCTTCTTACTTTCCCTCCAGTGCGATCTGCCAGTCTTCCCAGTTCCTCCAGCCGGCAGTCAGTTCCTTCAATAGACAGCACGGACATGGTCACTCTGAAGGAACAAGGATATTTCTTCACCATCATGTGGATAACCCAAAGAACAACACAGATGAAGGTGTCAGTGCTATGGAGGTGGCATCCCCCATATTCTCTGATGTAGTTTGTTAAAACATGACCCTATTTAGAACAGAGACTTGATAAACTAGGATGGCCCTAGGACACAGTGCAGGAGGTGGGAGAGAGAAGGACAACATAAACAGCAAATGTTTTCCACCCCATGCATTGAGCAGATCTGGTGGGCTCCTTCAGGAAAGGCTGCTCCGTTCTAGGTGCACGATAGAATACCATCAGAGATCCCACTTTCCAGCAGCTGTAGGAGTTTATAAACATCAGTGCTCCCAAAACCCATTAATAAAAGGGTTTATAGCTCTGTTTTCTTTGAAGACTTATTTTTCCCTATTTTGTAAATAGTCTTTTTATGCAGACATGAATGCTGACATTTGTAGATTTTGTAAATTAAACTATTTCATTAATCTATGTTTACATTTTGTAATAACTGTTATGTTAAACATAAAGATGGGACATTTTCTAGAGGCTACTTGTTCTCTAATTAAAACCACTATGGTCAGATTAATCTGAGATCAAGTTATTTGTTGGACGAAAGCTTAAAAAATGTTAACATTTTGCATATATTTTTGGGAAGAACAGAGAAGGTGGCAACAATACACATTTCCCTTTTTAGAAAAAAATCTGAAAATCTTTTCTAAATGTTTGGAAATTGGAGTTTTTGAAAAGGCATCTAAAATGCTAATCCAATTTAGTTTCTTAGCAGCAATCGGTTCCACAATCATCACTAAAATTAATACACAGATGGTTCAGCCGACAGAAAATCAACCTTCTACCTGAGCCATCTGTGTCCCCAGAACCAGGTCCAATCAGAGACCTGTGAGGTTATCTGTCTGACCATCCAGACAGGACAATTCAAACAAAATGTTGCAGAAAAGGTTTTGGAAAAATAAAGTTGAAAAAAAGTATTTCCAACAGGGTTGCTAACAGATGTTAACAGTGTTTCTTGTCTAAAATCAGGATTTCTGTGAATGACCAGGCTATGTGCACTAACCCCTGGTTAGCGGCATACTCTCCAAGGTCCTTATAGAAGATGGTGGATGAGAGGAGGGTTCGAGCATCATTGTCCTCTTCTTCTAGATTTCCTAGTTTTGCGTTGGCTTTTCCGTCTGTACAGATAATGACCTTCAAGATCCGAAGAATTAACAAATCAATATTTTACAGTAGAAAAAAATGACACTGGCATGAAAATATATCCCAGAGAGGTGTAATAGGTTTAGTGTTTCTACATAATTCTGTTTGTAGGAGAAATTTTGGGGAAAAAATTTGATGTAGCACAGAGAACTGAGGATGAACAGACAAACATTACAAAAAAAATTGGATGGCAGAATTTTATTGGCAGATTTTGTCTTTGAATCCCAATGATTTCTTTTACAAGAGTTCTTTTTATGCATCAAATAATTAGCTCAAGGCAAAATGATTAAAAAGTTTTTAACAATTTTGATATTACTACTGTTCTCAGCTAAAGACACGTTTTACAGTCTTTATACCAAAGTTAACGATTAAATGATACCAAAGCTAATGATTAATCGATTACTTAGTTGTAATCGATTAATCCGATTAGTTGTTTCAGCCCAAATTAAGATTATTTTTGCACTTTGTATGCTGGGATTATAAATGCTGCTAGACCCAGAGATTTCCATACACCTACATTTTCCAGTTTCAGAAATTGTTTAGATTTGCTAAATGCCAAATGAATCAGGTTAAAATTTGTTGTATAATTTTCCTATTAATTGATTCAAATGAAATTGAAATTCTAAGCTTGAATAAAACATTTAGATGGACGTGGAAACATCATTGGAATATATAGCCATCATACTATTCAGGTAGAACATGGGACACTTGTCCCACAGATGAACGGGTTCTGGTACAAACTGTGAAAAAGAAAAACCCAGAGCAAAGGTTGAAGACCTTGTGTACTGTAGATGCTGCTGGAGCAATTAGACAGTCAGTATTTACTCCACTCAGAGAGGAAGAAGCCATTACTCTGATAGTAACATTTCAAAAATCTTATAGCGAAATCAGCTTTCATATTCACTTAGGGACAAAGAATTTACTGTTGGACACATCTACTCTGGTTTATTTAACGTTAAATTTAAGTCTTTGGACATAACAGCTAAAGAACTGAAAGGGTGTGTCTGAGGCACGGTCGTCGACAGACCCGACCCAGTTACACCGGTTCTGTCAGGAAGAAAGGGCCACACTTCTAGCAAATAATTGTGAGATGCCTGAAGAAGGAAACCCGCAACATCTGAACTAAGTCGAGAAAATCATCAACTTCTATATAAAGACAGTTAATTATTTGATTTGTTTCAAACAAAGATATTTTAATAGTACTGTAACTCACTTTATTCTTCATCTGAGTCACAAAATTAGTGAATCCGAGATAATCCTTCTTACTCACTCCTGTTGTCAGCGGTTATAATGTAATTCCCATAAGCTTTATGCAATTAATTGTTCAAGACAAGACTGACACCTGAATGCACTAAAACAGATTTAAAAAGAGCATCAATTAGAAACTGAACCTACCTTAGAGCCTGGTAGTCGGGAGGCCATTGTAATTGCAAGGAGAGCAGCTGGACCCAGAGCTGTTTCTCCATTTGCAGATAATCTGAAGATTAAAATGACATCAAAAACACATAAACATTGATAAATGGTATCATTTTAATGAACAAAACAAAACATAAAAGGAGATGGGATCACATTAACGTGTGCTTACCCTAGAATCTGCCTCTGTAAGCAGTCTTTGGTTTGTGAAAGTGGGGGAGGAATTGGAAACTCTGCTGCAGCCTCTTTCAAAAAGCTGCTGTCATTCAACTCAGCACCACTGAGAAGCTGTGATTGATGATGATTGCTGCCATGCATTGTGACCTAGAGATAAATAGAAGGTAATATTGTTTATGGGATCGGAAAGAAGACTTAGATGAATCCTTCTACAATGTGATAATAAACATACCTGGTAGTTGAAAGTGATGAGTCCAACTCGAACATCAGGCTGTTGGTCACTTAGTTTCTGAACGCATTGCAACACAGCTTCTTGAACAAACTAGATTAGTTCAAAACAAATAAAAAGAAACCCAGTTTTGAATAAATTGGATTTGATTTTGATACCTGGGCAAAAATTTTGCTTTTCTCTTTCCTTTAATATACATTCTTATAGTACCATCAAGATTCTATGTGTAGTTTTCATTTATGAACTGAGGAATTAGAACATAGTTCACCTTCAGTCTGGATCTGTTGCTGTTCTGTCCCCCTTCCAACACCTTGAATAAAGTAGAGATGCCACATGTGGATTTCTAAACGCAGCCTATAAGACCATGAGAGAAGAATCGAATCAGGTGTTGTACCTCAGAGGTGATGCTCATTGAGCCTGACGCGTCGATGCAGAAGAGCAGCAGGGAATCAGCAGCAGGCAGCCGCTGTTCTTCAGGGTTAAGCAGAAAGAGTTCATCTCTCTGAGTACTTAGAGGACTCTTCGGCCCACCGGAGGGTCTGGTCAAATCACCACTCTGACAAATGTAACACACTTCAACCTATAATGAGGCAAAGAGCAGAAGGGCATCAATCTCTAAATGCTTTTCTCATGCATTTCATGTTAAGAGGACATGCCGTTTATTTAGTTTGGGGGAAAAAGGTGAAAATAAGGTGATACTTTGGTTTCTGTGTTTTATCAGTAAAAACCGGGAAAGTGTGGTGTGAAAAAAAACCTTTGTAGAATCACCTTTACTGCAGTTACAGTAATTTTGAGTTACATCTTGATCAGCTTGAACATCTGCATACTGAAACCATTGTTCACTCTTCTTTGCAAAACAAACTTGTGCTCAAACAGATTATATGCTGATGTCACCACCATGTACAGAGTATGGATAGTGTGTTTATGGCGTTGGACCGCCTTAGATTGCTGCCAAACATACAATTTTGAATGCAAGCAGAAAAGTTGAACCATACTTGATATGCCTTTCTTCTTACCATTGGCCTTTTGGTTGCTTCTCTTAAAATACTCAGTCTAGGTGGATGACCATGTTTGTTGTTTATGTTCAAAGGTTGGGATGTTTTTTTTAGAAAACAACTTTGTCCACAATGTCCTCCCTGACCAGTGCAGTGGGCTCCTTGGCTTTTGTGGCAATGGTTAATATCTAAAGAACTTATTACTAAAGTTGGAGTCATGACTCTTATTTAGGGTCCTTGATCAACCAGTATGGGGCTTTGAGATGCACTTCAGAAATTAAACTAAACAATAAATATTAATATTAAAGAGCTTAAAGGTATGAAAGCATAAAAAACAAAAAACAAAAAATAGATACTATGGTTACTGATGCCATTTCTAATATTTTTAGACGTGTGGTTGATTGCTTTTGAAGAAATGTCTGAATACTCAACCAAAAGTTTATGCCACCATTTTGTGGCTCGGAAGCTGAAGATTTTGGTAATCTCTGCTCTGGCGAACCAAAAAAAGAACTGCTGCCTTTATGCTTAGATCATCTATCTATGCCTCCTCATTCTATCTGAGATGTGGATGCAAGGGAAACAGGTCCAATAGCTAACCCCAGGTATCCCTCTCCCCATTGAGAACCTCCATCTTATTCTTGGGGACTCCAGGGTCGTGTAGAAAGAGAGCCAACCAGGGGGTTCCTGATCAGATGCCGTAAATATCCATGTTTCCATCAACGTTTGTTATTTGCATTTTGTGTATTGTGTATTGCATTGGAGGGAATTGACTGAAACAACAAAATTTGAATCAACTTTTACAAAATTTTGAGAATAGTTTTTATGCTCGCTTGAGGTTGTTTTTAGAAAAACTGGTATAAAAAGTAAAAGCAAAAAACATTTGGTGAATAAGATTTGAAGAATCAAAAACGTACCTAACATGAATGATTCTAATTTTCTCCATTGCTGATCTGTGGTCGGTGCTAGCTTGTTACATCTACTTCCTGTTTATTACAGCCTAGAATGACCTAAACTTATGACGACATTATGCTTTGCATGAGGCTGCTCAGTGATGCAGTGGGTAGCACGGCTGTCTTGCAGTAAGAAGGTTCCGGGTTCGAATCATGGCCCTGGGTCTTTCTGCATGGAGTTTGCATGTTCTCCCTGAGTATGCGTGGGTTCTCTCTGGGTACCCCGGCTTCCTCAACAGTCCAAAAACATGACTATTAGGTTAATTGGCTTACTTAGGCGTGAGTGTGTGTTTGAATGGTTGATTGTCTCTGTGTTGACCTGTGATGGACTGGTGACCTGTCAAGGGTGTACCCCGCCTCTCGCCTGTAGACAGCTGGAGATAGGCACCAGCACCCCTGGTGGAAAATGGATGGATGGATGCTTTACATGGCCTGGGTAAATAACACCAATGGAAAAGGATATGTCTAATGTGCCTTTTTTCCCTAATATTTTAAACGTTTGCTAAAAATTCATATAGCATTTAGTTAGAACCAAGGTTAATGACTCCTTTAGACACGAATAAGCAGCTACTTTACGGTGTTCTCCCCACAGATGCGAGATTCTCTAAGCCCATTATTAGGAGGAAGCTCCTTTCAGCAGCTTATATTCGGGATTTCATTCCTTCTGTCAAGATTCGGCTCTTGTGACCAAAGGTGAGAGTCGGAACGCAGACACACCTGTAAACACAAGCTTTGTTTTGTAGGGCACTGTTTTCTAACTTTAGCAGTTGACTCTACCTCATTATTTTAAAATATTATTCATAAATCCAAGCTGCTGTGATGGAAGTTTGTTGCACTACATTTTATTAAGAATATAAAAAAAGAGGGCTTCTTAAAGATGCCATTCACACTTTTCCGGTTAATTTCTGTGTTTCTTTGTAAGTTTGTGGTCAAAGTAAAGGTTACCTGTAATGCAAATACCTCATCTTTCTGCCAACTGTCCAACACTGAGCCGCATCGTGAGCAGGACACCGGTTCTCCAAGTGTGGGCGCCTCTGCAAAAAAAACCACATGGAACATCATCAGGTATGCAAATAGGATAAAAAAATCATGTCAGATGACTCATGCTGATAAAATTCACCAACCTCTCTCCTCTGAGAGCAATTTTCCTAAACTGATAAGAACAACATTAGGATTTCCTGGCAGAGGCCCCTTATCTGTTTCAGAAAAGCGGAAAAACACATGCATGAAAATGTGAATCTGTTGTCCTTTAGCAGTTTAACGTATGCCATAATAATTACTGTATCTCTACCTGTAGACAGTGGTGGCTTGGTTAAGGGAGGTGTCTGAGCGGTTGTAGGAGGTGAAGCAGGTGAGGGTAGTACCATCACATATTCTGGTGTAAGACTCATAAACGAAGGTCTTGGAGGCAGAGGTGGACCTGGTGGTTTAAGATGAGAAAGAAAACCAGCAGGATTACCTTTGAGTTCTTCCAGATTAAAAAATGATAATAAAAATGTCTTACTTGGTCCAGACATGATTCCACATTCAGGGCGGACCTTCACCTTACCACTTGGACCTTCTGGTAATGTAAAGGAGTAAAGATTATCTGCTGGATGCATGTTGGAATCAGCCTCATAATTCGGTTGATCATAATCCGGCGTCTGACTGTTGGCATCAGAAGAGGCATGGGGCTGTGCAGGGTTTTTGTTAGAATCGGTAGTCGCCGTAGATCTCACAGTCAATGGCAGAAGGGCTGTATAGGAGGGAAAAAAAACACAGAAAGCATTTAATAGAAATAATTCAAACATGCCACGAAGAATTGAGGCAGTTCTGAAGGCAAAAGGGGGTCCAACCCGTTAATAGCATGGGGTACCTAATAAAGTGGACCGGCGAGTGTACGTCTAATCTCAAATCAGTTTACAGTATAGAGTTACACAATAGAGTTTTTTTCTTCTTCAGTTTTTCAGGTAAAACTGAACAGACTGAAATTATTTTTTTGATGGAGTTTTTCCTTTGTGTGTTTCAATTTCTGTGTTGAAACTTTAACCTATACTCTGCAAGTTTCCACATCAGTGTGTGCCATTATTTGAAAACAAGGCCACTGGGGGCTTTGCTTAGTTACTCTGAAGAGGAATCTAAAACTTGGAGTATTTTAGAAAGAAAAAAACAAACAACTGAAAGGAGTGCAGCACAGACTGAGACCCAGGAACTTCTGCATCAGAACATTTTAACAGCAGTTACCAGGACAGAAGAGGTCCCCAACAACTTGAATATCAGCAATGTCTGGAGGTATAAATGCATTAGGGAGAGCAGCATTTTTTTTTATTTTGCCTGCAGCTCTCCATGGGTTGCATTGAGAGGGAGAAATTGAACATCTTCACCTTGCCAGGCGATTAAAAGAATGTGTCTTTGAGGAACCCGTGGATCCAAAGTAAAGGTTTGGTGTGCTGTTTGTATATCTGGTGATCATACCCCAGCCTAAAAGTGAGAGCAGCTGCCTGAAACTGACTGAGAAGAAAATAATCTGATCACAGATTCTCAGAGGAGGAAGAGAGTTATCTTTCCACTGCCTGAATAAAAAAGTCATCTCCTTAACTGGACACAGGCTTCTGGTTTGAGAACAACTGCCACATCCTCACTGTTTATTGGACCTGCTGAACGCAACCTACTTCTGCTATTCCTGAGAGCGGTTCACAGTCAGAGGTAGTGGCGCTTCTGTCATTGGCTGTGCTTTAAAGTAAATCTAAAAAACAACGTTGGTTTGTTGACATCATTTCTGCTTTTCTCCTCACCAAGTCACAGAGTTACTCATAACTTTCAGCACAGTCACCCACACTTTAATTACTCTCAAGTTTGTTCATCTTTGAAGCTTTAAAAGAAACAAATAAGAAATAACAAAAACACATAACTCCAGGTTTAGTTGGAATGAAATGTTCACTAATAGCGTCAGTTTCTCTTTACCCGTCTTTTGAGAAGGTGGCATCAATGGAGAACCTGCTCCTACGGGGGAAGAAGCTGCCTCTGCTTTCCTGGAAACTTCTGGAAATTTGTAGAAGAGCGAAAAGGGCTTTGGGATCCTGACCTCCCGGCTTTTTTCCAGCTGTGCAGGTGAAGAAGCAGCCGACTGATCTGCTTTGAGTCTTGGATCTACTGTTTGGGTGGGAGGAGGAGGAGGAGCAGTACGAGGACGGATGGGTTTACCAGGAGGAAGGAGCGCTAAAAAGAAAGAAACATGTCATTATAGCTCAGCTCTCCATGTTATAGACAAAACACATAAATAAGAAAAAAAAAATTAAATTTTGCAGTAGTTTTCTTATTAAAACTGAGTGTTTAATCATCAGCAGCATGCATAGAACACCCAGTTTGGAAACTCAAAACTAAATCTCAGAAAGCTGAAGCTGAGATCACTTTTCACCTTCTAAAAAAACTTGAAACTAAAAAAAAACAACAAGCATTTGAAATGCTTGCCAGAAAAACCCTGCATTTTCACATTTATTCAGTTGAACATGAGTTAACCTTGCCCCCCATTTTTGAAAACAAAACCCATCCCGTATAACTATTTTGACATCGCCTTGCAAAAGTGTACCAAATAAAAACTTTTCCTAAGATTTGTCAGAGTTAAGATGGATAAAAAAAATTGTTACCGTACTTTGTTTTGGTCTGTCACAGAAAATCCTAATAAGCATATTTGGGTATAACATCATAGAATTCAAGAATTAAAATAATTTTCCAAGGCTCTATTTTGTGACACTTCCATGACCAACTGTTCTTTATCTTCATAATTTGGTTTTAGATTAAGTTTCATCAGTTCCCCATAAACCAGGCTTGTCATCTTATCCTTTATTTACTCAGTTCGACTGTCTTCCAGATGTTCCACTGTAGGAACATCAAGGGTTACTTGTCACAAACAGCAACCATTATGCATGCAAAGAGATGGAGCCACTAAGATGTTGCTTTGCTTGGAAGAAAAAGCACCAAAGTAAGAAAATCTTTCCCAAAAAACTTGCAAGAAATCTATGTGTAAATATATGTTTAGAATGATGTTTGGTTAAACGAGGACAGGTCAAGGGAAGTATGGAGCCTTAAACAAAACTGGGTTTATTGGAATCTAGGAGATGGGGCCAAATTCAATGAGCTTTAGTCAAAAACAATCAAATATAATTGGGGAATATTTAATAAGCTGCACTGGTGGACGGAACTTAAACACACAAGAATGGATTAAACTCATATCAGATTGTAACTATGGTGACCCAATAAAATATATTATGTTTATCAACTATAACTAAATCAAAGCCAACCAGACTTTTCCTTAGTTGTTCTGAATATGTTTTCAAAACCTATCCAAGAGTTTGTCAGGCATGTAGTTGAGCAACCTGGAGATTAGCAGTTGCAAAGCATATGGGGGCAAACTCCTTTAGAAGAGTCCAAAGTCAGACATCACTCATTCCCTTATGGTAATTAGGATTCATTTGTTTGTTGTGAGTTGGTTACTATGTCACCTGAATCCTGAAGAAACACCTTCGAGTAATTTCTTTGAATTTGGCATCAGTGCAAGATAGATGCTTTCAAGCTGAAACCACAGCTTTCATGCATCTACTGCGTCATTATCTCCTTTTTGACAATGACAGGTTCCCAAACCTCTTTTTCCAACCCCCCTTTCTTTTTGTAAACTCTAAACATCGTTGTCACCAGAACTCTGTCTTTTGCTTTTGCAATTTGAATGGAGCTGACTATGCTCCAAGCTCCTGGCTCCGCTGTGCTGTGCATTGAGTGTATTAAGTTGTCATTTGCTTGCTCTGTGGTAAGGGCTGGTTATCCCCGCGCAGCAGTGTGTCGCAGTGAGCTTGTCGCAGATATTTTTGATTTATGCCCAATATTGAAGCTTGGTCTGTGTTATGTTATTCCAGGCCACAAGGCAAGAGGGACAATCACGAACTAGCTGTGGGTCTAGATACCGCCGAGGCGGTGAGGAAGTGGGGGCAAGTTTGTGCGACACAGGAGAGACATATGGGCAAAAAAGAGCAGGGATCCAGGTTGAAAAAGGGTCCCAGCATTTTCGTGAACCTCCCTCTTCTAGCTGGTCCAACTTTATGAGTAGTTTCCATAATGGTGGTCATACAAACAAAACAAGGCGCTAAGGAAATACGCATAGTGAAGAGCGGATATAGAATTGACCAATCAGAAGCCTCCTGTCTGCGGCACAGTCTGCTTGTCACCTACAATTTTGGAGAGGTACAGCAGAGTGTCTGCAGGGGGGGCGGGGGCATCTCTGCATTAACTGCAACACACACACAGACAACCTGGTTGCTGAGTATAAATCAGCCTGTAGTCAGAGTTATATGCCCTACAGTGATGATGATTCTTTTCACTTTTAGAAAAGCAAACTTTCCAGTTCTTTAGAACTTAAATTCAGCATTGAATAACTAAAATGGTTCAATTCATGTATCCTGAAACCTTAAAAAAGTATTTTTTTTTAGCAGTGTCCTGGGTGGCAATGGGCAACTAGAAAATTTCTAAAGAAATTTTGAGGGGGGCCACCTACTGCCCGTCTGGGTAACTGGGCCAATACGGCCCTGGCAAGTGACATTGGGGCTCCCCAGACCAACTGCTTACGCCTTTGAGGGCTGCTGAGGGAAGGAAAGAGGGCTAGGTCATGGGCAAAGAGAGCTGTGTGCCACTTGTGCTGAAATCTGGGAAATAGACGTGCACAGCATATGATGCACAAGGGTAATATGGGTTGTCCATATTGAACCGCAGTGGGTAAAGCGCAGTTGGCGGGCTCCGCCCGCCTGCTAGGAGCCCTTGCAGCGATGAAAAAAATCACCAATGGCGGGCTCTGCCCGCCTGCTAAGAGCCATTGCAGTGATGAAATCACCAATGGCGGGCTTCGCCCGCCTTCTAAGAGCCATTGCAGTGATGAAATCACCAATGGCTATGAGCAATATGCCAGAATGTATGAGTGTGTATAAGGAAGAGGCTTTTATTCTGTAGAGTCCCTGTAGTGTTATTTTGAAAGTCTATCATGGATGTGCATCAAAAGATGGGTCATGCCCAGCAGTGATATAGAATCCATTTCCAAATGTTAAATCACTGGTTTTCCATGTTATTAGGTGAATAGCTGCTGTATTACAGAGTAAATGGGAGACTTTTATTGTGAAATTTGCTCTGGGGTGTGTTTTGAAAAGGTCACTAGAGTCTAATAAAAACAACCTGGAAGAGTTTGGGTCATAATGTTGAGCCATTTGCATCAATTATTGCATTAGTATAATCTAGAGGCTTTTATTTTGTAGGGTCCCTGTAGTCTTATTTTGAAAGTCCAACAGAGTTGTGTTTAGAGAAAATGTTCAGACCCAGCAATGATAGTTGATGACTTTCCAATCGTTAAATCACTCTTTTTCCATGTTATTAGGGCAGTAGATGAAGATGAAATGGGAGGCTTTTATTTTGAAATTTGCCTTAGGTTGTGTTTTAAACAGTCTCCTAGAGTCTATTCTCTAAAATGGGGTTGAGTTTGGGTCATAATGTTGAGCCATATAGGGCAATAAATATATGTAAAAAATATAGAGGCTTTTATTTTGTAGGGTCCCTGGAGTCTTATTTTGAAAGTCTATCAGTGTTGAGTGGCAAGGGAAGTGTCATGGACAGCAGTCATATAGTATCCATTTCCCAATGTTAAATCAGTGCTTTCACCCTCCATTAGATTAATATGTGCTGTTTAAAACAGCAGAGGTAAAATCTCTTTGAAGCACGGTTACCTTGACAACGCTTAACGAGCCTGTCAGTGACAGAGAGAAAAGCGCAGCACTATCGTTCCTTAGCTCTCAGGCTTTTTTGAATGGGAGCAACAGCTCCGAACAAACGACTGCTTAGCAAAAACCGTATGAGTTATTCAAAAAATTTCTTCACCGTGAGCGTCAGCAATCCTTCGACTCCAACTATGCCAACTTTGGTGTATGTGTGTCTTTCTGAACAATATTTATGACGAGTTGAAAACACATAATGTCATTCGTTTTTCTCCCCACTGCTGCTCCAAAACCAATGAAAAACGGCTCTGATTTTCATCGACTTTAGGTAGGTCTGGAGGGTTTTTAAGGAAAAGTATTAATCCTACCGTAATTCCGAAGACATTGTGTGAGTCCAGAGGTTTCAGCCTACAAACTGACCAAAAATGGTGACTGTAGCTCCAAATATGTGGCCGTGAGGCAAGAACAAAATCTTTTATCTTAAAAAAACGGCCGCCTCACACTAAGATGTCAGCAGCTGCACACTAGCAGGCTGCTGCAGAAGCTAACTGTCAGCTAGCTTCCAGGTGCTTACCCTCCAAACAAACGACTGCTGAGCAAAAACCGTAAAAGGTATTTGAAAAATTCTTTCAGTGAAAGAAACATCTATCCTTTGTCTCAGACTGGGGTAACCTTCATGTCTGTAGGTCTTTCACAACCCAAAACGAAGCACAAACAAAATGGTGGGTCCCACCTGCTCCTACCATTGGTTTAACTGCAGCAGCTCCTCTCTCATCTTTTTGCTGCTAAAGCACCCCTCCGAACAAACGACTGCTGAGTAAAAACCATAAATGATATCTGAAAAATTCTTTTTATCTAAGCGACAGCTATATCTTGTCTTCAATTGGAGTAACTTTCATGGCTGTAGGTCATCTACAACCTGAATGGGAAGAGAAAGAATAAGAAAAAACGGGTCCTCAGTCCTTAGCTTCTAACTGAGCTAGCTACAGCAGCTCACTGTCACCCAGCTTTCTGGTGCTTAAAATGTCCTCCGAACAAACGACTGCTGAGCAAAAACCGTATGAGTTATTCAAAAGATTCTTTCACCGTGACCGTCAGCCATCCTTCGACTCCAACTATGCCAACTTTGGTGTATGTGTGTCTTTCAGAAAAATATTTATGACGAGTTGAAAACACATAATGTCATTCGTTTTTCTCCCCACTGCTGCTCCAAAACCAATGAAAAACGGCTCTGATTTTGATCGATTTTAGGTCGGTCTGGAGGGTTTTTAAGGAAAAGTATTAATCCTACCGTAATTCCGAAGACATTGTGTGGGTCCAGAGATTTCAGTCTACAAACTGACCAAAAATGGTGACTCTAGCTATAAATATGTGGCCGTGAGGGCGAGTTTAAAATGTTTTTTGGTCTTAAAAAAACGGCTGCCTCACACTCTAGCTTTTCAGTCTCTCCACTCTAGAAGGGTGGATTTTGCTAAAACTTTGTGGCGCTTGAGGTCTGATTATACAAAAACCGTAGCAGTTATCAACATGCCGTCTTCAGTTTTAAATAGACGAAGGATTTATCTACAAACTGAGCTTTAAACTGTTTTTCTACATGAATGTATGCCGACACAGTGAAGTGCTGTTTTTTATGCTTTTTTTTCCCTCTCCCCATTCATTTCCTATGGGATTTTTTTTGCGACGTTTTCGCTAATAATTCGCGAACCTTCGGACTAATGAGAAAGTTTTATACAAGCACGCATCGCACCATTGGTCCCGACGCGTGTGCCAACTTTGGGCCCGATCCGCCAAACCGTGCGGGACTAGTTAGGTGCCGAAGTTTTGGTGGCGAGGAGAACTATAAGCTAGTATAATACGCGGAATAAATATGTGAGATAGTAGTAGGTGGGCCATGCCTTCGGCATGTGGCCCCCCTAATAAGAATAATTGTCTTGATGCTAAAAAGAGCCCAACAGATTTTACTTTCACAAGTGGAGCAGTAGGGCTATTGCCATAGTGTTCCGCTTGTTTTATGCATATAAATTACTTTATTATAATTATGCAGGGAGTTTTACAGATTATATGAACACTGCAATGTATGGAGAACAGGAAAGGAAAAACAAAAAAAAGGAGAAAAGATGAAAGAAAGAGGAGATAAAAGGGAGATGATGATAAAACATTTTCAGTCTGCTTCATCGCCTGCAAAGAGCTGTAAAAAGAACAGCACAACCAACGGACATGGTACAAGACATACAATAGAGTAACACCTAGATACTATCGCTGAAGTAGAATTATTTAATCTGACATGTACTCTGTGTTACCTAAAGATAAGTATTTTTAATTCTCAATAAACAAATAAACATCAGCTTTATAACAGATTTTCACAACTGCTACCGCTATGACGTCTACAGTAGTAACATACTGACTAACATTAAGTATTGAACAGAAACCCACATCTAAAAAAGAAGCCGATTTAACCTCATTAAAATAAACCAGTGTTTCAATAACCTTCACCCTATTAGCATACGTGATTCAGGAAGCAAAGGATTCCAGCTGAGCAAACTGAAGTTTGCAACAGTTTTACCTGAAACAAAGCCTTGCAGTTTCAGCTGTGTGTATATTATTCATCACCTGGTGATGCTTTGCAAACCAGTTCTTCGAGAATCTCAGGGAAAAGGAAAAATCTGTCAACACATTTTCTCTTCCTGCAGCAGCAGGCATTCTTAAAGTAAAGACATTACCCTATGTCTTTACTTTAAGAACCCTAATCTCTGCATGTTTTCCATAGACGCAGGAGCTAAGAAACAGCATTATGGATGTGTTAATACTAGTTGGCCTTTTTAATGAAAGCCTGAATATCTTTCAAACATAGTGGTTTGCTTAGTTAAAGAAAGCCAAGCAGCAGGTGGACAAAGATGTTTTGTTTTTGTTTTGTTGGATGAGTCCAGTTGGAGTTGTGTTACCTGAACGTTTAGCCCCATTGGATCGTTGGATTTCCCTCTGGCTCAGTGATTGCGGCACATAAACATACCCACAGGCAAATTCCATTGGGCCCCAATCTAACAGCAAAAGAATTGACACAGTTTTCACAGAGTAAGGTGACAAGTTACATTTTACACAAATAGCTAACAAACAAATAACATGAATCTGTTCATTACAGCTTCAGATATTACTCAGATTTATCAAGTCACATAGGTCAACATCAGCCTGTTCAAAAACTTAATAATTAGAAGACGTACTCACGGATGTAGAGGCTTTGGGTTTATATCTGTACAGTAGAAGCAGTAGCATGAAATCCTCTCAGGGCTCAGAAATGTTTGAAGGGCTTTCAAACCTCAGACATCTTGTCTAACAGGTTTCCCTGTCTTCAAGAGTCAGTTTCACAAAACAGATTTAAGAAACTCACTCAAATCCTTAACTCTGAATGGATCTCACTTCAGGTTGGAAACTCAAGAGTTTTGGGTTTCACAACTACGGAAGAGGATTAGGGCGACTGAAAAAAAAAAATGTTAACTGATTATTTTTATTTTATTTCAGTATAGTATGGGAAAAAAGTCAATTCTGACTTTAATCTAAGAATTCTGACTTTTTTTAATTGTCAGAATTCAGTCAGAACTCAGTCAGAACTCTGAGGAAAAAAGTCAGAACTCTGAGGAAAAAAAGTCAGAACTCTGAGAAAAAAAAGTCAGAACTCTGAGAAAAAAAAGTCAGAACTCTGAGAAAAAAAAGTCAGAACTCTGAGAAAAAAAAAGTCAGAACTCTGAGAAAAAAAAAGTCAGAACTCTGAGAAAAAAAAGTCAGAACTCTGACTTTTCTCCCATGTTAAACTGAAATAAAATTTAAAAATCAGTTAACTTTGTTTTTTTTCCAGTGGCCCTAATCCTCTTCCGTACACAACAGCTGCAGTTAGTTTAATCAAATTTAAGAATGTCCACTAAGAGTTTAGCAGGTCTGTAACAACTATAAAGAGCTATTTGCATTGGAGCCCCCATTCGGAGAAAGTATTTAAAAGAACAAGCAACAGCGCTACAGTTCAAGCTGTTCAAGTTAATGTCTTAGTTTCTATGCAGACAGCTATAGCAGGCCACTTTAACATTTGTTAAAAGCACTCTCCCCACTGTTGTTCCATTTGTAGATCACTAAAATTAGATTCTTCCTGGTCAAAATAACATTCCTAGTTAGAACTGTAATAACAGATCTTCTTAAGTACATTTTTGCAACACAAACTGAATTTCAGAAAAAAAACACCAACAAAATTGTACTAAGAATTAAGTTTTCTTATTTATCTAAAAAAAAATTCCACAGTTTCAGCGGCGGCTATCACCTTGACTTGAATATGTATTTATTATATCTGAAATACATTTCTTGATAGTCAAAATAATACAAATGATGAACTGTAACAACAGGAATATGGAGACCTGTAATTTTCTTTTCAGATATCGGAAATACATCTTTAGTCAGACTAATACATATTAAGTATCTGTCAAGGTTTGGTTGTGGTTTGGAGGACCCAAAGGCAGAGAGGCTGAGGTGAATTCTTGAAGTTTTAATGAAAAAAACACTAGTAACAGAGGCAAAATCCCAAAAACCCAATTAAAATGTAACTCAGACCAGAAACACGGACACATCAAGGGAAACACGCACAAGGAGCCAGGAAGAGACGAGGTGAGAGCATGATGACGACAACAGGACCAGCAACAACAAGGAACGAACAAAGAGTGAGAGCAGAGGGAGAGCATATAGCTGACAGAGACAAAGGGAGGGCTAACGAGCTGACAAGGAGCAGGTGTGAGAGGAGACAACGAAGGAGCCAAGGGGAAAAGAACACACACACACGCACACACACACAAGAGGGCTACAGAGGACAACAGAAAAACATGAGAACTAACAAATCTAGAAATTACAACAAAAAAGGAATTAAACCAATAAAACCAGGGAACATAAAGCAAAGTAAAGCACAATATAACCAAAACCATGACACTATGGGTGTTATATTCCCAATAAATGATTGTTATTAGCTGTTATCAGTCACATAGAATGGCTTCAGATTGTGCCTCCTACCTTCCAGTATGCTCAGTAGGTTGTTATCACAGAGTAAATCCTAATCCTCACACTAAAGTAGCCTAATTCCATTTCCCCTGCATAATTAATCAATTTATGTATATGTAATCTTAAAAATATTTCAGTAGTTCTTCAATTAGGCCTACTGTAAAATAATGCCTATGTTGAACAAACTAAAAATGCTCACATTAAACAAACTAAAAACAAATAAATCTCATATCCTGTCACCTGAGTTGTAGAATCCTCTCCCTGAAAATATTTAATTCTCTGTGAATTAATGCCATTCTTTAATAGGTTCCTCTTCAAATGGAAATGCACTTTATTTTCAAAAGCTAATGTCTTTAAAGGACCTAGTGAAGGATTTTTTTTATTGCAAAACCTATATAGAAAACTATGACACAAATCTGACTAAATCAGGAAAATAAAACTGTGGGATTAGCTCTAAGGAGAGGGGAGACAGAAGACAGTTTATTGAACAAAACCTGCTCCTGACCAGGTTAGCTCCGGGGATAATGTTACTATGATCACTGAAAAAGAGGTCGGAAAACTCAGTTTCCCATATTTCAGGTCTAGAAAACAAAAGATTTTTTTTGAAAACCTGCTAATTCCCAAAATCCCTGGAGTCTGTCTCACCACATAGCGTCATCTAACCTCATTATAGAAATTAGTTACTTAGACTTAATAAATGCTTGTTGAAATAAAAACAATATTAAATCTATGGCTGGAAGGAAATGAATCAATAAACAAATTTCTCCGCTTAATTTTCTAAATTTAAGAAGAAAAAAGAAATAAAAGAAATAAAAAGTGTTAAAGTAAACTATAAGCAAGAAAAAAGTGAGTCAAAGGAGTGTGGGAGAATATATTGAGAAAGAGGAGCAAAGAGCATGAAAGGGAGAAAAACAGTCATCGTAGAAAGATGGACAATGGAGGGAAATGGAAAAAATAAATCAAGAAGGAAACTGATCAAATCAAAAGTTAAGGAGGATAGAAAGATGACATGCAGGTTTCCAAGCAACATGAAATGTGATGTTTCCTCGATGTTTTTCCACAACCAAAGAGAAACAAAGTGAGGATGACCATGTTGAAGCAGACAGATCAGTCACTGGTAGCTGCTGAGTAAACGGCAGGCAAGTCTACTGATTTAAAAAAAAATAGCTCTAGGTGTTGAGAGGAAGCAGCGTTCAAATATGACAGGGAAAAACAAAGCAGTAAGCCAAATGACCCAAAGTATCAGGAATTGGACGGTTACAGTTAACCTGAGACACAGATAGAAGAATATTTATGTTTTGTTAGAATCATAGAGACCCATTTTTTACTGGGATTTTATGTCAAAGATCAGCAGTCTTCCTTTTTCCTCCCCTCAATACATATACAAATCAGTATAAATACCCAGCAGGATCCGACAATACGTCAACATAACCATAGCAACAGTGAAAAAAATAATGTAACCATTTTTGGCATTTACTTAATCATATTTAGTTACCTTAACACAATTGTTTCATGTTAGCAGGATAGGAAATAAAACAATTGTGTTAAAGTAACTAAATATGATTAAGTAAATGCCAAAAACAGTTGCATTATTTTTTTCGTTGCTGTCAGGCCTTCACAAAGAAACTTTGTCAGAACACCTCAGGTAAATCTGTTACAGCTGACCAACAACTAAATGCATAAAATAAAAGAGTCACTTAATAAAGTAGACTAAAAAAAAACTCTTTGTAATGATAAAACAAAGAGTCTTATTTTCTAACATTTTCTATCAATTTCAGATGGTTCTGTCTGCTGCATTGAGCTCAGTTATTATACTGATACCAAGTCATAATTAATGTGAATATGCCCGCCATATATCTATTTGGAAAATTTCCCACGGCAATGGGAAGTTTAAATAATGCTCAAAAGGAATTATGATGTCAAGAAGAACAAACAAAACAAAAAATCTGTAAGAAATATGACAAAAACCTAAAAAGAAGCCAGCCGTCGCACACTGAGTTTACTTTAACTCTTACACATTTATGCGCAGTGGCGGATCTATGCCAGATTTACCAGGTAAGTCAGGTTGAGGCCAGTGTTTCTTTTCTTTGGTGGCACAGAACTAAAGTATATATGAAAAAATTAAATAAATAAAAACATTAGTTCATCTTTGATAGATAGATTCAGCCACACAACCAACAAATCGATTGTGGCTCTGGAGACCCCAGATATAGCAGATTAAAAAGTAGGGGCTCACCGATTATTCAGCCCTACTTTCCTTAATTTTGGGAGATCTGTGATTGGCTGATAATTGAAACTGCTCCTAACCACCAACCTTTTTTTATTATTTTTTATTGTTATCGTGTAATTAATCAGAAACTAATGGGTAGTTACCAAGAAAACAAAGAATAACTAGCTTTAGAAGAATCCCTTCTCCATTACAAATCAATCAAATTAGTGAATTCAGTCATTTAGCCTTTCAGATTCCTTCCATTTCTTCTAGAATATAGCTTTACATTAAAATATATTAATATAATTTTACTTTTATGCTTGATTTATTATATTTGGTTTACATAAATGCTTATCTGTATGTTGTGAACATGCGATACGGTAATGAAATTCATTGTTTAGGCATAAAATCATAGAAACTAAAACTAATAAAAGCAATAAAACAATTGACCATGACTGAGGATTAGGTTTACCTTCCAACAGAACAAGTTTAATATTATAAAATGACCTGCAGCTGTAAATATTATAGAGAGTGGTTCTATCAAAAACTGACTCGAAAGAACTGGACACATATTTATACCACAATTTTTAGATTTGTTTTTCTGTTTGTAAAAAAGGAAAATGCAAAACAAAAGGTGTTTGAACCTTTAAATCTGACAATGTGTTTATTTGGCAATAAAATGAATAAAGATGATGCTAAAGATTTGTTTTCTTTCATTTCTATTCATATGTTCATCATATGCCATGTACTAAGATATTGTGAGCAAAAAACTGTTTTATTGTGAAATTCAACTTGTTAAAGATGATGTGTTTAGAATACATATAAGGTAAACATTCACACTGCATGCACAGAGCATTGTAAACTTGCTTCTTCTTGTTCATACTGTCAGCCTTAACTTCACTACTGTGCTATTATAACTTATATATAGTGGCAGTAAATAAATACTTTTTAAATTATTAATTTTCTTTAAAAGCACACAACATGCAGATACACATTTGTGCATGTACACATACAGCTCAAACCGTACACCCTAGATCCTGAAAGGTAAAAAAAAACAACCCCCCTGCTACAGTAGGTTAGGCTATTAAGGCATCGTGGTTAAATCAGCTGGTTGTGGATCTTCATCTGACATGAAAACCTTTAACAGATACATTAACAATGTGCTGCTTTAATAAGCATAAAAAACAAGTTTTGAGAAAAAAAATCAGATCATAACTCGACGTCTGCTGGGACGTCACTCAACAACTTCTACATAGTTTGCAGGGTAGAAGCCCTCCTTCCCTCCGCTCAGCACGCCTCGACACCACCCTTGATCGTCTTCCTCCTCCACCTTTAGGAAGATCTCACCTTAAGAAAAGAAAGAAGCATAGAGCTCAGTCAGGTTACACATCGAAAAAAAACAACTACTTGATAAGTAAAGTGTTGATTTGCAGTATTTTCTCATCACACCTCGTCTTTAATCCAATTTATTCACTCCATCTAAAAATAAAGAAATTTCTACTGGCCTGCTTCCACAATCTATTGCTTCTTATTCTATGTACCTGACACTGTGAACTGCATTGATTATAGATAAAAAAAGAATAGAATAAAAAAATCCCTTTATTGTCCCACAATGGGGAAATAGTGGTGTTACAGCAGCGAAAATATATAGCAAAAGTGGTCACACAATGTGGACCTTAAAAAAAGTGTATAAAAAAAACATAATAAAGGACATAGTTAAATAAACAAACAAAAAGCTGTACTGTATTATGTTTTTTACAATACGAATACTGTGCATCTGGAAAGAATAAATAATCAATATACAGCTATGGGCATTTTACAGTAATGGATATATGAAATAAAGCTAATATAAGCTGAACAGAAGTTTGATCCGCCACTCTTGGAGTAGGAAATACGTTTAATTTGATCTGGATATATGTGCCACAGGGTTGATCAGGAGAAAACCAGCTGGCTGAAGTGACCAAGAGAGGACGTGCAGAATGGGCCTCACTTGGAGATCGAGGCTATGCAGCAAAAAACCCATAAAAATTGTACTTTTTGCTCATGTTCACCTCTTGGATAAAACGCACACACACATGTCCATCTGTTTTGTTTTTATTAGTGCTATAGCAACAGGTCAACATTACTGACTGAACATGTTAGTAGTGTTGAACCCTAACTTTCATCAGTAAAGGCAATTAAAGGTGAATCCACAGCAGATGTTGCTTGTCCTAAATCTGTAGCCAATCACTGAGCTAAAACATGGAATGGAAGAAGAAGGGGCTGGCATCACAAGCTTCTGAACAGCTTCTCACCTATAAAGTACCAGAGTGGCAGGATCATGTCATGGAGATGATGGTAAATGTGACGTACAGCAGGAAAAGTTTAATTTTATGTGAGAAAAACTTCTTAATGCAATAAACGCAAATCCCTACATTGAAATGAAAGATAGTTCACTGAATCTTTCTTGTAAATTCAGCTATTTTTCATGTTTTTATAAAGCAATTATAACTAATTGGATTTTACAGTGTAAATAGTTTTAACTTTAATTTGACTACATGCTTTTACTACAACCAGGAAAGCAGTAAATTGATGACTTTGACCGTCAACAACACTGAATTTTAAGATCTTTTAAAGGTAGACGAGGCCCTGGGAAGGGGGACATTATATTATTATTCATTTAAGTCACTGTCGTCCAATTTTTGTCAGGTGAAAAGTAATTGTCCACAGTCCATTGTGTTATTTTCAAAAATAATATCACAGAAATAGTTTGATTATTTTTGTACCCGCCTAGCTGTCAACTAATAATGTGTAAATGTCTGTAGAAGAGGGATCTGACATGTGCGCTTAATTAAAATACAGTTTCCAAATCTTGCACCAAATATTTTACATTGTAAAAATGTTTTTCTTTTAATTTGGCGGTATTAATTTTGTCCTTATTAAACATAAAGCGCCATCATCTGCATTAATCAATTGCTTTCATAAATAAGCATGTCTTTCCTAGTTTGGGACCTCTCACACACAGCATTCATGGGATCATCAGCTGATCTGTCATCACTGTAATTTTTGTTTAGCAGGTTTACTTTAACACATTAATGGTATCACAGATTTACTCTTTATTTTTCACCTGCTTTAAAGGACAGCTCATCACCCTCCTCTCCCTCGTAGTCATACAGAGCTCTCACCTTCACACCGCCAATCATCACACTGCAACCATGAAATACACATAAAAAAAAATTACCTCTGAGATTTTATCACATGTTCAGTGAAGCATCTTAAAAGGGACACGTTCATATAGGCTTACGGACGACTTTCTTTTCCCTTCTGGTTCCTTTTTTTTCTCTTTAGTTTTTTCACTGGTGGGACCCATTCCTGGTTGAAAAGAAACATGATCAGGAACAAAACTATAAAGTTAGTTTATGCAGCCAAAAATGTCAAAATATGCTCTACTGACACAGGGCGAGCCACAATTAGTGCCACTCCTGGTTAAGATTTTCAATACAGCTTTATGATAAAATCATGTTTGCTTACAAAGAAAGTTGTATCGGATAAAATAATTAAGAAAAAAAACAGACTTTAGTTTGTGCACATTTGTTTAGTGGAGGAAAACAACTATCCCAAATCAAGATGTTTGACAGACTGACAGTAATTGATTGCACGTTCATGATTTATATTTCTCATTAAAGTAGTTGTAGAAGTTATTCTATAAATCTTTTTTCTTTAGGATTAAAAATGATGCGACACAAAGTTTTATTTTTCCAAGCTACTCTTCAAAAGGGGAAACAAAAGTAAAAATGTCAGTCAATTAAAGCAGGGGCGTATTGACCTTTAGAAGTCAGAACCATCAGGAACAACCTTCCAGGAAGGGTTCAGTTGTTTCTGGCTGGATGTGCCCCTCCCTGTAATTGTAACTTTCCTGATGCAGCATGAGTGGGGCTTGTAGAATAGGAAGACTAGTCAATCAGAGTTTAGAAGCCTGTTTGAGATATTTAAAAGTCACTTTTTCCAATATCAAAATAAAATTTCAGAATGAAATCTTGCATTGCTTTAGGTTGGAAACTCACACCTTTACTCTTTGCTCTCTTGTTTAAATTACTGCAGGAGTATTTAATAATAAAAAAATAAAAAAAATCTTAAGGCAGTCAATTTTCATAAATAGTCAAATGTAATAATTATTCCTCCAGAAACAGAAATAGAAAAATGTATGCTATTCAGATAATAAAATAAACAGTAACATCAAATATTATTATTACTTTTTTTTTTTTTTACTTTGTAATCACTAAGTTAACATCAGTTTATTCCTGTCTTCATAGAGTCAAATCCTTTATTATTGCACCAAATCTCGTTGGAGAGTTTTGTTCTCCTTGATTTCAGGTGGAGAAGTTTTCACTGGTAAACCATATTGTAAACAAAGTCTTAATAATAAATATGTTCAAGGTATAAATTACAGCATAATGATTGTGATAAATTAGAATACATAAATAAAAAAGCATAAAAACATGAAGTTGAAAAGGAAGTAATTATATTATTTTGTCAGTGTAAAGTTACAGCTAGAATATAAGTGAGAGAATGTCATTTTTAGGTCACATTTACTTTTTTCAGTTGGAGAGATAACCATGTGGTCAAAGCTAACATGAACTGGTTGGTTTAAGCTATTGACATCCCATAGTAATCCCTCAAAGTCACTAGCTAAGAATCAAAATCATCCTTCTTAGTAAAACATTGCTGCAGCTGCTACCGGTAGCCGAGATACCAACTTCCTTTCACTTATTACACGAGATTCAAACTGTTACCTTGATTTGAATCTCTCACTCTAAGTGGTCCTCCTAGTTTTAAATAATTCTGGTGATATGTTTACGTAAGGCCGTCCTAACAATAATAATTGAACTTTATTGATCTCACATTGAAGAATTTACCTCTGCATTTAGCACATCTCCTTCGGGAGCAGTGGGCTGCCATCGTGCGGCACCCAGGGAGTAATCAGGGGGTTAAGGGTCTTGTTCAGAGAACCAGAGTGAAAGTCTGTGGAAGTGGGGCTTGAACTCAGAACCCTCGGATTCCAAGCTCTATGCCCTAACCACTAAGCCGACACTCCCCTTACCTACGTGCTCATCCCCATTTTTACTTACCGGTGGTGCAAATCTTTTGGAAAGTAAGCTTGTATAAGCAATGCAAACAGCAATTCTTAAATAGAGTGTGCACGTGGAGAACTGGGATCGTGCATGCTCTCACAAGCATTTAATAGGTGTTCCCTCTTGGGGGCGGGTACAGATTTCTGCATGTAGAAGTGGAGAGGGCGGGTCTTTTCAAAAATTTGCGAAAATCACCACTATACCTTTAAGTGCAACTCAATTCCGAGTCTTTGGTTGTCGCTGGGTTGCTCAGCAGAGAAATGGTTGGGAAAAATAAACTATCAACTATGGCTAACGCAGTCCCTAAAAATAAATCCTAAATATGACCTATGGGCTGAACTGGACCATAAGCACCGAGGGGAAGAACTAGAAATATAAAAAAGTAGAAAGATGAAGAATGGACAATCGTTCTTCTCACTGTATGTGCTGTCCTATTTACAAAGTGTTAACAGCTGGGGTGTCAATAATCTGACTGTGCTGTATAAAAAAATATCTTAATGTGTTTCTTTCCACTGGCTAAATCTTGAAATAAAATTATTGTCCCTTTATTTAATGAGCAACAGTGCAATCCAAATGAAAGGTAGAATAATTCTAATGATTTTCACTAATCTGTACCAGGAGAGATAATACAAATGGAGGTTGCGGTACATGAGCAATGCTACTTGGTTAAGAAAAAAAAACACATCTGGAAATGGCTAAATGTTCCAATAAATAGTGAAATGTGAACTATTTTGTGAGTTTAAATACAAAACCCATTAGAAAAATTTGAAATTTAGTAAATAAATAGGTAAAGCGTTTCTTTGCTTTTTATTATCTCACTGAGGTTGGTCTAAATTGACCCGTACCTGAATCTTTGGCCAATCCGTCGGCATGCCAGGACCTTGATTGTTCTTCCACCATTTGAGGTCGTCCTGCTCGTCGATGGACATCAAAGTCTGATGGAGCTCGCTATAAACTGCTTTTACACTGACACAAAGACAAAGAAGAGTCTCTACAGTCAACTCACTTATATAAGTCTATAGAAAAAGACGCAAATGTAGGTATTTGCTTACCTCTCGTTGTTGGTGATGTCCAGATGTCTGTGGATGGAGAGGAACACTTGCTTTAAAAAGCTGATCCTCTTTCTCTCCTCCTCCTGGGACTCATCAAAAATGGCCTCCATCTCCTCCATATAGCGGGGTGTATAGGAGGTCAGATCCTCTAGAACTTTTTCATATCGATCTCTAGCCTGGAGCCGAACAAACAAACAAAGAAGATGATAAACAGCTCCCTATTCGCCACAGGAAGACCTTCTGTATTCCACTAACTATGGCTTTAATTAGTATAAATGATCTAATGTTCTCAGGCTGGTCTCTATAAACATGGAACACAGTAACAATAACAAATCCCCATACAAGGGAAATGCTCAAGGCAAAAAACTTAAGTTGGGGCTTCATGCTTAGACTTTCCCATGGGATTAAACATGACCACATGCAGATGAGCGACCAAACTGCTGCATTGTTTCGATTACATATATTTTCAATCAGGGATCATAAAAATAAACTCATTTTCTTCCATGTGGGCAGGAGAGCTGCTGTTTGTTGATGTCTGTCCTCACTTTTCCTTTTTCCTCCGCAGCTCTTTCCTTGGCCTCTGCGAGCTTCAGCTTTTTCTCCTCGCTCAGCTCAGGATTGTCGTTTGCTTGCCTCTCCTTATCCAGGGCCGCTTGCTCCCTCTGGCAGGACTTGTGGTATGCGACACGGACTTTCTCCAGCTGTTCAATGCAAGACAGATGCAAGAGGTGTTTTCAGAATGACATATACATAAAGCCTCCGTAGTCAAATCTCTTTGGTGCAAGCCAAGAATTTCTAGCTTTAAACTATTTGATTAAATTGTTTATTTTCACAATATAAATCGAATGTTCCCTAAATTTTACCTTCAGTCAGAAACATAGTCAAGGATTTGTCGAAAATAAAGGAACTAGGGCCAGGAATTATGAAATAATAGACATGCATGTCCTTTTTTTTTTTAAAGCTAATGTGTGACAGAGTGTTGAATATGTTGCGTGATGCATACAATGCTGCAATTCGGAGTCCGAATTTTACCCACATGCAAGCCCCACACAGCTTTGATACAATAAGTTGTGGTTGTTTCAATAGTAGCAATAGAAACCTTACTTGACATGTTGCTTGCTGCTGTCATAACATATTAACGGTGGTCTTGTAGTTACAGGTGTCAAAATTATTAATGTTTATTAATCAAGTAGATGTAGAGATCGTACGGTTAAAAAACACTTTTGTTGAAGCTAGAGTATCAACTTAAGCTTTTTCATTGTACTCAATTTTCTTAGTAATGGTGACAGTGTTAAATTTAACTTTGCATCATCTTGAAAAGACAATTTATTTTGGTTTGTGCTAAACAACAAATTGGTGCAGTACTGATTCCATCCACAAAGAAATTAAATATCTGGATGAAACAAATTATTTTGATGTTTTTTTTGTACTACCTAGGAAAATGAGCTCATATAAAACAACAACAACAAAGTGTCTATTTTTAAAAGGTGTAGAAAGTAGAGACAATTGCAAAAAATGTAAGGAGTATAGAAAGTAAAGTATAGATAGTCAAAATTTCTACTTAATTATTTAGTCTCGTTACTTTTGAGTTTTACTTCTTCATCCTGCCTCAAGGTCCTTTATAGAAAAGTTCAACTCAAATCAGTTAATTTTATTTCTATAGCGCCAATTCACAACACATGTCAACTCAAGGCACTTTACAGTTCAACCAGATCATTCAGTCAAATTGATTCAAAGTTTTCTACCTAAGGAAAACCAGTTGATTGCATCAACTCATTGACTTTAATGCAATCCCTCACACTAAGCATGCTTGTAGCGACAGTGGAGAGAAAATCTCCCTTTTAACAGGAAGAAACCTCCAGCAGAACCAGGATCAGTGTGAGCGGCCATCTGCTGAAGCCAACTGGGCAGATGATCAGTCACCTAACTTGACAGAATGTTGCCAAATATGTAATATTTCTTCTATAAGTTTAGCAGTGTTTACTTAAAGGGGAGGAGGTAAAGTATCTTGATGTCTGTGTGGTGAGGGTGGGAAGAAACTGGAGATGGACAGAAGTATTGGGGCTTCATCTACAGTGATTCAGGTGCCGCTCCAGTCTGTTGTGGTTAAAAAAGAGCTAAGCTGAAAAGCACAGCTTTCGATTTTACGCCTATGTTCCGACCCTCAGCTAGGGTCGTAAGATCAGGATTATAACCAATAGAGAGTTCTATGTGTCTCTGTGTCGCTCTTGGTAAATTGGAGACGTGTAACCCAGCAGGTGATTGGCATCTGCAACACACCCCAGTAAGGATCAGGTTCAGATATAGTTGAATAGAGTCCACTAGAATCAACACAATATACGTATGATGTCCTTTTACCAACATTTTAAATCCAGGAAAAAACTCCAGAAATTTTATTCTAACAACAGCAAATTACACAATTTAGACTTCAATTTGATTTGATCTTCTAAAGGAGTTATCATTTCTAATATTAAAAAAGATTGTGCCAGACGCTTTCAGCCTCTTAAGCACTGAAGCCCAGTTCCCTCACTGAGCCATTCAGGTTCCACACCAGACATAAATCAATGGCCTCTTGATTGATTTCTAGCTTAATCTTAGGTTTTAAAGGATATGTTTTGAGTAGAACCTGATTAGCAGCTTAGCATTAAAAACCACATAACATTGACATAAATTTTGGTGTAAACCTTTGCTACGAGTAAGCCTGTTCTTGTCAACTTTAACCAAAGGTTCCAGATTATTGGTTTACAATAAGTTATGCTAACTGTGCCTGGAAACCTTTGCATCTGGCTACTGACTATAATACGAAAGGAGGTTAAAAAAAATTATTGTTTTGTTAAACTGCACAAACAATCAAACACAGATAACACACATGTGCTGGACCTTCTTTAGCTTTTTGGACCAGGGTTTCTGTGCACGTGAGAAACTGGTTTTGTTGTCGTAGCTCTCCTTGAATCCACAGAAGAGTTTCTTGGGGAAGGTCTCCTTCTGCCAGGTCTTCACCCTCTCTCTTTCCTCTGTGGTGAGCGACGCTGAGATGGAGGAGTGGAGGGCTGACAGGCGTTCGGTGGAGGTGAAAAAGCATTGCCACGCCCTCATGAGGGAACCATAAAGGGGCCCTGGGGGAGCAAAAAATAGCAAAGAATGAGGAGCATCTCATGAAGGTGAGTCACAGCAGAGGAGTGGCAGAAACAATTTACAGAAGGACTTGTCCGTTTATGGGCCTGGGAAAATCTCACGTGGGAGTTTAAAAAATGCTGATGGATTTAGGTCATGAAGATCATGAAAAAATACTGATCAAAAAACTTTGAAGAAGTAGGAAGATTTTTGTCCAAATACTCTTTATGGTGGAAAGAAAAAGAGCAGACAAAGTCTTTAAAGACACATAAATCATGTATAGGCCATCCTGTTGCCATGTCAGTATGTAGTCTGTGTCTTTCAAGATAGAGTAATAACATAGAAATAAAATAAGAAAAACAGAAAAGAATACAAAAGAGACATAGTCCCTCTAGTGTGTCCTGAGTCATCCTGGGAAGCCTCTGGTAGAAAACGCCTAGTTGTGAAAAGCTGAAGCTCTGCATGTTTTAGTCCACAAGTTCAATAAGACTAAATAAAAAAACTAAGGGTTTATTACATTTATTACTGCCATCTAAAAGTGGTGTAGGGGTTTAAGTGCTTGAAAGATATGCTATGTTGTCAGGGGCTAAAATGCCTCTGGTAGGGTCTGGCAAAACGGTCTCTGGGTAATGGGTCAGACAAAGAGTATTTCAAAAGCCCTCATGATGACTAAGAGTCAAGCAAAACTGTCTGATGCACTGGAGCTGGAACTTCAACCTGGAGCCAGGCTTAGGGTTTGGGTTCACCAACGAGCACCTGGAGGTTGGGTTTCCTTGAAAAAGGGGGAAGCTATCCACTGATCACCAACTGTTGGTGAATAAGATATGATGGAAAAGGAGGAAACCAGACAGACTTATCAGGTCCAAGCATGTGATGAGTGACATCTAGTGGAGGTCTTGGTCAGGGACGTGTTTGGCTCCCACCACTAGGAGAGTTCCAGGTGGAGGCTAAGGACATGGCATCTAAGAGGACCATAAACTCTGCCTGTATCGTGAATGCAGCCCCACTTTGCTAACAGACCATAAGGTCTTTTTAGGGGCTTGTCACGGTGGCCCCCAAGCCATTGATAGACACTGGTGGTAGGAGATGTAGTTAGGTTAAAGAAGAAGTGCTACTGACCCTTTTTGATGTTTGAGCCTCCTTAAGCAGCAAACAGTTATTATGAAGCAAAACATATCACAGCATAGGGAAATTGCAGAAGCAAAAACTCTGGCATAGGTTCAAGGGGATTTTTACAAACTGTCAGGTACCTCTAGAGAGGAATGCAATGCTTTACTGACACTGTTTACAGTGAGAGTGGGAAGCTACTGACCTTGAAAAGGACACTGACAGACAGTGGAATAACTAATTAGATGACTGCTTTCAGGCCTTCCCTGGTGAAAGCAGAGACTTAGAGACTTATGACTGGTGGGTGTGTTCCAACTACAGACAGATCACATTTTTCAGCCTCCTCTGGAAGGCCTATGCCAGGGTGCTGGAGAGGAGAGTCCAGCTGGTTGTCTAACCTTGGCTTCAGGAGAAGCAGTGTGGTTTTTGTTCTGGCAATAGTGAACCAGATCTACACCCTCTGCAGGATGCTTAAAGGGATAATGGGAGTTTACCCAACCAGTCCACGTGTGTTGGTGCATGTGGGCATATTTGAGCAAGTAATCACTCCAAACACACACTTTACTCCTACTCACGAGAATCAATGATGGATTTCCACTTGCTGCTCCACTGGCTGAGCTGCTGGGCATACTGTTTTTCCACCTTCGCTCTCTCCATGAAGCAGGCCATGATGTCATTGCAAGCCTGAAAGGATTGGTCCGTTCTGTGCACTGTACACACATAGTTACCTGGCTGGGTGGAAACAAGGATCATAGCGTTTTACATATCATGATCACATCTGAGAGTCAATCAAAAATATAGTGCTTTGATAGAAGTGATCTTCACCATCCAAAAGCTCTGCTTCTTGGGATCATCAAGGGGTTCCTTTGGTAGACTCGCCATTACTAGGAATGCCTCTGTTGTAGAAAGCAAACATCTGTTTATGCTTTTTTTACAGACAGTGCCATGTTTTCCCTAAGCTAATTCACACTCTATGAAACACACCATCATTTCATTCCATTTGCTTTACAATCAATACTTGCAGCATTGTGGAGAAACTTGTTCAGTTAAACTTTTGTGTGAGCTCCACTTATGCAGAAGTTTAAAATTATAAGTGAGATTTTAGGTGTGATGAATTTAAACTAATTGAAGTGCATCATGGCACCAATTAAGAGTTTACCATTTAGGAACAAAGATTTGAGGAGGAAATGTATCTTCTCTTTACAGAAAAGAGCAGAAACCTTTCCCTGTGTCTGCCTGCCTCTGACTGTGTGGGTTCCCTCACATATAGAATTCAGTGAGCAAACATAATAAAATAACGCCTTGCCTCACTTCAAATATAACAACATAAACTTAGGAATTCTAGTGTCTAGAGTTTACCCAATCTTAGTTATGGCAGTGAGGAATCTGAAGCCTCTTGAAACTGTTCAAAAGAGATATGAGGTTTGAAGTTGTAGCTTAATGACCTGTGTCCTTTTTACCAAATGAAGATTAGGTTTTTGACATTTAACATGACATTGCTATTAAAGAATGTTGACTTCACTTTATAGCGAACATAGTCATTTTATGAAGGTTAATGCCAAAATAAATACAGTAAAATAAAAAGTGAGGTTGACTGTCATGCACTAGGTTGATTGGAATATATGATCTACACAAGCGCATCCTTGGCATTATGTTACAAGTCTGCCGTTTGGATGGTGCTGTTGAGAAGGCAGCACTGAGTGGGTTTTAACCAATTTTATCCATTGGACACAATTCACTTTAAAGCACAAACAGAAACCCCTTCTCTTGTTTATCGGGAAGAGAAGCACAAACTGGATTATGGCACCAACAGAGGAGGAGATATGGCAGCAAGCGGAAAACCAAATATGCTTCAAAACTGCTTTACCAAATACATCGTTGGGAAACAGAAATTCCATGCAAACTGAGCTTAATAAAAAAACACATTGTCTTTGTAGATGAGGTCACTCAGGGTCAATACATATCAGCATAATTGATTCGGAAACAAAACTCAGAGTCAGAAAATAAAACATACTTTAAACAGCTCAAAAACTTCATTATTTAACCACAAATAAGAATGATTTGACTTTTTTCTTTGAGAGAAACCTACAAATGCATTTTCCTTGCAAACATGGCAAAATCTACAGAAAGAATAACAATATATGAATTGATATTAGTTATTGTAAATAAACTTTGATAAAACAAAGGACAATAATTGACAAAACACAGACGGCCTGCACTTGAATACCGCTTTTTCAAATCCAAGGACTTCAAAACTTCAAAATGCTTCACATTAGTCGTTCGCCCGGTCTCACACATGTTCACACCCTGATAGTAGTAAGCTTCTTTGTAGCCACAGCTGCCCTGGGGCTCACTGACATAAGCAAGGCAGCCATATGCTAGACGCAACCTGGCGCTCCGAGTACCAACTGCAGGTGGGGTGGGTAAAGTCCATGGACATGATCAGACACACAGCGAGGAAGCGTTGAAGCGATAATCCATTGGTTACAGGATGAACCCCTACCTCCTGAACCACCATCACTAGGTACATAATATATTTGTTATGTACTGAGCGATGGTGGCTCAAGATCCACTCAGAATCCACTTAAATCCCATGCGCTGCATGTATTGTTGTATTAGTTTTTGTTGTTTACTTTATCTTTATTGAATATGCAGATTAACGTCTCATGAAATCAAGGGGTTATGGGGCGATTCAAAAAAACAAAAATATAGGCTTTTTTGGAGAAACAACCAACAAGATAACATGGCTTTATTAGCAGCAGATGAAGCTTAATGTTAGGAATCCAGTTTATGTGGGTTGTGTTTTTGTTTGTTGTTCTTCCACCACCAGGTGGCGCCTGATTCTCGTTGGCCTTCTCACACACCTGCGGATGGTTGCCTCATTACCGGAGGACTATTAAGCTGCTGACTGCCACTACCTCGACGCCAGAGTGTTTGGCAGTTTTGGGTACTCTAGCCAAGCTGAGTTTTGCTGAGTCAAACTGAGTTTTTGTCAACCTGAGTTTTAACATTGTTTTTTTGTCTTCGCCTCTTGGCAGGAAGTCATCCTGCAAACTGGATGTTTTGGACCTTCTCCCCCTGGAAGAATTGTCTGAGCTTCAAACTGAGCTGGTGATTCAAACTGGAGGTTTGGATCTACTTTTCCCCAAGGGATTGTTTGAGCTACACTCTAAGCAGGGGATTCATCTCCACAAGAAACAGTTCAAGTACCATTGGAAATCTAAGTGGCAGTCAGCTCCTCCGTTCCTTAAGGAAACACCTCAACCTGGGTAAACCCTGTCCGCCCTCCAACGAGCAACTCAATTACTGGAACAACCCACACCAACTGGATTCAGAGAAAGACACCTTTTACTGGAAACGTGAGTCCCGTTGCCTTTATTCCCTTTTGCAAATCGAAGCTCTAATCTCCCACTGAGCCTGAACTAACCACAGGAACTTGGTTTCCTGCATGTGGGTCAGATCTTAGAATTAAATCATGACACTTAATTTTATATAACAGGTTGAGAAATAGACATGTGCAGGTACACACAGGCCCATTTCCTCCTAAACGGTTACTCCAATGCGTCAGTCCAAACTTTTCTTTCCATTACCGCTTTGATCCAACAGTCATATTTACACTACTCAAGTCACACAGCCCCCTCCTCACTGCGAGGAAGGAAAGCGTTGTTTCAGGCAAGGCTGGAATTCACTGGGGTGGGATCTGCCGGCAGGAATAGAACAGCTGCCCCAGCATTTCTTCCTCTAGCCTTCCTAAAATAAACAGCAGGGAAAGGTCATCTTTCCCGTTGCTTAAACACAAGGCCTAACTCTCTCCAACTTTGACTGCTCCTGCCATTCAGGACACTGATCATCAACAGGAGGCCGTATCTGAAGTCGGATGGAGGCAGGAGGAAGTGACAGCATGGAAAAACATTTCCACAGCATAAGAGAAAGTTAAAAGAAGAGGAACGGGGACATCGTGCATGCAGAGACATGCAAAGGACAGTCATGTTAATGCCTATTTCTATCTTTGTGTTAACACATTGCTGGCTCAATAACAGAGAAGTCGCAAACAGATTTATAACACTCTACAAGCTTAAAAGTAGGCCTCATTTCAGAACTTTTATCCATTTTTATGTTTATATTAGCAGCAAATAATCGCTTTTAATGCAAGTTTAACCAGTAATCAGCTCCAACTAGAGTCCTGTTATTGTGGTCCATGCAGATAACAGCAGATATGAACAAGTTTGAAACAGGACTCTGCAGTTCTTACTTAAATTCCTCATCTAACATTCTAGAAAAATCGCTCTAGCCAAGTAAGAACAAAAAAAGCTAAAAGTGACAGCTGAGCAGTCATGCCTGGAAGCAACCATCACTTACATGTCTCCCTGAATCACCAGTGATTACTCAAGTGACCACTTGTTACTGTACTTCAAGAGCTGCTCCATGTCCGTCTCTCCCCCTACCTCACCCAGCCTGCTTCCCCACCTCTATTCTCTCTCCCTGACCCACTTTTCCTTTGCTGTTTAAAGTCACACACACACACCAACATTGCTGATCTAGAAGTGGGTGTGTAGCTGTAGAGAGTTGAGAGAGGACCCTAAATCAAAGAAATTATAGTATTTCATAAAAGAAATACTCTTACATTTTAATTGGCCGGTGGGTTGGGGGAAATAAACAGAAAAAATACCTACCTCACTGTTCACCTTCTCTTAAAGCTGCAGCTCTGGCTCAAACTCAGTCAAACATCAACTTGTCATCTTTTTTTTTTCATCGAAAATGTGCTTCTCCAACTCACTGTCTCTTTATCAGGTTATCCACCTCTTCTGCCTCACACTCCACTGTTTCACTGGAAACAACAGCTGGAAGAATCCCCCCTCCTGAAATATCACTTTCTGTCCCTCCCTCTGTCCTTCTCAATATGGTGCTAATGAGATGCCAGTCTTTTATTTTGACTGTTTGCTGCTCATGTGACAGTGTGGCACGCAGTCATGTGAGCTTATTAGTATTGTAAAGGAAAGCTCTATATTTAAGTTCCTCTCCCTGATTCATACCTGAGAAGAGATCATTTGGAACAACCAGTTTAAATAACTCTTTATAAGGTTTATTTAATACATAAACCTTATAACTCTTTATAAGGTTTATGTATTAAATTACTATGAGACATGGCAACAGATTTTGACACAAAATGTTATCCTACTCAGACCAGATAAATGGTTCTGGTTACAGATGGCAGCTCTTACCACCGTGCTCGCTTCTTCAGAAAGTCGGCCCAGAATACCAGTTATAATCCAAGCTCATGATACATGAATAATAGAAATAATCCTAACAGTAGGTGTGTACAACAGCTGAGGCCGGGGGTTCCCCTAGCACCGCTACAGCTGACTCCGCTATGACCTGCAGACTATGTCCATCAACACTTTGTTGCACAAGGTGAGACTCAACAAAGAACATGGATGTAATTCAGAGTCATAGATCAAACAACATTATCTGATTAGCAACCATTAAGGTTTTCATTGTGTTTTTAGCACTAGGGTTGAAAAACATAGGTCAGTTAGGCCAAAGCCTCCTGAAGTGGTAAGATTAGTAATTATCTAAAACAGAGAGGAAGTGCTTAGAGAACTTTATCAGAGAGGGTCCCTGTTTCTCAGGATGCCCCCTTGACCCAGTGTAGGTGGTGGGAAGTGTCTCCCACCCCATGCATGAAGCAGTTGCAGAGATGGAGAGTCCCTTCAGTGACAAACTGCTGCATACTGCAGGTACACTAAGGAGCATTATCTCATATTGTTAGGAATCCAGTTTGTGTGGGTTGTGTTTTTTGTTTGTTTTTCTCCACCACCAGGTGGCGCCTGGTTCTCGTTGGCCTTCTCACACACCTGCGGATGTTTTCCTCATCACCGGAGGACTCTTAAGCTGCTGACTGCCACTACCTCAACGCCAGAGTGTTTGCCAGTTTTGGGTACTCTAGCCAAGCTGAGTTTTGTCGAGTCAAACTGAGTTTTTGTCACCTGAGTCTTAAAGGAATAGTACACCCAAAACATGATTAGCCTTCATTTTCTACTCACCCCCATGCTGAACAAAAATCTGGAGTACTTTTTTGATATCTCAAATGCATCTGGAGATCTGGGAGGCTTCTTGCTGTCTGCTGACATTCAAATAATGGAGGTCTATGGCGCCCGAGACAGAAAGGTCCATAAAAGTCCACAAAAACGTGTCAATATTCCTCCATACTGCTCGTCCAATGTAATCCAAGTGTCCTGAGTGGGTAGCATCCATAATTTACTCGAAACGAAGTCATTTAGAATGTTTTTAGAGCATAAACAGTAGTGTATAGGATTTCCTAATAGCGCCCCCATGCGCGCTCACGATTCTACGGAAGCCGGCAGACCAAACCAGCGCATTCAGCTCGGCAAAGAACTCATGCTCTTCCTCAACACTGAAGTCCTCAGACATTTTTCTTTCGTTGTTTCTTTCTTTGCACAGGTAAACAGCACATTTCTTCTTCTACGCTTGCATTATCGGCAGAGCAGACGCTGAATGCGGACTTTCTTCCGGTTTGGTCTGCCGGCTTCCGTAGAATCGTGAGCGCGCATGGGGGCGCTATTAGGAAATCCTATACACTACTGTTTAGGCTCTAAAACGTTCTAAATGACTTCGTTTCGAGTAAATTCTGGATGCTACCCACTCAGGACACTTGGATTACATTGGACGAGCAGTATGGAGGAATATTGACACGTTTTTGTGGACTTTTGTGGACCTTTCTGTCTCGGGCACTATAGACCTCCATTATTTGAATGTCAGCAGACAGCAAGAAGCCTCCCAGATCTCCAGATGCATTTGAGATATCAAAAAAGTACTCCAGAGTTTTGTTCAGCATGGGGGTGAGTAGAAAATGAAGGCTAATCATGTTTTGGGTGTACTATTCCTTTAACCTTGTTGTTTTTTGTCTTTGCCTCTCGGTAGGAAGTCATCCTGCAAACTGGATGTTTTGGACCTTCTCCCCCCTGGAAGGATTCTCTGAGCGTCAAACTGAGCTGAGGATTCAAACTGGTGCTTTGAATCTTCTTTTCCTCCAAAGGATTGTTTGGGCTTCTCTCTGAGCAGGGGATTCATATCTACAAGAAACCGTTCAAGTACCGCAGGAAATCTAAGTGCCAGTCAGTTCCTCCGTTCCTCAAGGAAAGTCTATTACTGGAACAACCCACACCGACTGGATTCAACGAAAGACACCTTTTTCTGGAAACCCCCGGTTCGCCAGTGTTCAGAGCAGCACTCGACTCCTCTCTACCAACTCACAATAAACCTGTTAAACCTTCCCCTGGTCTCTCTGTTTGTCTTTCTGCACGTGGGTCAGATCTTCGGATAAAATCATGACACATATCCTTCCTCCTGCCAGCTTTTAGACTTATCGCAATCGCTGCTCCCAATAAGCTCAAAAGGTCCCTGCTGTTTTTTGCCCCCCTTTTTTTCATTATATAGATACTCATTAGGTTAAATGCATTTATATATTCTTACATAATACAACTTATTCAAATAATCCAACTTATTTGCACACTTTTTAAAGTTTTCAGTGTGTATTTTTTTTAAATAACTGCACAGGATTTTCTTTTGTCTTTTGGGGTTTTTATATTTTTTACCCTTGTGTGAATCTGCATGCATAGCTGAAAGGGTCATGGAGGCCGCAGTCTCCGCAGAGAGTCACTGACTTCCCTCTTCCCAGACACCTTCTCCAGCTCCTCTGGGGGAAACCCAAAGAACAGCTGAGGGTTTCTTGGGCCATACCTTGAGCCTGTGGTATATTCCTGGAACAACTACAGGGGGCGGCATTTGGGGGCACCTGAAAAAGATGTTAAGCCACCTCAGCTGAGTGCTCTTGATTTGCAGGGGAAGCACATCTATCCAAGCCCTTCCTGGATGATTGAGCTCCTTACCTTATCTCTGAGGGAATACCCAGCAACCCTGCAAAAGAAGCTAATTTTGACTGCTTGTATCCGGGTTCTCACTCTTTCTGTCATGATCCAGATTGACCTTAGATGAAGGTAGGAATGTAGACCGACTGGCAAATCAAAAGCTGTGCCTTCTGGCTCAGGCCTCTCTATGCTATAACAGACCAGTGCAGCGTCTACATTATAGCAGCAGCTACACTAATTCGTTTATCAATCTCCCGCTCTGTTTTAACCTCACTCGTGAACAGGACTCCAAGATACTCCAAGATCCTTTACTTGAGGCAGGAACCATGGCTTTTGACTTAAAGGAGATTATCTTCATGACCTGAATCCTTTATTGCAATAGATATTTCTATTTGTTTCTATCCAGGGTCCACTTGTCAGACTTAAGAATGGCCATATGTCAAAATGTTTTAGAGGTTGATGTTTCGCAGTGCACCAAGTATTTAGGTACATTCTTTGCAACAACAAGTTTTAATGTGATTTTTGGGGATTTCAGGGAAGGAACAACATAAAAGTAGTGTAGAACATTATGTATTTTAACAAGAGAAATCTAAAACATATAGCATTCATTAGTGTAATAGCTCTGAGGGCAAAGACTGACCTGAGACATGTTCCAAAAATGACTTAAACTTTTCATAAAGGTTTAATAACATTGTTGTTTAAGATGGAGTCTTCAACAGCTACAAGTTCCCTGTTCTGGAAGCAAAATGCAATTGCTAGATCCAAAATAAGCAGGAACAAATTAAGCCCTGTCCTCCCAAGGTTGATTGGGAGAGCTTCTGAAGATTAGGCTGCCAGGGTAAAGGAATCAAGCCTGACAGAAATCGAAGGATAATATGGTGATTTAAAACTTAAGCGAAGGACATGTGGATCGATTAGCTCCACTGATTCCTAAACTTGTATTGTTGCTCCTCCCTTTGGTTTACATGAATGTTTCCCTGCATTCAGCAGCGTTAGATATGGGACGCTAAGTTGGACCCTAAAATTGTAAGGCTGCCTAATCATGTCCAGTCAATGAAATTTAGATCTCCTAATCCATTTAAACTGTAAAAGCATCCTAAGGATGACCCATAGTTTGATTTTCAGAAAGAATCTATAATTGCAAGTGGAAAACATGCATCTGTGTTCGATTTCAGGACCTGTCCTGATCACAGTGAGCAGCCCACCATTATTGAGCTAGAAGAGTCTTAATAGTGAGACTCTTCTATCTCCATAGACCCTTAGATCATAGCTAATTATAATAGTAAAAAAAAATCTAAGCCAACTAATTAGGGATTGAAAGATTTTAGCCTTTTGAATTGGTACTCTAACACTGTGAGAAGAAAACTTTGGGTTTGAGTTGTCTACCTTTTTTTCTGGGATTCATTCATTCAGATTCATTCATACAACAGAGAAGGTATTAGGACACTGTCCATTACATTTATACCGTATATTACATATACCATTTACATGGTAGGATTAAATTCTTTATAGCTACATTGGAATGTTTACAGATTAGATGACATCCCAAGATAGTTGGTTGAGTTTTTTTATTTTAGTTGTAGCACAGTAAAGAGGGCTGAATAGAAATGAATATCATATGGAAAGCTATGCGTAATTTTCCTTCAATTTCACAAATATACACCACTTTGTGTTTTTCCGTTGCTTAGAATCCTAATGAAATGCATCAAAGCTTTCTGTTTTGTGGAAAATGTAGAAATGTTTAAAGGGTGTGGATAGTTTTCCTTAAAAGTGTAGATCACTGATCAGCTTTTGGGGATTGTCAGCTGTTTCGTTTGAAGATAAACAAAAATGACCTCACAGATGAGTCAGATCAAGCCACAGGGATGTTTTTTTTTTTTTTTATCCTGGAAGAGATTCTTTCCTTTGACAGGAAAGAAAGAATAAACCATATTGCAGCTTCATGATCACAAAGAAAAATTAAATTGTTCTCCATGGTTGCAGAAAGACATTAATCTATTTAATGCCTCACAGGCTAGCTGCAGCTGGCTGCATGCACGCAGCCGTTGCACGCTCTCCAACAAGCCATCTCCTCATCTCTCTGCCCACAAGCTCTTAACATTTAAACAGTAAACTCTTCAAACCTGAAGAAAAAAACAACCCTGAAGCTATATAATGTAGTCTTTAACCACTGCAGGACTCCATTCAAACCAAACACCTTTGACGCTTTTATCATGTAAATGTGTTAGAGGGAGAAACTGGAGAACGACAACAGAGCAATACTTTATTTCAGTATTTATTTCAACACCTTAGTTGTATCTCTATCATATTATATACTTTATTTTATTCAAAACAAAATGTATAAATATTTATATACCTTTTATCTCTGCATACTTATGCTCATACTGTACGTAGTCATGATGCATTTTACTAGGCCTAAAAATACTCTGTTATTCATAATGTGTAATGCTTTCTACGCTACTGCTCAGTCTGTGTTCGCCTCTCAGAATGGCGGTCCATCATCAGATAGCACTGGATTAACTCAATGAGGAGACAGAGTCACAGGTTGGTGCCCACATGGAGAGAATAGGCCTTAACATGAGGTTCACCACCGTAGAATAGAAAGCATTTACAGAAAATCCAAAAATTAAGCATAAAATGTTGAAGAATTTGTCCACATGATCTGGAAGACAGAGATTCTTAAAAATGTTTACATACCTAATATTATAATCTTCAATATACTATATCTTTATTCTCTTTGCTGTTATTATTGTCATTACATACAGAGATATAAGTGATGTGTGTTTTGCCCCACATTGAAATGACTGCACTGGCTTTTTAATTCAAAGCCTAAAATGGGATACCAAATATATAACACATGCTGTAATTGAAAGTTTATTACAGCGAAAACCTGTAAAAAGTAGGTTGGAGAATTTGTTTAGTTGCATTGAGGAACATTGAAACCATGGGATTGTCACTTCAGAGAGAAAAACTAAACATTTTAAGAGGAGTACAAGCTTTTGCTTTTATGGAAAATGCATTAGGAAGAGAAGGTATAAGTCAGGGGAAGCAATTGAGGAGCAAGGGAGACAGAAACACACCAACATAATTGGAAATGCTGACTCACAGAGGCAGAAGGTTAAGAAATTCAGGCAAACAGAGAAGCAGTAAAAAGCCCTTTTTGATCACCCCACGTAAATTAAAGAAAAGAAGACGGTGTGATACAACTTTAAACTTTTCTTTCACCCAAAACAGGGGAAAACCTCTTGCTAGTGACAAATTTGCACCAATGTTCTGTCTGGATCTGAGGAGAATAATGTATGAAGTTTTTAAATCTCTTCCTAAATTTTACAGTGTAATTTTAACATTTAAAAAACACCCTGACTGGTTTTATCTGAATAATTTCTATCAGCACTGAGTACAAAACAAATGATCTGTTACTAATAGAGAATCTTGTTTAACATGTAAGATATATTTGCAAAATACAAACAGACAAAGCTTATTGGGGCATCCTTTGGGGAAAATCTGTATATATATATATATATATATATATATATATGTATTAATGTATTCATATAAAATACTATTTATGTCTATTTGTTACTATCATTTACAAACCCCACAAAAAAAACTCTTCCATATTGTTATTATCAGATCTGCTGAAGAGCACAAAGCAGACGTCAGAATGTGAGGTTCACGTCTCTGCTTTTAATAGAGCCTCTGGTTCAGTCACAGTAGATAACATTTTCTCGGGCGATTTGTCTGCTTGTCTTTAAACTCCAACTTAAGTTTTCTCAGCAGCAGCAGCTCTGAACAGCAGATGGTGTGAGAATCCATCTGTCACTGTGCCTGGGGAAAAAAACTGTGTAAGTGTGTTTTTTTTTCTTTTTTTATGCCACAAAATAGTGTGTTAATTAAAAGCCTGTCCATCAAAAGTTTAGAAACATATTTTCACTTAAAAACCATCAACTTAGGACATTCAGAATGTTTTTATACTCATTCCACAAACTTATCAACAGTAAAGCAAACACCTTCCCACAAATATCTACCGCCTTAGACTTTGCTAAACCGCAGCCTGTAGATGTCCACTGTTCTTCTCTTCCACATCTTCTGATATTGATCACCTTTGTCAATTAGTTTCTCTCCCTTTCCTTTCACCTCTGAATCATCAGTCCCTTCACTTTCTCAGTCTGTGTCTCGAGGAGATGTGGGGACATGCAAAGGAGAGGAGAGACGCCTGGGGAGAAAAGGAGGCCAAATCAAAGAATAAGAACGGGTGGATTTTAACTACAAACTAAATAGGGTTTATAAGATGCAATAAGATGGATAAATGATTGGATAACTGATTAGACTCTAGGGGTAAAGAAGGTTGAAAAGTAAAGTGTGGCTGAAATAACTTAAATGAAACTAACGAGACACTTTGGCTTTCCTTCACCATCCAGTGCTTCTTTTTTGGACCAATAGATCAAGTCGCCTCTACACCTCCCTGAGCCGGTTTTTGTCCTCCCTCACCTGTCAGTGAGTTTCTTGAGGGCCCTCTCGATGTTCATTCGATGACCCACACGTGTTACTCCTAGGTCCAAGAAGTCGTCCTTGGTAAGCGAAGGGAGATGAGATCCGTCTATCTCATTGTCTATAAAACGCTCCCTGTGTTCGCCCAAATTTAAGTAAGTCAACCAGTCGGCAACGTCGTACTTGGTCCAGTAGGGTAGAGGTTTGATGGCGAAGGGTTTGGCAGGGGGAGCGGGGCTAAGGTGAGGATAGTTAAGACAAGAAGGGCTGGGGGGTAGATGCAAAGGGGAGGAGGCTCCAGAGAAGAAATGAGTCGGGGAAAGGGAGCGTGAGACAAGCAGCGGGTTTGGAGTTGGCACACCAGATGGAGAGAACAGTGGAGGAGTTGAAGCATGGTAGGGATCTCCAAGAGAGTGACCAGGAGATGGAGGAGTGAGGGGGCCAGGAAAGTCGAAGGGGTTACTGTAGATCGGCGTTGAGGGTAGGATAGGAAGAGAAGATGGTCTGGGAGGTGTGGGGTTCGGCTGTTCGGTGCTGTAGATGAGTGGGCTCGGAGCCCGACGCCTGGAAACCGAGGATCGCATCTCCTTAGAGGGACTACACTGAAAATCAAACGTCTGCCTGCGCAACTTAGATCTGTGCTTAGGTGATGTTGGGTATGGGCAGTAGGTTGGAGAATGGGGAGGATGGGAATGTACCGGCGACGTAGGCATCTGAGGAGAAGGGGATCGGGTCCAGTTGCGCTGAACTGGGACTTGAGGAGATGGAGAGATGGAAGGGGACGCCGAGAGGTTGGGAGTCAGGATCTGTCGGTGCTGCGGGGAGGAGGTTGGTAGTGGTGAGGTGGAGCGACCAGTTGGTGGGCTGTGGAAGGCATCAGTAAAATCTGCAGAATACCTGAAAGACAAAGCATTAAATGTTATATTTACATTAATCATTAAGATTGTCTTAGACTTAGACACATTTATTTGTCATTTTGTTTACACAAGTGTAAAACAAAAAGAAATTTCATTAAGAACAGCTCTCTGCACAATTCCATTTTTTTTTAAAGTGAAGCCTTGACAAATAGTAAAAAATATATAAAACAGTAATATAAACATATGACTGTAAATTTACAATTCTTACATGTCAGGTTTTCTTTTTTATTATCTCAGATTAATATCTAATTACATCTGGTGGTAAGAAGTTAGGTTCTGCTGCTTTTTATGAAATGGAAATGTAAATTTCACAGCTAAACTGCTGCTCATTTACTCTTTGAAAGCTGTAAATTATTGTCATTTTGTGTGTACAAAATGACAATAAAAGTTGTCTAAATCTAAGTTCTTATAACTTATCCACAAATGATCCTGGGTATTGAAAAATACTGAAAAACTATCTCTTCTGAGCTACCTTCACTCAGTGGAGGGTAGCTGAATCATTGATCTGCAAAATCCCACTTAGGTCTGTAGGATCAGCATTGTTTACCCGACACAATCTAGCACGATCAGTATCCTGGTAGCTCTAGTGAAAAATACAATGCCACATTGATTTGTTTGGATGAAGATACTGTGTCCACTTAATCCTATTCTTAAGTCTACAAAAACTTTAATGCAGCATCCTTTGCCTATCTAACACAAATATTTATTTACATTTATAAATGCTCACAAAACACTTACAATATGATGTGACCATTTCATTTCTAAGCTGTTAAAGGCATCATTTGAATCGCTTGCTTGTTACGCTCATCTTAATCTAAGGTTGCCTTGATGTAAAGAGAATAGTGAATTTTTAAAAAACATTTTTAAGAAAAGATGAATAATTGTATTATTTTCTTTTTAGTGATAAGTAATTTAAACTCCTGGTGATTAATATCCATCCAGTCTTTTCAGCATCTTCAAATGTGGTAATGCACCTCCTTATGATGCTTCCTCTGCATAGAGGGGTATCTCCTCGCCTGTTTCTGACTTGAAATGCCAATAAGCATTTTGTTTAAATCTTTGGACTTCACCTTATGCAGAGTCATCCTGGGTGAACATCTTGATAATATACAGTAGTAGACATTCAAAATTTCCCCACTTTCCTTGATGGGTTGGCTGGTCTTCTACAATTCCCTTTTTAACATCAATCTTTGTACTAAAATATTCTTTCTGTCATGATTTGCGGACATTAAGATCTAAAGAGAAGCGTCATCTCCTGGTCAGACCCTGTAATTCAGTGAAATGGTGGAGTCAGAGTAAAAAACATGCACACCCAGGAAAAGGCCAGTGGCTGGAAGTTGGGGGGGATTTTGCTGGGAGTTGCAGGGAAGTGGGCGGCCATATGACTGGTGTTTGACTGGGAAGGGACTTTTTGAATGGCTGCTACCGTAAGAATCCCTGACTCGCTTCAATGTTTTAAGCACTGAAAAGGTCAGCATAATCTAAATCCATAAGTCACAGTTTGCAATCAGCCACCAATTAGCAAGAGGATCTCCTGTTTACTGAGCTTTCTGCTCCCGTTAGATTTGGATTGGGATTGAAACACTGGCGGTGTCTCAGTCTCTCTGAGGAAACAAGTCTCATTCATTCATTTAAGGATCATTTGTGCAGTTTGTGCAAGCAACCCCAATGCAATATTTGATAATGTTTTTTATAAAAAATAAACACAATCTCAAACGTCTACCAAACTCAATTGCATGTCCCTACCTGTTAACTACCTACTCTCTACACAGGGCTAAAAAAAAAGCTATTTTTAGACACTTTGCTAAGAGATTTAACATTTATTGGTCAAATTACTTTGTTACGGTGGCCAAAAACCCTTCAAACCATCATTGAACTTTTTAAATATGATCTATTAGAAAACAGTTAACATTTTGTCAAAAAATTGTGCACGCAATTTGCTCTTTACAGGTACACTATGCAACCGGTGTTGATTTTCCAGTGAGGCTCCCTCCAGAGGGCGAAAGTAAAAGTGCACTGTCGTAAATATGCACAGCTGTTCTCCTGGTTTCTCCGTCAAGCCAGGCGCGGTTGTTTTGAGCTTAGCAGCGAATGACTAACGCTGCGTTCACACTGGACGTAGCTGGCGCGACAGAAGCAGCGAGTTTACATGCAAAGTCAATGGTTGACGCGCGTCAAGGCGTTGCAAAAGGTCCCGCGCACCAGGCGCAGCACGTCTGAGCAGCTGAAGCAGCGCATCGGGTGCGTTTAACGCAGGGAGAGAGACACAGCGCTGATGATCACTCCCCTTATACAGTTTATTGACGCCTAAATTAACTGAAAATGCAGAAATCTGCCGGCAGAATATGCAGTTTGGATTATTTAGATGAAAAACACCTACCAGCTGCCGCAGTGAACCGCTGCTGATGAAGGGATCCATACTGTCGGCGCCCCGCTGGTATGTGGGGGTCTGAGCGGCTCCGACAGAAAAAATATTGAAGGCAGGATAATAATCTGAATGAACTGACTGCACTGATTACGTTTTCAGGTGTATTTTCTCACTTAAACACATATTAAAACTACTTTATTCCCACTGATCACAGCAAATATAGCTGCAAGGCAGAGAAAAGATAGTGAAGCTCCGCCCAACGCGCCTCAGACACACTTTTGCACCAGAGCAGCAAAGCTGCTTCAGCCACGCGTCAGAACTAACTGGTACAAGCAGCAAAAATGAAGCAGCAGACGCGATTTTGCTGCTTTTGCTGCGTGAACGTAGCATAACTGCACAAAGATTGCCACTGTGCTAGCAACGAGCATGCTTTTAACTGGGGGGTGTAGCAGTTCTCGCCGTAAAGCAAGACTGACTCTCACGAGACTTCTGAGCCTGTGGGTGCGGGTCGGTGCTCCTGCAGTTGCAAGTGCAGTATTTCCCCCACAGACCACCAGGGCGGCAGAGAATACCTTTGTTCAACCTGAAATGACTCATTTAGTCATCCATAACGTTATGGAACACATTAATTAACTGAAAAATGTTGCATAGTGTCCCTTTAACATCTTGTCATGGAATTTTTAATGAACGTTTGCTGGTTATTCTCCGTACCCTACAATACATTTATTGTCACAATTCATGCTTTATACTGCAGAATATATACACACTGGCTACTTCATTAGGTACACCTTTCCAACTGCTTGATGCAACTTACTAATTAACCAATCACATGGCAGCAACTTAAGGCATTTAGGCATGTAGACATGGTCAAAACCATCTGCTGCCCTTTAAACCGAGCATCAGAATGGGAAAGAAAGGTTAATAAAGTTACTTTGAATGTGGCATGGTTGTTGGTGCAAGACACGCTGGTCAGTGTATTTTAAAAAGTGTTGATCTGCTGGGATTTTCACGCAAAACCATCTATAGAGTTTATTGAGATTGGTCCAAAAAATAGACAAAAAATCAAGTGAGCAGCAGTTCTGTGGGCGAAAATGCCTCATTGATGCCAGAGGTCTGAGGAGAATGGCCATACTTGTTCGAGCTGATAGGAAGGCAACAGTAACTCACTAGTTACAGCCGAGGTATACATAAGAGCATCTTTGAAGGGCAGATGGGCTACAGCAAGAGAAGACCACACTGGGTGTCACTTCTGTCAGCAAAGAAGAGGAAACAACTACAACTCTTTTGAACATTTAACCCTTAATTTCCCTGATCCAAATTTCAAGGCAAGAAAACCTCTTCTTTTTGTAACTTTGTATCGTCCACCAGGTCCTTACTCTGAATTTTTAGATGAGCTTTCAGAGTTCCTTTCTGATTTGGTATTAAATACTGACAGGGTCATCATAGTGGGAGATTTTAACATCCATGCTGACATTGAAGGCGATAGCTTAAGAGCAGCCTTTAATGCTATCTTAGACACTATTGGCTTTGTTCAAAATGTGAATAGTCCCACGCATTCTCATCTTCATACTTTGGATCTTGTGCTGACATACGGCATAGAATGTGAAGAAATAACAGTATTTCCTCACAACCCTGTCCTCTCTGACCACTTTCTAATAACCTTCAGGATTACTTTAACAGAGTTCTCCTCCCCCAAAAGAAGGTTCAATTTTAGTAGATCTTTATCAGATAGTGCAGTTATAAATTTTAAAGAATCTGCTTCACTTTCTCTCTGCTCTGTGTCACTGAGCAGTGCTGCAGAGTGCAAAAGCTTAGCTTATTCCCCTTCACAGGTTGATGATTTTGTTGAGGGGGTTGCTAGTTCTCTGCGTATTGCCTTAGACAACGCAGCTCCTTTGAAAATGAAAACCGTTAAAAATAGAAAGCTTGCTCCTTGGTTTAATGCAGAGCTGCGTACTTTGAAGCAAAATGCTAGGAAACTGGAGAGAAAATATCGCTCCACAGGCCTGCGAGAGTCCTTCCTAGTCTGGAAAAATGGTTTACTGCTGTATAAGAGGACCCTTTGTAAAGCAAGAGCAGCATACTTCTCCTCATTAATAGAGGAGAATAAGAATAATCCTAGATTTCTTTTTAATACAGTTGCCAAACTCACCCAGAGCCATAGCTCTGTTGAACCGTCCATTCCACCTGCTCTTAGCAGCAATGATTTTATGGGATTCTTTATAAATAAGATTGATCTTATTAAAAATAAGATCATAAGCACTCCTCTATCCGCGATTGTACCTGAGGTAGTCATGGAATCTGAACCGGGTTTAGACTGCTTTGATCCAGTTGAACTCTCTGAATTAGCAAAATTATTGTCTTCATCTAAGCCTTCAACTTGTATGTTAGATCCAGTTCCAACCAGGTTATTTAAGGAGGTATTCCCTTTGATCTCCTCCTCCATTTTAGATGTGATTAATCTATCTCTGTTACAGGGATATGTACCTAAAGCTTTTAAGATTGCTGTAATTAAACCTCTGCTTAAGAAACCGTCTCTTGACCCAGATGACTTGGTCAATTATAGACCTATATCCAATCTTCCTTTCTTATCCAAAATTCTTGAGAAAGTAGTTGCCAAACAAGTTTGCGATCACTTCCACCATAATGAACTTTTTGAAGAGTTTCAGTCTGGCTTTAGAGCTCATCATAGCACTGAAACAGCTCTGGTGAAAGTCACTAATGATATTCTCATGGCCTCAGATAATGGACTTGTATCTGTGCTCGTCCTGTTGGATCTTAGTGCTGCATTTGATACAGTTGACCATAATATTCTTTTAGAAAGACTTGAATATTTTGTTGGAATTAAAGGAACAGCACTAGACTGGTTTAAATCTTATCTATCTGATCGAATTCAGTTTGTTCATGTTAATGATAGATCTTCAACACGCTCAAAGGTTACCTGTGGAGTACCACAGGGATCAGTGCTAGGACCAATTCTCTTTACTTTATACATGCTCCCAATTGGTAGAATTATTAGACAGCATGGGATTAATTTCCACTGTTATGCTGATGATACCCAGCTATATCTGTCTATAAATCCAGATGAAGCTAACCCATTACATAGATTACAGGCATGTCTTGAAGACATAAAAACCTGGATGACTCTTAATTTTCTGCTTCTGAATGCAGACAAAACAGAAGTTATAGTCTTTGGACCAGAGTCTCTGAAAAAGAAACTGATTAGCCAGTCACTTCATTTGGATGGGATTAAACTGATTTCAGATAATAAAGTAAAAAATCTTGGTGTTATTTTTGATCAGGACCTGTCATTTAAATCCCATATCAAAGAGGTTTCTAGAATTTCCTTCTTTCATCTGAGGAACATTGCAAAAATTAGAAATATCCTGTCCAGGGGTGATGCTGAGAAACTAGTCCATGCATTTGTTACTTCAAGGCTGGACTATTGTAATTCTTTACTATCAGGAAGTCCACAAACTGTAGTTAAAAGCCTTCAGCTGATCCAAAATGCTGCAGCCAGAGTTCTAATGAAAATGAAAAAGAGAGATCATATCTCTCCTATCCTGGCTTCTCTTCATTGGCTTCCTGTTAAATCAAGAATAGAATTTAAAATCCTCCTTCTCACATATAAAGCCTTAAATGGCCAAGCTCCATCTTATATCAGAGATCTGATTGTTCCTTATGTTCCTAACAGAGCACTTCGCTCTCAATCTGCAGGTTTACTAGTGGTTCCTAGAATTTCTAAAAGTAGAATGGGAGGCAGATCTTTTAGTTATCAGGCTCCTCTCCTGTGGAACCAACTACCAGTTTTAGTCCGTGAGGCAGACACCCTGTCTACTTTTAAGGCTAGGCTTAAAACTTTCATTTTTGATAAAGCTTATAGTTAGGGTGGCTCAGGTTATCCTGAGCTATCTCTATAGTTATGCTGCTATAGGCTTAGACTTTTGGAGGACATAGGGACCCCCATTTCATCATTCTGCTTCATTCTCTCTCTGTTCTCCTATTCTGCAGAATCTGTTAGTTCAATCTCTAACCTTCTGCTCTCTCTGCTTTTCCTCAGAGTAGCTTTGCCTCGTCTGTTCCTGTTTGGCTGTGACGTCATCCTGGAAAAAAACATCAGCTGTGCTGCTTCTATCAACACCCTTGTTAATAGATGTTGGAGATCGGCCTGTTTTCCAGTGTGGTCCTGTTTCTCTGACCGTGACTGAGTGGATGTGCTCTCTTCGTCCTCTGGCATGGGAGCTGCCTTGGAGCTCGTCTGCCTGGCTGTGTGTTTCCTGGACGGGGCCGCCTTTTACAGCTGCTTTTTGTATCTCTGCTTCTGTCTCCTTGAACCCCAGTCGGCCTCGGCAGATGGCCGCTCACACTGAGCCTGGTTCTGCTGGAGGTTTCTTCCTGTTAAAAGGGAGTTTTTCCTCTCCACTGTCGCTACAAGCATGCTTAGTGTGGGGGATTGTATTTGAGTCAATGAGTCAATGCAATCAACTGGTTTTCCTTAGATAGAAAACTTTGTATCAATTTGACTGTATGATCTGGTTGAACTGTAAAGTGCCTTGAGATGACATGTGTTGTGAATTTGGCGCTATATAAATAAACTGAATTGAATTGAATTGAAACTGAGGCTTGATTTCACACTGGCTCACCAAATTTGGACAATAAGAAATTGGAAAAATGTTGGTTGGCCTGATGAGTCTCTATCTCTGCTGCGACATTCGGATGCCAGGGTAAGAATTTTGCTTTGAGAAGATAAAAGTCTGGATCTATCCCGCCGTAAAGGTTTAGTCTGGTGGTGATGTAGGATATTTTTTTTAGCACACTGTGGGCCCCTGGGTATTGTTGCTGAGCATCTCTTTATGACCACAGTGTACCCATCTTAGAATAGGCTGTTTCTGGCAGTTGGACTGGTCTTTCAACATGATAATGAGTTCACTGTACTCAAATGGCCCCCAGTCACCATGTCTCAATCCAATCTGTGAGATGCTATCATGTCAATATGGACCAAACTCAACTGTGGAATGTTTCCAGTACCTTGTTGAATCTATGCCACTAAGGATTAAGGTAGTTCTGAAGGCAAAAGACGATCCAATCCAGTACTACCAAGGTGTACCTAATTAAGTTGCAGGTGAGTATATTTTCAATTCTAAAAAGAGACACAAAGTATTTTGCCAGAAACAAAAGAGAAATTATTGGCCAAATGAAAATGTATCTCTGAATCCTGAAAATAGAATAATTTCTGTTAGGCTGGCTGAAATAAATCAACACATTGTAAAAATAATAAAAAACAGATGATGTCTGGGAATGCTTACTTTACATTGGACTTAAAAAGTCTTAATCCGTGACTCAAAATATGTGGGGGGGAGCAGTTTTTGAGGAAATGGCACAGTCAGAGGAAAAAAGGAGAGAAGCCAGCTGGCTGATAGTTACATAGCTACTTTTCTAAAGCGCAAAACAGCAATTTTAATGGATTTTTGTACTGTTGATTTTTCCGTTGTTTTCTAAAGTTGTAGGAAAGCAGATATTAGGAAGACTGAACAAAGTATACCAAATTTGCTTTGTTTCATTTCATAAAAGAAGTTCAGCTAATGAATGTTATATCATCTCATAATATAGTATCTATAATAATCTATAATATGTAAGCAGTGGTTAAAATCGTTATAAGTATGTCAAAGCTCTACAAAAGCCAGAGATCAGAAAACTGGGACAGTTTTGATGGCTCATCCTTATAATTTCTTTGTTATTAATAAAATAGTGCTGTAGAATTTAGTTTTGTGTCTTGCCCCAGCTGGGTTAACACACCTGTTTTATTAAGATGAACACACTAGTTACTTATTTAATGTGCAATTTAAATATTGTTAAGCCACTAATAGAACCCCACCGTAAAAAAAAATAAAAATAAAATTATAACCACCTCTTTTTAAATTTTACCAGAAAGCTACCCCCATTTTAGACAGCTGAATAATATAGAGTTTGATGAAAAACAAACCAACCTATGTATGTTGGGGGACTTAGGAGCATGGCTCCAGTCATCCATGCTCCTCATGCTACTCATCTGTTGAAGCTTGGAGCTCAGCTCATTGATGATGTTGGCTTTGACACCAGAAAAAGGTGAGTGAAGCCTGCGGCCCTCCATAACCATACCCCCGTGTTGAACTCCCACTTGCTCATGTTCAGCAATGTCACCCCAGACCACTGATCGAGGCTCCACTGGCCTCTCTAAACAGGCAGCTAGGGCAGAGCTAAAGCCATCTTCAATTCTGGGTCGACTCTGCTTGTGCTTTCTGTCATCAACAAGAGTTCTATCTAAACTGGCATCTTCGGGGTGGCTTTGTCTCTGCAACTGCAAAGGGGCTGGGTTGGTACTGTTCTGTCTACGTAATGCAATAGGCTGGCCCCTTCCTTCCACTTCCTTGTAATGTGTCATCTTTGGAAAGACAGGGTTTGCCAGTTTGGAGGTGTGCAACTCAAATGTTTGCCCTCCCCTGTAAGTTATGCAGGTATCCTGATGATCACTGACTTTTTCTCCCTCTCTTCCTTGTGCATTGCCTCCATGTCCTATTTTCTCTCCTCTCAAGCCACTTAGTCCCAGCATTTCTAGGTGATGGTCACTACTGCTATGGCTGTCCAGCTCCTCTATTCCAGAATCCACCACTGTATCTTGCCAATCTCCACTCTTCGGAATAACTGCACTGGAATGAGTAGGATCTGTTTCTTTATTTCCTGTGCTAATGCTCACTTTGACCCCAGCCATGGTATAATCAGAGGATGCTGGAGAGGTTGTGGTTGTTGTGGCAGCAGCAGTTGCTGTCATCGTAGTTGTAGCATAAGTCATGGTAGTAGTAAGGGTAGCTGTGCCTCTGTCCTGGGCCTGCGACTGAACACCAATGGACGGGTCATTACTGCTGCTGTAGAAAGGGTGTGAATGAGACATAGGTTGGGGTCTGTGTATTGAGGTGGTAGGCACAGTAGCTGCTGAGGAGGTGGTGGTGGATGATGGTGCAAATATCTGTGGGGATGGATATGAAGGAGAAAGTGCAGATTGTGTGAGGTTGGCCACTTCGCTATCATAGGAAGTGAGGCTGGAGGTGGCAGAGTCTCCACCTTGTGAAGATTGTTGTGGAGGATTTTGGGGCTTGGGAGATGGAGGAGGTGGAGGTGGAGGTGGAGCAACAGAGGAAATGTGATGACTATGATGCTGAGAGAACTCCAGCGCTCTCTCATTCTTTCCATTAGCAAACTGTAGAGGAGGGGGTAAGGGATCTGCAAAAACAAACTCTTCATCAACATCAATTGAGGGAGCTGGTGGAGGCAGAACCATTAGTCCTAGGCCACCTGCCCCAGCTCTTGCCTCTCCCATTGTGTCATTAGTCTGCGATGGAGCTGTGGGGACAGTATACTGTGGAATATAGCTTGTGTTGGGAATGTTCTCCATATGCAGATAGGAAGGTCTACGGGGGGCAGGTTGAGCTGGCGGGGGAGGAGGCTGAACAGGCTGAGCATGTTCTCTTTCATACATCTCCTTTTCTCTCTCTCTGCTGCTCTGTGGGTAGTACTGTGTGGGAAACTGGCTGTTTTTGTCCTCAGAAAAACGAACTCTAAGGCCCTCCTTAGGTCCCCCCTCTCTTTCTCTCTCCACCCTTTCCCCACCTCCTCCTAAACGTAAAATTCTTGGTGACTGTGGCCGACTTAAAGATGAAGGTGAGGTGGTGACAGAGGGGGATCCAAGGTGAAGAGACACTGGAGAAGTATACGTTGATTGTGTTGGGGTTGCAAATAATGAAGGTGTTGGGGTCTGAATAGGTGTGGGGAAGGATCCAACCGTCGACAACTGCCTGCCAAAGTGTCTATCATCGCGACGTGTCCTACGGTCATCTTTTAAAGCTCGTTCTCTTGCAGCTAGTGCCAGACCAAGTGGGGACGAGGGGTCAAGCACTTTCCCTGTCAGTGGGTGAATAAAAGTTGTAGTAGGCTGGTTTCCATAGACTGAGGGAGCTGACTTGGGCTGTCCATCTTGGCTAAGGATAGGTGAAGAGTACTCTGGAAGGCCAAAGGCGGGGGGCATGCTACTGGAATAGTTCATGTAGTTTTCTCCAGAAAACATGCCCTCATCTATAGACTTGGAAGGCCGAATTCGAGGGGTGGGCACCTCAATTTTTGGGCCTTGCAAAGGCTGAACCTGAGCCTCATCTGCTTCTCCTCCTCCCTGTCCTGCTCCACCTCCTGCCTCTCCTTGGATGTCCTCCTCTGATGATTGGAAGAATGAAGCACTCTTTCGTCTCATATCTCTTAATCGTTCTCTGTCCCTGCGTGTCCCTCCTCCGCTAAATGCTGTACCAAATGTTGATGTATATTCCAACTTTTCAAGGTTTTGCTGAGAAGACACAGTGGGTGCAACGCTTGATGAAGGCAAAGAATTTGGTGTAGTTGGTTGAGGTGGTGAGGGGGTCAGTGGTGAGGGTAGACTTGTGCTGGAGTTGTCTTGGTTTACATTTCCAGAAGTCTGATCCTCTACATCCTGGGAGGGCTCTGCCTCCATGCTGCTACCCTGGCTGCTTCGACCACTGCTGCTGGTGGATGGAGCTTTGACAATGATAGTAGGGATGGGGATGGAACTCTTTTCTTTGGTTGCACCTCCTTTACCCCTATGTTGTCTCAGCCCATCTTCAACTTTTGACTGCTTAATCAAAGCCCCACGACCTCCACGCCTGGCTACCCCCCTTCCATCTCGTCCAACTTGCTCTCGGCTGGGGAGTTGTGCAGGATGTTGTGTCTGTTGGGCCTTTGGTTTTGCACTTGTTGGTGGTGTGGCACTGCTGTATCCTCTCCTCAGCCCTCCCATTTTACCACCACCTCTTCTAGGTGCCTCTGGTTCTCTTATACACAGTCCATCTGACTGCCTGCGGAGGGTAGGCACCATGACCTGTTGGTTTATGACACCAGGCCCTCCCATCTCCCAGACAGGCTGTGCAGGATGTGCTGACTGTGAATGGAGTTGGTAGTGGGGTTGAGAAATTGGGGGAATTGGCATAGCAGGGCCTCTCCCAGGATAAGGGCCTGCTGATAAAGGTGGCTCAGGGGCTGACGTGTTGGGGGGCGGTGGGATGTCTTCTGGTCCTGGCACTGAAAGGCTACGAGCTAGTTTCATAGCAGGTGGGTGGAGGTGCTGCCTTTCTTCTTCTGTAACACCTAAAGCATAAAATCCAAAATTACCACAACAAAGAAAGAAAACTCATATCATTGTTAAAGTAATCTGTCAATGACAAATGTAGTTACCAATGGATTTTTGGCGCATCATGACCGCATGCTGAGGTCCGTGGCCTGGTTGAAAATGGGCCTGGTTGTAGCCAAATCCCTGCCCAGTCTGCATCATGCTCACAGATGATTGTTGCTCATACGGTTGCTTCAGTGTGTTTGAGCACATTTCAAAAAGAAAAGCAAACAAAACAACATAAATATATGTTTGAATGTAATGAAATGTGACAATCTGATATTTAAACCATATGTTGTGCAAGACGTTCTTGTAACTGTCTTTAATGGTGAAACAGACTCAAAACTTACACGCAAAAAAAAATTGCCTGCTGATGTTTTATTGAAGTCAAATAAATAACAAAATAAACATTTAGAAAATTCCAGGCTTTGACTTATAATAATAAACATTTCTCAAGATTACAATATATTATTTTAAACTTGACTTTTAGTGGTACTCTAACATCCACTGTCCCATTACTTTTGCATTTAACCCATCCCCTTGGAGAGCAGTGGGCTGCCATTGTGCGGCACCCGAGAAGCAGTGTGGGGTTAAGGATCTTGCTCAGAGACCCAGAGTGGCAGTCCATTTTTTAATCCTATGTCCGACCCTCTTAAGCAAATAGTTAAGTAACTTACTGGTGAAACCCAAGTTTTTATTTTAAATTTCATGGTATTTCCAAGAGTTCATGCACACCTTTCTAATGCTTATGCTTCTTCGTATAATTTCCCCCCACATCCTGAATATATTTATTCATTTTAGGGGTTCGATTTTTTTTTTGCGTTTTTATTCTGCAAATCAACATATTTATGATATATTTATAAAATTCTATGATATATATTTTTTCTGGTTCAACCTACATATTAGATTGTGTGCCCATAAATGTGTCCTTGTCTGTAAATGAACAGGCACCTCCTGACTCAAACTCTTTAATTTTATGTGGGTGGTCTGTTGGCAGTCATTCCTGTAATTTGCAGGGCATATAGAACTGAAAATGCTTTTTACCTGCATTGCTCATACATACATACACACACATACACACACACACACACACACATATATATATATATATATATATATATATATATATATATATATATATATATATATATATATATATATATATATATATATATATATATATATATATATATATATATATAAAGTTTCATATATAAGGGCACTATTTAAGGGCTTTGACTTCTTTTAGTGCGGGGGATTGCACCTGCTTAATAAAAGCAGAGGTGTCTGAATTTTCCTGATAAACCACTAAACAATCTTAACCGTTAAGTAGGCCTTTCATCAAAATAATATATCGATTTACAAATGTGTTTACAACTACTATACCAGGATAGACTCCAATTGACCAGAAAGTTAATATTATTCCTAATTTGGGGTTTGAAACTTTTTAGCAACAGTACATTCTGTGCATCTATTTCCAATTAAGCATTAAATCATGATATTGTTTTGGATTAAGAGCAAATAATGATGAATAAATAATAAACTACATAAGGATAGAGTCTAATGCCAATCTTTGTTATTGTAAAAAGGAGACAAAGGTTGCTGAGGCAGTGCAGTAAAAAAATGTTGACTGTATTTGAAACAATGCATCATGAAAACAACTGGTGTTTAAAATTAGATTTTCTTATAGTGCAAAATGGTTGAGAATACCAAGAACCAATCTGTGTGGTGAAGACAGTTTACCCTTTCTTATGTAAGGCACTTACATTTTTTATAATAAGGTATTGTTTGCATTGCCTAAAGACATTTGACGCAGTGTAAATGCTACAACAACATTTTACCCAATAACATAATAAAAGTTATTTCATAAAACAAGCAACATATTGAAATTTAAAATGTGTGATTTATTCCTCAAGTGTATAGTGGTGCTATTTAACATTATTCCTTAATTTATGATAATTGTAGGTGCAATATTTACATTTATAATATATATTTGGTGTTACATCTGGTTGACCATTATAACTTAGTTGTTTGGAGTTTTCCTGACGGTACCTCATTGGAGACGTTGGGAACTATGCTCTTGCTCCGGTCCCTCTTGCCTCCATGACCCCTCTGGCCCTGGTTGTCTGATGTAATAGTGTGCTGGGCAGCAGCCAATATTTCATCAAGTTTATCTGAAGAAGAAGCAAAGCAAGCACACACATACACACAGAGAGAAAAACACGAGAAAGAGAACAGAGAGAAACACAGTCAAGGAAAAGGAAATAAAGGGAGGACCCTCTTGACCCTTTTTAGTGTCAAAAACCTCCCTTGGTAAAACAAGTGCAGTGGGAGATGATTCTTACTTAAAGCCATCTGATAAACTGTCCTCTTCTTATCAGGACCCTGGGAAGGCTCATATTCTGCAAAATATGGAGGCAAAAAAAGAGGATCAAGCAAACCAACTTTTAATTAAAGCTCAGGGGCTGATCTGACTAACGATAAATCTGATATACACCTGCTTTCTTTTTCCACGGAGAGGCAGCTGCCGCATGCATAATTTGGGAAACACAGATTAGGTCTGACTAGAACAGCTATGCAGACACATAGAATAAGCAGATGAAAGGTTGAAATACATACTTAGACATATGTTATGGTGTGAATGCTGATGTGATGACAGGGATGGTGATGGAGACAGACATGATCATGAGAGGACAAAGAGCTATTCTCCCACCTTTCTCCACTGTATGCAGCACATTTTGGTGAAGAAGAAATAAAAAGAAGGAATTATTACAATAAATTTAAATGTATCATCACACATCATCCTACAGCTTTTATATATCTTAACCTTACTGTTTAATTATCACCTTTCTTCTTCACAGGTTGTGTCAGAAATGCAAATAAGTCAAAGACTCTTGCTTTTTCCAGCTGCTCTGTTAAAAACAGCTCTGTTAAAAACAGAGCAGCTAGATCAAATTGCACTTTGCTGGATAATTGGTGTGTCAGTCTGCGTCAGCTCTTGTAAAGCACGTCACCAAAGTATTTCTATGTGTCAAATGTATTTATATTCTTTTCTTATGTAAAAGTAAAGATACCTGTGTAAAAAAAAAAAACAAACAAAAAACACTAAAAGTACCCCCTGATCTTCTTAACTTAAGTAAAGGTAAATAAGTGCAGGTTTACATTTACTATAAAAAAAATCCTTAAATTAGGGGTATTTAGTCTTATTCTGGGCAGATAAATAAGATTATTTGCCAATGGAATTAGTTTATTTACTCTTAATTAACATAATTAGAAAATAAGCACTTTTTAATAAGACAATGCAATTATTTTTTCTTATTTTAAGTGTAAATTATCTTGTTTCATTGGCAAAGTTTCTCACTTACCTCCTAATTGAAGAAAAAAATGACTTTATAAGATTTTTTTGTGTACTTCAGTACAGAAGAAAACAGAGTTTTTGTCTAAAATGATCTTAATGATTCTGGCCCAGTGGTTCATAGTTTTGAAAAAGAAGGAAATAGATAAATGGATTTGATTCCGTCTTTAGATAAAAGAAAAAATCTGAAAAGTGTGCATTTGTATTTAAATATCCAAAGTATATACTTTGTAGAACAACCTTTTCTTGCTCTTACAGCTGTGTCGCAGTCAAGTTTACTTATGAGGGCAACTGATTTAATTGAATCTTATTTGGCGTTATTAAAGTAGAGAGGGCTAAATTCATAGTGCGTATGTTATCGAATAATGTTGAATACCTTGAATACATTTTTGAAAGGTTCCACTGTTTTTATTTATTTGTGTGATGTTGGTTGAATACACTAAAATGTAAGGCTGTACTGCAACAAATTTTCAGAAATCTACAGGAATAAATGTTTATGCCTGCGTAATAGTTTTTTAAAGATTTGTTTCCCAAAATATGCAACTTTTATTACTCATTAAAAATTATATCTTGAAGGTCTCAGTAAAATCTAGGTGTTTATATTTTGTTCTTTTAGTATCATCTTACCCATGTCTTCGAGCTCTGATGTCATAGACTTTGAGCGCAGGGCAATGGCAGGGGGGGTCAGTCTTTTCGTCTGTTGAGGCGCTGCCAAGGGAAACCAAGCCAAATACTAAATGTTTGGGTTTTTGTAAACAGACCTAGTCACCGATAGCAACCACATTTCAACGGGCTTTTAGGGTTGAAGTAAACACATCATCTCCTTTATCATCGTAAGCAAAACATAACACGAAAAGCTCCTTCCAGGGAAAATGAGACTCCTACCTTTCTTTATTGCTGTGTCCTCCAGCTCAGGGTTCCTAGCAACCATCACCACCTTCACCATGAGGCTATTCCCCCCCTGTCGGATCATGTTAACCACCTGACGATGGCCCACCTTCACCACATTCTGGCCGTTTACCTGAGAAACCCAGAGAACCACAAAATAACTGATGCATTCTGGTAATCTATTATATAGTTATAAAAACGGATAGAATAAATAAAAAAAAAGAAACAGAAGCACATTTCTCTACAACCTAATTTGGATTAGAATGCTTTATCTTACCCTAAATACACTTAATTGCATTTTTTTTTAAATTAAATTTACAGGTTTTGGCCAAAACTGTTTGCAATTCAGCCAGAACCTGCAGTAAACGGCTCGTCTCGAAGCTTCAGCAGCTACTTTAGTGACTCATACTATCTTGAATAACAATTAGAAGTGAGTGTCGGATTTGATAGAGGTTTGAAAACTGGCATTTTCAGAGATGCCTATTAAATGTGGCCTACAGGAAATATGACAAACACACAAATAAAAAGTCAGAATGCTGTGATTTAAGATTTTCTTGCCAAAATGACAAAGAACACTGGTTACAGGTAGAGAAGCTTCTCAAAACAAAATGTACAACATCTCTATATACAAAAGTGGACACGCTTATTGGTAACACTGTATATATATATACATATATAAAACATTTTATCAAAGCTCCATCGTTTCACACCATAAACAAAAAACACCTTTATTGTAAATATATTTGTTTTATAAGAAAATGTATCTAATGTGTATGAGTTTAACTAAATACCCTCTATAGATATAAATTATTTATGTACTTTTTAAGAGGATCAGAGTCTCAGGAATTTTTATATCGACAAAACATGTCTTCCTGTTTCTCTGGGGTATGAATAAGACCGAGAGCCAGAGCTCCATTTTTTTGTCACTGCTGTGAAGCAGGACGGTGATGAAGCTCATTAATTCATACAATGCATTTCTAGTCATACCTCGCGATTACTTACTTGCACACCTAAGTAAATGAATATGCTCGACAGTAGGCAGGTTTAGGATAATTGCAAAAACGGTACATGGAAATGTTGCAAAAGTTAGATCTGAAAACGAAGAACCATGCAAGACGACTACTTTAACATTCTTTGTTTTCCACTACAGCCACAGAACATATCTAATTGGATCAAAGCATGGCTTCAATTAAAGTCTTGTATTTATTCCTTTTAAATAGGACAGAAAATACTTTTTTCTGTTATATCCTCAGCGAGAAGATGGTTGTTTTAAGACTTGGTGAGGACATAGCACTTTGCTAAAGTTGGATATTTATCTTATAGGGAGAGAGGCGGCATAGTGGTGAGGGCATACAGCTTGGAAATTCTGAGGTTCTGAGATGGAGCCCCACTCCCACAGACTGCCACTCTGGGTCACTGAGCATGACCCTTAACCCCACACTGCTTCCCGGGCGCCGCACAATGGTAGCCCACTGCTCCCCAAGGGGATGGGTTAAATGCAGAGGTAAATTTCTCCAATGTGAGATCAATAAAGTTCAATTATTAATATTATTGTTGTCACATTTCCTCTTGCTTTTATCACGTCTGTAGTTCAGGACAAGCTTGACTAGTGCCCTTCTTTATTAGCTTTACTTTATTGCATGTTCTCTTGTCTTTCTCAGTTTAAAGAGGGATAAATTATTTTAGAGGAATTTGGCCTACAATCAGCTCTGCAAGTCATTTTTACTAAACCTGGGATTTCCTTCCGACTGAAAAAAAATACTTGCATCAAAAATTAGATTTTTCAGTGTAAAATGAAGCTTTTAAAACAAAATACTTTACACATCTAAACAACTGGTAACAATGAACTTGCATCTATAAATTGTACTAGATTTGCAACCGGCTGCTCCATTATTCCCTTTAATAGGCTTTAAAGACCCAATAAGAAAGCACCATTAAGTTGCATCTATCGACAGATTGTTTTATGCTGTCAGATTATAAATATATATATTAAAGAACCAGAGTTACCTCGATGAGGAAATCCCCCATCCTCAGGCCCGCTCTCCAAGCCACGCCCCCCTCATCAACAGACTCTAGGTACTGCAGCGCAGGGAAGGCTGGCGTTGGGGTGAACTCCTCTATGGGAGTCTGAGCTGGAGGGGGTGAACGAAAAAAAAAGACAGAAGAATTAGAGGAAGATCAACTCAAGAAATGTAGAGACAACAAACTGACAGGTTTACCTTTGGCTCCTCTAAGTACAAAGCCAAAGCCTTCATTGTCTTTCTTCTGTAGGAGCACTGTCTTCTCCTTAATGATGTAGTCGCTGTAGAGAACAGGGAGCATTCAGAGAAGGAGGGGGAACCAGGATGGAGGGAAAAAGATTTATAAAATGGAAATGGAAAGACAGCTAAATGAATTTAAAGCCTAAATGGCAGATAAGAACTGTTCTTATTTTGAACATAGCTACACTGTATCAAGTTGTGATGATCACACTGCAGCAGAAAAAAAATAAAAATAAAATAGGTTGGCTAGAGGAGGCCATAAAGGATGCATTAGTTTACATAGAGGTTGATGGCGGGGGAACAGTTAGTATCATAATGAGATGGCTTTCCACACCATAGACTGATCCAGCTGCAGCTGACAAGTTCTGAGCCGGGGGGAGAGCACATTAGAAAAATATGCACATACCCTGACAACAGAAACGACCAAATGCACTTAAATTGTTACATCCGCTTTCAGTGCCTGTGGCAGCTTGGAATGGTTGTTGCTCCACTGCTTTCTGAGCAACACTACTGGTCATACATGACACTTCAAATTATGTGTATGATGAAGTTGGACGCGCCTATAAACCCTGGTGCTGCTTGTATAAACAAACTGTACTGACAGGACAGAAAACAGCCATGGCTGTGAGGGGCGATGCAACCTGATTAGGAGAAGTTTAGAGCTTTGGCTCAGCCAGTTTCCTGCGTTATTCCATTACTATGTCTGGGACTCTGCTTTACAAGCGGTTACTTCGATGTAGGACCAGTTAAATGGACTCTGCGCAGCCACACAAAGACTCATCTTATGACTCAGTGCTGGATTTGACTGTCCAGCAATGTCAATTCACTTTGCCTCGGTTAGAGAGCTTCAGGGCTCTGTGATCTGACAGAAATTATAGATATTTGTCTCACATGCAGCTCAAAGCTGATTTGGTTTGTGAAGCTAAATTGGTTTCACAGAAACCAATGAACTGATCTGGGAATAAAAAGATTCAGAAATTATTCCACTGTGGCAGCGTCAAAGGACAATGCTTTTTGAAGGAGTAGTTTAGACTTATTAAAGTGAGGTTCTGCAAAAAGATGATCATTACGAGCTCCTTCAGTTGTAGCAGAAATGTTTTATAATGCACTCTGTGGCTATGTGAAGGGCTAAATGTTTGCATTCAGATCACCTGTTTAAATAAATTTTTATATAAAGCATGGATTTTAGATTTTTTATCATAGATAAAAGTAATTTAAGGAGTTTCTTCTGCCATTAACATTATACGTCTCTCTGACATAAAGTTCTGTATTTTTTGTGTGCATGCTGTGTCTTCTTAAATCCCATATCATGAGACTGGTTATAGTTATGCACAATATTTCTTCCTTTCCACTGTCACAATATGCATCAGAGGAATCAATATAAAGTTAGAGACTTAATGCAATCTGATGGCTTTTTATAATGTAAAACATAGCCAAGATCAACTTAAAATGTATTTAATTGTCTTAGAATCTGTTTGTGTTTAGAAAAAAAGACACACAACTTTTTCTTAAAAAGTGCATCAAGGCCATTTGTTCTGAATTAACCCTTTATAAATCAATGTATTTAAATTAAATCTTCATTATTTGTTAAACATCTATATACATGAAAATCACTTCTAGACACAAAAGAAAAGCCATGTTGAAAACTAGAATCACAAGTCTATATAAATAATGATCTCCTCTTTTGTAAAATTCTTCCCTAGCCAGCAAGGCAAGAGTTTAAAGGTGAGGGAAAAAATGTTTATGAACTTCTTAAACATTAAGAAGTGGAAATTTATGACAATGGTAGTTCAGACTTTTTTTTTTTTTATCACTCTTTGGTCTAGCTGTCAGGTTCAGCCTCCAGGATCAACTAATCTGGATTTGTGTTTAATGAAAACAGCAGGAGGGATCTGCTGCACAAAACCCGTGCGTGAAAAAATCTTAACAAGTTTTGAATGGATTGGAATTTTTAAGATTTCTCTTGCTCAAATCAACAGCCCTGAAACCTAGGCGTTGGCATGGGAAACAACCGTACGGATAACATGATTATATTTCAGACATAATGCAAAATTTCAAAATGCAAGCGTTTCATTCATTTCTACACGTGTAGTATTTTTAAATATCTGGCAGGAATCTCCATCACTGCTAGAGCATTGTGCATCTACGTCTGAAACGCCCACTGGTATCAAAGCAACAATAACACAATAAAAGTATAACCGACGCAGTCTCTCTACACACATCAGCAAGGTCTGGTGCGGCTAATCTGGCAGTGCATGCGAGTAAAAACAAAGTTTGGCTGCTAAATCACAGAGTCATGAGCCTCGGGCCTGCAGGCTCCCAGATCCAGACATCGACATCAAGCTGTAACTTTAGCACTGAACAGACGATCACTGGTTTCCCCCTACTAAGGTCCATTTCTCGTGTGTTCTCCATCAATGTTACTGTTTTCGCCAACGCTCAGCCGCCTTCCAGCCATCTGCTCCTCACACCTCGGTCCTTTTTCTCTCACCCTGTCCTCCATCATGCTTTGACTCTTCGAAGATCAAAGTAACGCAGAGTGGGTGGATAGATCCACCGGGTTCTTAATGGTGCGTTTCTACAAGAGGGGAAAACATGGCCTCTGCTAGTCCCCTGGGGGGGCCGCTTGGTGGTTTCAGAGTTTGTGTAGTTAAAAAAACAAAAAAAAAACAACAATTTCTTTCATTTACTTTAAGATTTCCAATCATCTATCAGAGCAGTGGTGATCATGATCTGACAAGCAGGGCCTTAAAATGAGCAACTGTCTGTGGATGATCACTGTTGGCTATGAGGTTAGGGTCCCCTTAGAACTGGCTGCAATAAAGCTTTACTGGAAACTGGAGTTATTATGTACCCTCCTGAGTCATCCTCTCTCCTATTCACAATCAGTGAGAGAAAAAGGCGGCATTTTAACCATTCACCTGCTGAATGCACACGCACACACACAGGGGGGGGGGGGTGGCATTACCAGCAGTACAATAAGTGAAGCAGCTGACAGATGTTAGGAACACACTGTAAATTAGCACATAAATATACGAGCGGGAGAGACACTCCTACAAGCAAAGCATTATGACCACCACATGAAAAATTCATCTTTCATTTACGACTCATAGTTGCAAACATATATAAAGATATAGATTAATTCATGCAGGCGATAGGAGGGGAAAAAGACGACTTGTATTTCACATTAATCCATAGAGGGACATGTAAACTCCAGTGTCATTGTTTAGATGTGTAAAACCAAACACATTTACAGTAAAACAATGGGATGCAAAATATATATATATATATATATATATATATATATATATATATATATATATATATATATATATATATATATGGATAGTCCAGGTGAATTAAAAATATCCACTGAAAGAAATCATGAATCAAAGAGAATGAAATACACCCACACTGTCTGACTAAAATGCATCAATATGGGCTTTTTTGACACACAAATACGCAGCTATGAAGAAGCACACGGTATGAAAACACGGGAACATGCTGCAGAGACTTCTTCTACCAGCCGTTCCACTGCACAGACATTCACATGCATGTGGAGAGAATAAAAGGACACAATTATGAGAGCCATGCATGGATTCACACGCTTACAGACACACACACATAGCTTGTTAGTCTGGCTTTGAAAAAAAGGAACGGCCTCTCAGTAGCATCATCTACCTCTCCCCTCTCTCCATTGTCCTCTCCTCACATCCATAGCCAGCCAATGAATGAGGAAACAGCCGCTACCTGTAAATGAACCACACGCTCCTGTTTCTGGGGCCCAGTGATGGCCACGAAGAAGAGAGGGAGAGAGAGAAATCTCTCTCTCCGCATCCCCCCATTGCCATGTACCCCCCTCCTCTCTCTCTCTCTCCCTCTCTCTCTATCTCTCTTCCTCTCCTTTGTGCTCTCTCTCCACCACCTCCTCCTCCTTCTCCCGTCTTCCAGTGAAAGCTCAGCCGGTGGAAAGCAGCGAGTGTGAGAGTCTGTAAACTCATATACTTCAGACAGGAGGAGGATTATGTGTTGAAAAGATAAAGAGTGGAAAGGGAGGCTGGTGTTTTTTGTTGGTGGGCAACAGGAAAAAGAGCTGAAAAAAAAAAGCCAAACTGGGCTGATGGAGAGCTGAATTTGAGGGGTGGGGATGCGGGGGATGGGTATAAAGCCTGCATTTGCGCATCCACAAACTGGTATATCCAATTATGTGACAGCTGATTCCAACCCTTGAATTTACTCAACTTTGCCCCCCCCCCCCATCCCCCTTAAACCCAAAGCCTTTGTCACAGCATCCAACAAGAACACTCTTCCTCTCTACCTCTGTCTGAGAAGCATAGACAGATTATCACTTTACTCACCTTAACCACTGGGACGTAACAAACTGAACACAGATAATGTAACATGCAAAGGTTGTTTCCTTTGCATTTGAACCAAAAGCTCCAATGCATTGAGATTAAATACATGAATTTTCAATCTGCATGGCACAAGGACAATATGTCAACTGTAAGAACAAAGAATGGTAACTGCTATGTCCTTCTCCTTAAGCCCTGAGGATCCAACCAGAGCTTCAGCCTCCTCGTGACTCATCAGCAGGATGATGTATATGCACTCAGAACCCCTGCCAGTTTCATGTTCACATTCATAATCATTCTGAACAAGACGCATAGCTTCATAACAAGCAGTCACAGCTGTTCAAAGCTTCAAACAGAGTAAAAAAAAAAAAACTTGCAATATAACTATTGGTTATAGGTTAACATGTAGATAAGATTTCCTTAACAAACATGAAAGTAGGTGAGTGTTAGCAGAAAACTAATTTGGCCTCTAGCAGACAGAGTGATTGAAAGAAAAGAACATCCTTCTACCAAAAACCCAACAATATGGTGAATATGGGGTTATAATCCACTATTGTGTCACTATTGTGAACTATCAGTTCTTTTGAGTTCAATGTTTTTATGTTATAGATCACACAAAGTAGTGCATAATCTTTTAAATAGGGTAGAGGTAGGATATATTGATCTGATGGAATTTTCCAATCCTGTCATGTTGTCTTTGGCTGTAAAAAGAAAATCATCACGATTAGCTTTAACATCAGTGTCTGTGTGCAGTTGATCTATATAATGCATTTTACTATGTGAACTGAGTTACTAGAATTAATTACCTTTTTAAAGATACTTTAATCTATTTCTTTTTTGTTCAGTTTCCAAATATTTTTGCTTAGCAATCTGAAAAATGCTGCCTGTTCTGTATTTTATTCACTTCAATTTCAAGGCAATATACAGTAATCCTGTGACTGCAGGGCTTTTGTGGTTGAGGGGTACAAACACTCTGCAAATACATACATTCATTGCAAATTCAAAAAGCTGTCTGAAGAGAAAAATGAGAACAGCCAACTAAAACAATTATGCTAGCAAACACAAAAAGCACACAAACATATTGCCAAATTTCTCAAAGTTTTGCCAAATGAACCAAAAAAACTCCACCATAAGAGCCAACCAGACATGGGCAATGTGGAGTCAACAAGTCATCTCCATGTCATGTATTTAATCTACCCAGCCAATTAACCAGGGGAGTCCAATCTGTAAAGGTTAATTCACGGTGAAGATTGGACTCACCTGCTTCAGTGGCTGGGTAGAACAAATACATGACATGGAGATGACTTGTTGACTCCACATTGCCCATGTCTGGAGCCAACGGTTGTTCACACACACCTCTGCCGTGGACTACTACAGGCAGGCTAACGTTAGCCCTGGCTGTGGTTAACCCCGGGGCAGTGGTGTCAAAAGTACACACATTTGTTACTTAAGTAGAAGTGTAGATACTGCAGTTTAAAAACACTCTGGTAAAAGTTGAAGTATCAACTTGATGTCTTTACTCAAGAAAAAGTAAAAAAGTAGGTGCTCCAAAAACTACTTGAAGTATAAAAGTATAAAATAACCTTAAAAAAAAAAAACAGCCAGATGCCACTATATGAATTGAAAGCTAAATCTTTCAACTATTTCGAAAAATTCTTTGAGATAGTGCCAAGGATGAGGGAGGTCTTGTTGGTCTCCATCTCCCGATACGCTCTCGCCTGTGTCCAGAGATGGCAAAAGTACTCACTTTCCGTACTTGAGTAAAAGTACAGATACTTGTGTTAAAAAATACTCTGGTAAAAGTGGAAGTACTGATTAAACTTCTTTACTCAAGTAAAAGTAACAAAGTACAGGCCTGTAAATTTACTTAAAGTATAAAAGTAAAAGTAGAAACCACTTTTTTCATGCCGTTGCCTACATTTTAAATGGATGTCTGCCAAAAGGACTAGATCTCCGTTGTGTTCATTTTCAATCATCCCGTCATCTATACTACTATGCTAACGCCACCGCCACCAAGCTGCAATGATTTGCCGCGAATGAATACCGCCAAATCTGTCGATTCATCTTGTAGTGGTGTGTCAAATGCACCGTAGATTCCCATCCAATTAGATTGAATTTGGTATTGATGACGTGAAAAATAATAACGGTAACTCCATTAAATGTAAGGAGTAGAAAGTACAGATATTTGTGTAAAAATGTAAGGAGTAGAATTAAAAAGTCGCCATAAAAATAAGTAGTAAAGTAAAGTAAAAATATCAGAAAAATCTACTTGAGTACAGTAACGAAGTATTTGTACTTCGTTACTTCCCATCTCTGCCTGTGTCCGACCTTTCAGACTTTTCAACTTTTTTTTTTCTGAATCCGACATTGTAGCATGGCATAGACAATTAACGTTTACAGTTTGAAGAACACCTGCTTGCTTCTGATAATTTCCTTTAGGGTCAGCATCCAATTACGCTAGTTTTCACTAGATGTGGATGGCGCCAATGATCTGCATCGGATGGTGCACATGACGTGAAATAAATATTTATAAACATTAAACCGAAGCCAAGAGTAACGTGTAACGTTTGTTTTAAAAATGTAAGGAATAGAATGTACAGATACTTGTGTGAAAATGTAATGAGTAGAAGTCAGAAGTAGGAAGAAAAATAAGTGATGAAGTAAAGTATAGATACATAAAAAGTGTACTTAAGTACAGTAACGAAAGATTTGTACTTTGTTACTTGACGCCTCTGCTGAAAACATAATTTTGTAGAACAGCAGCGACATACAGGTAGGGAACTTTTAAATTATAACTGAGCTCTGTGAGCGCTCCTGTGGAACCCAACTGCTGCCAAGGTGCATGCTGGGACTGCGCTCAGTCTGAAGAATGCACAATTCTCCTGTGATGCATGCTCTGTAAAGAGGGAGGGGCGAGAACAACACCCGGGGATTTAGTCTGTTCTCGGTCTTGTTTTCCTGTCAATTGGAACTGTGCTGGGGATGAGGCTGATGATGTGGCACGAGAACATGAGAGCGCACAAGTATGCATATTGAGAAATGGGTTATGAATGAATGTCTACGGACCTGATCAGTAAAAAAGAAATTTGATCGGGAGAAAGAAAAGGTAAATTTTACTATTGATTAAAAAAAATGTTCCTCTTTGTTCATCATCTGTATTTAAACATTTACCGTATTTTCACGACCATAAGGCGCACCGTACTAAAAGGCGCACTCTCAGTTATGTGTCCCATTTCTGTATTTAACACACACATAAGGCGCACCGGACTATAGGGCGCGTTTTTTATATACAGGTACATGTCCTCTACTACCTTTAAATACCTCTACTGCGTATTTAAAAATACAGCGGGGGCAAAACTGAGTATGTTTGTGCTTTATTCATGTATTTATTAAAAAGTATTAATCAAACCTGGCAGCTGGCCGTGAGACAGACACATCGCAGATGACACAGCGCTGTGATCACGCCTAAATTAACTTAAAATCCTGAAACCTGCCGACGGAATATGTTCGCTTTTATGGGTGCCTGCAGTTTAAATTATTTAGATGAAAAGCACCTGCCATCCACCGCGTGAACCTGGAGGCTACCCGGCCTAGAGGCTGCTGATGAAAGGATTTCTCCTGTCGGCGCACCGCTGGTATGTGGGGGTCTGAGCGCCTCCGACAGAAATAGATAATCTGGATGAACTGACTGCAATTATTAAGTTTTCAGGTGGACTTTCTCACTTAAAAACATATTAAAACTACTTTATTCCCACTGATCACAGCAAATATAGCTGCAAGATTTAGATTATTTAGATGAAAAAACACCTGCCAGCCACCGCGGTCAAGAGGAGGAGACCCGCCCAGAGGCTGCTGTTGAATTAAGTTTTCAGGTAGAAAAATAGAGCGGGAGCAAAACTGAGTATGATTGTGCTTTATTCATGTATTTATTACAAAGTATTAATCAAACCCATCAAAATCATCATCCTCTGTTTCTGAATTAAACAGCTGCGCTAAATCAGACATGCCAATTTCCCCTTCTTCGCTGTCAGTCACTTTCCGTGCAGCGCAGCTCCTCTGAAATAATGCCGGTTTTTGCAAAAGCTTGAACAACAGAGCCAGCAGACACGTTAGTCCATCTACAATCCATCCGCAAACGGTGGCGTAACTTGCCCGGCGCTGCCTTCCACTTATCCTGAAACTGTGGTCTCCGTCTGTCATCCATCGCTCCCACGCCGCTCGCAGCCTTACTTTGAACCGCCGGTTCACACCGATGTCGAGCGGTTGAAGTTCCTTTGTCAGACCCCCCGGGATAACGGCGAGCACAGCGTTCATTTGATTCACCTTTTTTTCACATCGGCTGTGAGATGGGCACGCAGCGATGGTGATGCGTCGAAAAAACCACCTGGTCTCCTCACATAGGCTACACCTCCCTCAGCTACGCTTTCATCATCTCCTCATCCATCCAGCCTTTTCCATTTGCGTTAATATCATATGTCATCAGAGCGCTGTGTCTGTCTCGCTGTCAGCTCCCAGATCAGCTTCTCTGATTGGTTGATGCGGTGCGTCCAGCAGCAAAACTTCAATTTTTCCATCTCGAGCAGCAGCAGCGCGTTGGCAGATGCTTAAACGCTCCTGCTGCTCAAAACGCGCTGCAGGACCTTTTGCTGCACCTATACGCGCGTCAACCATTGACTTTGCATGTAAACTCGCTGCTTCTGCTGCACCTGCTGGGTCCGGTTCACACCGATGTCGAGCGGTTGAACAGCGAGCACAGGGTTAATTTGTTTCCCCATGTTTTTCACATCAGCTGTGAGATGGGCACGCATGGAGTTACATATTAACAGCGATGGTGATGAGTGGAAAAAAAAACACCTGGTCTCCTTACATTCAGCCACTCTTTCATCATCTCCTCAATGAGGTGGTCTCAAAAGTCGCAGTTACAACACACATAAGGCGCACCGCACCATAGGGCGCACCGCACATTTTGAGGGAAAAAAAAGACGTTTAAGTGCGCCTTATAGTCGTGAAAATACGGTACATTGTGTTCCATAAGAGCTGACGATCATCTCCCCCTAGTGGTCTGGAGAAATTCCATCATGAATTTGCTTGTTGTATATTTGTGTTTGCAGTACTTTTTGAACATGCTGTGAACTCATGAATTTACTAGGTGTTTGTACCCCATGGCCTCTACTCGCTTTGGGCATCTACAGGCGGAAACCTTGGATCCATTCTTTTTTATAAATTGCCAAGACTCAGTCAGGTTAGATTAACTGAATCTGAACAGAGTTTCTTACTTGTTTTATTTTAACTGGAGAATCTTAACCTGGGATGTTGCACGTCAGTCCTACCTTGGGCCATCAGTGCCATCATATGCTCCCACTGTAACGTTGCGAAAGAGTTTCCTCTTAGCTTTTTCACTCCGAGTCTCTGAAACACACCACAGGATAAAACATACGTCCAATTAATACTAGCAGCTTGTCCTGTGACATCCTCTATGTGTTTTTATTTTTCTGGCAAAAAAAAAAAAAAAGAAGTAGAACCAGATCCTATGTCAGCGAGGCATGTAGTATCCCTCTTGGGGAAACTGATAAAATCTTTATCAGCCAATAGATGTTTCTGTATTTAAGGTGAATTTATATTTGCTGTTTCCTGTTTCATACATAAAATAAAATTAAGAAAAAAAGAATTTTACACATTAAGTTCTGGTGAAACATTTAAGTGGAGTAAATTGCAAACAATTATGAAAATATCTTTTACTTTCTTAGTGTTGTTTTACTGAAAATAATTACAGTTCATATATGCAACAGGCTGATGATTCGATTAGAACATTTATAATTTTACCTTTCTCTTTGCTGGGTGGGGCTACCTCTTGCACACAGTCAGAAGGAAACCAGCCAGTACGTCCTCTCGCTGTTCCCTCCCAGTACCCCCCCTCTCCTACACTCAGCACTGAGAAAGAAACATACATATATTTAAAAAAGCATGAATAATTATTAACAGCATACATAGGCACAAGTCAGGAAATTCACTCAATATGGTTGATCAGATCCCAACCAAAGGGTTAATGTTCATCCATAAACTAACACAGCATTTTTATTCCCATCAACAAAAACAACAAGTATAATCTTTTTATATATTATGAAGCTCCTCTTAAAAAACCTAACAACACAAAGGTTTTCTTGATATGCCTTCTTTTTAATCTCCAAGCCTGAAACTAGACTTGTTTACGTCACTGAGCCCCCTGTGCTTTAAACTGTAATAAATATTGTGTGCTTCAGTTCTCGCTCTAATCTATCAAGCTCCCCTTTTTAGATTTTAGCAGCAATGCAATTTTCTGTACCTGCTTTTATAAACGATTTAATGATGTTCCACATATATCTGCAAAGTTTTAGTTCTTGTGTATTTTTCCACATGAAGTACACAGGTCGACTCTTCTGTAGCTTAATACACTGCTGAATATACAGCAAAGATACTTCAGACTGTTTACATTTTTACATTTAAATTTTTTTATTTACATTTTTATAAGTTATAAACATTACCTTCATGTAATTTGCTTATATTATATGTCCAAAATTGATGCATAAGTGTAGAATAGATGGGAAGAAGTAGATCTTTAGAAACTTTGAGCCGAAATGGTGGTCCACCTTATCCGAGAGGGACCCATGAGGCTCATAGAAACTCTGGAGGAACTGCATTGATCCCCTGCTCATTTGGGACAAGCTGTTCAACAGCATAGCTACTCATAATAAAGCTTCTCAGATGTAGCCATAGTGAAAGAGGGGCAAGAAGAAAATCATGGTGGAAAGGAGGTTCTGCTTATAGTTTGCCATAAACCATGTAGAGCACTGATTCTCATAATTGGGGCGTCCTTGATCAACCAGGATGAGGTCTTTAAATCCATCACAGAAATATAATTAAGAAATACACATTTATGTAAAAGTGCTTAAGATATTTACATTTTAGTGACCTTATGTTATATTACAATTTTTTTTGTATTACCGATTTTTTTTTCATATTACAGCATTTTTTAATATATATATTAACAGGTTCATTTATTTATAGAAGCGTTTGTGTTCTCAACCGGTAGTTTGGGTCATAAGTCGACTCTTGTTGGTCAGAAACTGAAAAGTTTGGAAACCTCAGATGTAGACGACACAGCCAGATATGGAAGTGCTCAGATGAGCCAAATTTGACATTACTGGCCAACATTCAAAAGAGTACATGCCAGGTAATTGGCACCTCAATTTGCCACGCCTGCACTGAAATAAGTGCAGGGGTCTATAATAGTAATTACAGTATTGTGGTGTAGGCATGGAACAGCATGTAAGTGCGGTTGAATAAAACACATCAACTAGCAGGAACTTAATGCTGAAGGATGCTTTTCTTCCAGGAAACTGGTCAGAGTTTATGGGAATGTGTATGGATCCAATTTCTTTAAGAAATAATTTTAGGTTCATCTCTCAGCAGAACAACCATCCGAATCATACAGCCAGAGGTACTATGGGATGGTTTAGATCAAAGAATATTCCTGTGCTACGATAACCTAGACAAAGTCAAAACATGGCAAGATATCATTCATCAAACCTAACTTCGCCTGAATGATAATATAGAACATGGATGGACGGCTCCAGTCCTTTAGGGCAGATTTGCTGCAACCTTTAGAAGTGTTTTTGGTCCAGAACACCTGTATCAAACAGCTGATTTACATCCTGTATCTAGATTTCCAGATTCTTTTAAGACTTAATAATGATCTCACCTTTTTATTCCTATTTTGTTCTGAGGAGGGAGTTTTTTTTAAATAATAGTCAGGACACTGAGAATTATACAGCTCTGCACAAAGCAATGAATTATACAACACCACTCATGGACTGGAGTTGCCTATCCTTGATGTAGAAAAATTAACTTTTGTCTTATTTTCTGTCCACTTCACATATTTGCTTCACGTTGTGTCAGTCCAATGAAACACACAGAACTTTGATGCTGTATTCTCACCAAATATGGTAAAGGCTAAGGGGTATGTATGCTTTTAAAAGCTCTTTGATTTAAATGAAAAGTCCTGTTTAGCATTGTTAAGCATTATTTAGCCCAGCAACTGCCAAGTCTCATGCTCTTTAACTGTTAGCTCTAATTTTAACTGTCTTTGCTATAAATATTTATTTTGTGATGAGTTCTACTGTAAGTGCTGCATATCTGCTAATTATATGCAGTGACACATAGCGAGTTTATTCTCAAAGTCACATGATTCATCCTCCAACAGATGAGGGATTCTCTGTTTTTCTTCTGGTTCCTCATATGATGTTTTTTTTTTAAACGTTCCTCACCTTTTACTTTGTCTCCTTTGTTAAGTGAGAGTTCTCTGTCTCCACTTGCTGAGTGGGAACGAATGGCCACGTACATTCGTCCTGGTACTGCGCTGTACATCCGCTTCATCTGGCCTCCTCCACTGCCAGCCGATGGCGCGCTACAGGGAGGGGGGGGAGTTAGAAAAGCTCTCACAAAGCATGACACAAGTTGTCCACTCGAAAGAACAAAGTTGATGACAACAGCTTGTCAGACCACACAGCCGTCAATTTATGCCTGAGTCACACCAGGGTCAGGAGGCATATTGCACATGTTGATGCACCCAGAGAGTATGTCTTGTATATCAGTTGTAAGATACTATATCTAATATTTCGCTCTCATCTTCATATTTATACGGGAAGCTGCTTAAAGTCTCCTGACCTTTATCCTCCCAAAGTCACTTTGAGTGACTTTAGGAGGCTAAAGATCACTACAAAGTCACTATCAAGTTCAATTTAATGGTTCTCGGAGGAATTTAAACCTCTTGCGCTAAACTGTTTCAGCACTAAAATAACTGGTCATTAAGAAGTTAGAAACATAATTCAGCTCAACACAGCTCACTTATCCCACATGTTTTTATTTTATTTTTACATAGTATTCTCAAATAAACAAATTAATATTCTCTCTACAAAGCCCCATTACTCTCTAAACCTCCTAATCTGGGTTTCAAGGATTCCCTCTCAAGAATTTGATTAGGTTTCAGATCCAGGCATTTTCTTAATGGCTGGCATCAGAGTTTCTGAGAAATTGTTCAACTGCATCTTAGTCTAAACCTGTGTGCAAAAACTGTAAAATCACAAAACTCTGCACATTAGTCAAGTGATATAACCAGCCTGCTTTTTGAAAAATATTTGAATAGATCAAATACATTTTGTTAAAAGAGCATGTGCTGTTTGTCTGGCAGCTACAAGTCTGTTATGAGATCTGCTTAGCTATTTATTGAATAGAGAGCATATAAAAAGAAAATGAGCTTTCTCTGTAAATGATCAACCGAAATTCCATCAACAAGTAATATGAAAACAAAATGGGACCATGCTAGATTTAGGCTAGGATGCTACGAATAAAACAAATTAGTCGGATGAAGGAGTAGTTCCAGTTCCAGGATCTAGTGCCTTGGACTGTAGACTGCTGCATCATGGTAAGATCTAGGCTGGTACTATGACAGCTTATGGAGTGAGTAAAATTGTTTATGTTCCAAAGTGCAAAAGCCTCTAGATTTTATTTTAGATTATTTTTTTTATTTGACACAGACAGTGCACATTAATAAGCATTCCTGCAAATGCACCAGAATTAGTCAAAAGGCTCTTTTTCATCTGTTGTCCCTGGACAGATCTAAAGTCAACTGGTGCAGAATTAACAAAGTGGAGTCATTTGTAAATGCTAAATGACAGAGCAGGGTGAGGAGATACTGAGGCAAAGAGGTAACAGATATCACCTAGTGTCTACAATCAATAGCTACAGACGTCCAGACTTCCTGTGGCTTTCAGGTCAGCTCAGGGTGAGAGAGCTTCATGAATGGGTTTCTGTGGGTGAGCAGCTGCAGACCTAAAGCTGGCATCCCAGCAGAATTTAAAGATGTCTGACAATTAAAAGCGAATAAAACAGTCTAGGTCTGTGACTAAAGCGCTTCCCCGACAGTGCTGTAAATTTTCTGGAAAGGAAGGGACTTTTGGGAATTTGGTCCCTCGTTTCCAACATTTTGGACAATTTCCTTATATTTACTATTTGAGAACAATTTGGGGTTTCTTCCTGGTCCAACATGACTGCACCAGCACATAAAGAAAAGCCTTCCATGATGAGTGAGTTTGGTGGGAAATAACTCGCATAGCCTGCAGAGATACCAGAATCCAACCTTAACTATTTTTGTCCTCAACACCAATGATTTTTCTTGCTTCTTCATAAATGTTTTTTTTTTATATATTTTTACCTTTTCAACCCACTGTTGTCACTCTTTGTTCACTCGCTCCCTGTAAATGATGTTTTATATGTTCACATATCCTTACCCCTGTCTGCCTCTGGGCTGTCGCTGTCTCTCCTCTGTATCACTTTGGCCCCCTCTGCCTCTGGAAGGGGAGCGTGTGCGGTTTCTGGGACTGCTGGAGCTTCTGACACCTATGGAGGCCCGGCGCTGGCCCTGCAGAGACACACGGAGCTCCATGCATGTAAATCACACAAGCTGTGCATGTTATCACAAAGATCAGCTGATGCACACATCCCTAAACCTTTCAGTACCTGTCCGGGGTTGGGATTGGTTGCAGCCTTGTTGGGTAGGCTCAAAGGGTCAGACTGGGTCATGGTGTTATCACTGTTAGCACGCAGGAGGGGGTGGGACTGAAGTGAAGGAAGAGGCAGCGTGTGGACACTGTCTTTTCGTCTGGGAACAAACTTTGGCGATTCTAGAAAGGGAACTGGTGATGGGAGGAAGATTGATATCCAAGGGTCAAACATCATGTGTAGGAAGTTAGAAAGAAGGGTGAGTTTGACAAGAGGAAAAGGAAGAATAAATTAGTCTGACTGACGGAGGAAGAAAAGGGGAAGAGTTCATAGGTAAGTGTCAAAAACAGATGATAAAAGTATAAAGCTGAAGGTCCAGTAGGAGAGCTTACCGATGTCGGTGTCTTTATGATTTTTGATGATCTCCCCAAGCTCAAAGTGACCTGACATCACAGCCACCTGGAATCATCAAAGCACAAAGCAGGACAATTAAAACACATTTTTCTGGTTGATTGGTTCTTTAATAAGATGAAAATATTTCCTCTTTCATTTGATGACGAATAAGAATGGATTGACCAGCATGGGATGACAGAAAGATAGACAATATATAACATAACGCCTTACAGCTCAAAGGTATGCGCGAATGATGCTATACTGTGAATCTTATGGTAGGAAATCACCTTTGGTGGCCTGAAAATCATAAAAAAAACTGAATCCATCCTGCCTCTTTCCGACAGTTCAGGTTGGTTGTGGTGTGTGGGATATAATCTTGGTACATTTTGGGTCCAATCATTACCACCTTAGCAACGTGTCAGCCAACATCAGAATTACTGCTAACCCTGTTTATCGACCACAGAAGACCTAGTATCCGATGGTTCCATCCAACAGGATAAACCTCTACGTCACAAAACCCTTTCTTGATTTCTTGATCATTATGGTTTAATGAACTCCAGTGGACTATAAAGGCTCCAGATTTCAGTCCGTCACAGGATATTTGGGATGTGGATTTGCCTGTCATCATTGATCGGCTACTGTGAGAAGCTATCATGTGATCATGGACCAGAATCACTAAGGCAGGGGTTCCTAAAGTGGGGGTCTGGACCCCTTAGGGGGTCATGAGACATAATCATCTTGATGTAACCAAAAAAAGGGGCAAAATACTAAATGAAATAAGTAAATGTTCCATAATAATGTATATTTTACATGTATTCATTTACATAACACATAATTTACATATAAATTAAAAAAATACACAGTTAATTAATTAAAAGTCAAATTAAAGAATGGAAATTACCTTTAAAATAATAGAAATAAGTTATTGAATGTCATTTGAAAAATACATTTATTTAAAATGGTATATAATAAACTAACTCTATATCTATGAATAAATATAGAGTGAAATAACAGTATTTATTTTTATTTCAAAATACATATACGAACAAAATGTACCATGAAATAAGTAAATACATTAAAATTTATTTTTGTCTCTTCCATGTTTCAAATATTATACCTTTTAAAATGATAACTCCCATAAAACAATTAAAAATTTACTTTAAATATTTAAATTCATTATCAAATATGATTTGAAAAGAAAATATTTACATTGAAATGAATATATTTCCTTTAGACTTAAAACAGATAATAGAGTTAAATGACAATGTGGCGCAGTGGGTAGCACTGCTGCATTGAAGCAAAAAGGTTCTGGCTTCGATTCCCGGCCTGGGGTCTTTCTGCATGGAGTTTGCATGTTCTCCCTGAGCATAGGTGGGTTCTCTCCGGGTACTCCAGCTACTTCCCACAGTCAAAAAACATGTCACGTGCGTGTGTGAATGGTTGTTTGTCCTGTTTGTGTCTGTGTTGGATTGGCGACCTGCCCAGGGTGTAATCTGCCTCTTGCCCATAGAGAGCTGGAGATAGGCACCAGCACCACGCTTTGGATAAATGTGACAGAAAATGGATGGATGCAAATAACAATATGCATATTTAGAGGGTCACACACCTGTTATATTTGTCACAGACCTAAATGTTTGGGAACCCATGCTCTAAGGAAAGGTTGTGACACCTTTGGATCCAGGAATAACTAAAGTATTTCTGGAGGCAAAAGGTACCAAAAGTGTGTACAAAGTAAGTTAGTCAAAAAATGTATGTTACCTGAAAAGGGGTCTGACCATGCTTATTCTTGGCCTCCTTGTTTGCCCCCCTGTACAGAAGAACCCGGACGCAGCTTTCCTGAACATTAAGAGTCAGAAACCGAAGTGTTAACACCTTTAGTACTTTGCAATTTATTATGTATCGCACTTTAGTTCTGGGCACTTCTACTTACCTTATTGTATAGGGCTGAAATGTGAAGTGCAGTGTTCCCTGAGGCATTTTGAGAAGCAGTGTCTGCTCCATAAAACAGCAGATGCTCCAAATGCTGTGCAAAGCCATTCTGGCAAGCCTTTTAATGTCAAGATTATGACAGAAATATGCACAAATTGTTAGTGTTATGAGTGCAGAGAAATACATGAAGAACCAAAGAGCGCAGTCAGGTACAGAATAAAGACAGTACAGAAAAAGGCTATAGAGGAGACATATTAGATCAAAAGAGAGACAAAAGTAAAAAAAAAATACATCTACCATTTTCATTTATATCAAAATTACAAGGATACAAGATTGCACTAGGAGACATTATTGAGCTAGGCTAAGGAGAAAAGCAAAAATGAAACCACAGAAAATGGTTTTCTCTTTTTTTTTCTGCAGAGCTGAAAATATCACAAGATACAGTTTGTTCAAAGTAAAGAAAGATAATACAGAGCAGCCAAACCAAAATAAAATACCATGACAACTGGTTTGCAGCAATAACTCACTAAAACGTCACAGTGACAGAGAGAAGGCAATGTTTTATGTTCAGTGAAGCAAAGAGATATAGTATCTTGCAAAAGTATTTACACCCCTTGAACTTTATTCATATTTAATGTGAAAGACCAAAAAAAAAAAAGGTGGGTCATTGTTGTTAAGTCGGAGAAAAATGTTTGATCATTTCCAAATGATGATAAGTGTGGCCTCTTTACTCTGATACCCCTAATTAAATCCAGAGGAACCAGCTGATTTTAGAGGAAGCCAAGGAAGTAATCAGAATCCAGCTGTGATTATCCAGTCAGAGGGTGACAGGAGCTGCTCTGTGTCTGGCCTCCACAGTTTATCAGAGAACACTAGAGAGCAACCAGTATAATGGAGAGCGAGGAACCTAATAAACAATGGAGGGAGAAAGTTCTAGAGAATTAGGTTTCAAATGATGAACATCTATCAATGTGCACATCATTCCAAGTGGTGAAACATGGAGGGGGCAGCATAATGCTCAGGGAGAAATCCATAAAGAAAACCTGCTCGAAGCTGCAGAAGATCTGAGACTGAAGTAGAGCTGCACCCTCTAACAGGACAACCACTGTTAACAACCAACCAAAGACGGTTTAGATGTTTGTTAGAACGACCTAGACAAAATTAGGGCCAATTAAGTCCTTCAACTTTAACTTTACTTTTATTGTCCCCTGAGGGAAATTTGGTTTGCAAGAGGGTAGAAACAAAAACAACAAACAACAACAACAACAACAAAAAAACATGGGAATACAATCACATAATATTATGAACAGAACATAAACAAGCAACATCAAACTATGAACCATGGAGGACAAATTGATGCAAGACCAGTATTACACATCATTATTGTTCCTTTTTTATTCAACTTTACACTGCAAAAAATTGAAATCTAAATAACTCATTCTTTCTTAAAGTGAGTGCTTTCTTCCAGACACTGTGCCAATGGAACAAGGCAATTTACAGTTAAAATAAGAAAAACAATTGCATTGTCTTATTACAAGTGCATATTATGCAATTATATTATTTTAAGAATAAAAATACTCATTCCAATGGCAAATCATCCCATTGACCTACTAAAATTAAGGGGAAATAGACTGAATTTAAGAAATTTGTTTTTATTTCTAGATCAGTTTTGCAGAGTAGTTTTGCGACTGCTTGGGTTAAAATTAGATTTTCATCCTGTTGGATTTAGCCTTTGGCACGGTGAATTTCCTGCCTGAGGCTAGGAGCTCAAAGTCAAGGTGGAGAGGATGATCACTGTATGATGTCCTGAGCCTTGGAGTTGACCCTCCCATAGAAAGTTGTTAACAAGTCGAGTAATATGACACCACTGATTTTACCAGCTACTAGGAATATTTATGGAAAGGCTTAAAAATGAGTTATTTTCCATCCACCTGACAAACTGAAACCAACAAACATCACATTTTGAAGATTTTTTATTCTATGCATTAATGTTAAATGTATATGCAAAATTTGTTCCATTTGACATGTATTCATCGGTTTATTGGTGTTGGTCTGTCAGAGAAAATCCCAATAAAAAAGATGAAATTGATCAGTTTTAGCTCAACAAAATGTGACAAAGTTCAAGGGTTTTAAATAACTTAGCAATTATATTTCTAACATACGGAGATGAGCAAGACTCCATTTGCTTAATGTCTGTGCCTATGGGAGGGATGATGAGATGGTGGAATGAAAGGTACCTTATGTATTTCTTCCATTCCAAATTCCTCTTCATCCCTGTGCTATGGAAAGAGAGAAGGATAGGAGGGAGAATGAAAACAAATGTGAGGATGGAGAAGAAAATGTGGGAGACACAGTGTGGCGGTCACAGACCACCATGACTGATATAAGAGAGAGACCTGATGGTGCATTGCTTGAGTTAACGGAACATATGAGAGGAAACCACAAATGTACACATGAACGCAGAATGACTCTGAAGTTGATTCATCAGTAATTCATGGATAGAGCTACCTGATGACTCTCATCCCAGCCATTCTCATCCCGGGTGCCCAGCTTCGCCCTGTAATAGAGCAAGGTCTCACAGCAGGAGGTTTCACCCCCTGTCAGCACAGTGTGGTACAGCGGGGTCAGGCCACAGCGGTCTTTGTAGTCAGGAGACGCTCCGAGAGACAAAAGAGCCTGGCGGGAAGCATGAGAAGATACAGGTTTTCTAACCCTTCTGCAGCTGTGTGTGTTTGGATGAGTATCAAAGATGCCATAAATCAATCTTCTACTGTCTGATATTCTTTTCTCCAAATTGGAAATTTCCTTCCAATAGCTATTACGGTACCTTATATTTCGATATAACAAAAAACTATAACATATTTTGACGAATTAAATTATCATGGATGGTGTGTCTACTTTTTTGGCCTTCAGTTTGAAAACATACATGAAATAAAGGAACATATCTACCGGAACCTCCCTGGAATTCTTAACTTCCAATAGATTGAAATATAATAAAATAGAATAGAACAGAATAGACAAATCCCTTTCTGTCCAATACCATTTAAATTCAGGTGTGTCAGTTAAAAGCAAACAGCAAATAGAAGCAAACCGATTCACACACCCCTAAAAAAACTATAAAAATCTGCATTAAATATTAGAAAAGACTGTTGATCAAAGGAAAGTAAGCATGAAGAGGTACAGTAGTAGGCATTCAAAATTTCCCCTCTTTCCTTGACGGGCCATGGCTGGTCCTTGGCTGGCCCTTGGCTGGTTCTTAGGTGGTCCTTGACTTGTCCCCTGCAATTCCTATTCAAACATCAATGTTATGATTTCTGGACATTAAGATCTAAAGTAAAGCGCCGCCTCCTGGTCATACGCTGTAATTCAGCGAAAGGGTGCAATCAGAGTAAAAGAATATGCACGCCCAGGAAAAGGAGGGGTTCACTTCATAGGCTGGAAGTTGGAAGGGATTTTGCTGGGAATTGGAGGAAAGTTGGTCGCCATTCGGCTGGTATTTGACTGGGAAGGGCCATTTTTAATGGCTGCTACTGTATAAGGTCATAACAGTTTTATTTGTGGTAAGCTAAACCATATAAGTAACAGTTTATTAATTTAGTCCCATCTGTCTGAGTATGTGGTACATGAAAGCTCTTACCAGCAGTCCAGCATGATTGTGAGCTCTGACAGCTTTGTGCAGCGCTGTCATCCCATCTCTGCTTCTGAAGTCCATGTGGGCTCCACCCAGAACCAGCAGCCTGATTCCCTCCACCGACAGGCCGGACTGCACAGCCACAGAGAGTGGAGTCTCTGAGGAGCACAGGGGGAATCGTTTGATATTTATAATGATTTAGATTTCCAGTCAACCTAAACTCTAATGGATGCCACAACTTTTTTTCTTACTAGTTGAAAAACTATATTGAGAAACTCACCTCCACTGTCAGGGTCATGAAAGTTTGGATCCAGACCTTTATCCAGAACTTTTGCCATTTTTTCCATTGCTCCAGTCTGAACATATTCTATGAACTTCTTCTGACTGGCCTGAATGTGTAACCATGAGAAGAGGATGGTTGTCATGGCTGTTCTGCCACCAACAAACACATTAAGCTGAAAAGAAGAATTACCTTTGTGGTGAGTTTAGCCAGAGCCTTTTCATCCAGGTTGGTTTGCTTATAAACTCTGGTTTTGTACCTAAACTGTGGACAAAAAAAAAAAAAAACAGTAGGATCAGTATGAAAAAGCTAATTATATTGTTCAGGGGCAACATGTGTAGAAAACCATCTTTTTTTTGGTGTGAGCCTGTCGTTCAGAAAACAGAATGGTTGCTATTCTTGTTGTTTGCAGTGAATTTCTCACTGTTTCCAGAAAGTCTCTCTCCCACTCAGACCTGCCAGAACATGGCTGTGATTCATTTCTTCAGAAGTTGGATCTGGATTTATTTATGGAGAAAAAAACAACTTCATTGCATCATTTTCTTTAAGAAAATGTTTTAACGTTTCTTTTTTCACCTGGACATTTATACCTTGTTTAAGTTTATTTTAAGAGCTTGCAGATTAAAAAAAGATAAATTACTCTAGCATATTTACATCTGCCATCTAGAACCCTGTTTCACAGATTGGGTTGCAAGGAACAGAGGGCAGGGACATCTTAAGAAAATAAGTACCTGGAGATCTTTAATTTAAAAAGAGATTAGAACAGCAACAGGCCCGCAGAAAATTATTACAGGTTAAATTTAAATCGCAATCATTTCTAAGACATTTCTTCGATTTAAAGCCAGATGAAACAACTATTTAATTGGAAAAAAATATAATATCTCCAAACAAATCTGACTTTTAAACATTTCTAATTCAGTATGCTTCCGTATAGTTTGCCTTAAGCTGTGAAAACGTATTTAGTAAAAGTCATAAAGCTGAAGTGAAGCAATGTTATTAGAACTAACCTTGAAATCTATTTTCACTTTAGTTGTGATCATTTATCTTCAGAGGTGAGTAGTAACTCGTTACATTTACTCAGTTACATTTACTTGAGAAACTTAGAAAAAGTTAATTATATGAGTAGTTTTACACCGTTTTACTTTAACTTAAAAAATAAATATGATCAAATCTCCCTATCTTTAATGAGGTAACATTTCTAGCTCTTCCATCCATGTTGAGTAACTTCACTTAATGAAAACAAATGGGCAACATTAAGACACAATGTCTTATTTTTGTACTCAAGGCTTTGTGGTTAAATATTGTTTTCCATCTGTTGAGTCTTTTGTGTCATTTGGAAAAATACAGCAAACTGTAACTTAACCTATTCTTACATACTGTAACCATTGATTTTGTTTTATATAACTATTGAGTAATAACTTTTGCAACTCAAAAAGTATCAAATGAGTTGTTATGATGGGTAGTAAGTAGGTCAGTTATTCAGTACTTGAGTAGCCTTTTTACCAAATACCTTTATACTTTCTTTGAGGGTTACTATTTACATTGAATTGATTAAAAATATTACAAAGTACTTTTACTCTTACTTAAGTACCATTATTGGGGAGTCTACCCACCTCTGTTTATCTTTCTGCAGTGGGTTCAACATCTGAACCTTACTGTATTTTAAGGTTTTAAACTCTATCCTATGTTATATTAGGAGAATATGAAGATTTTTGACAGTGGATCCAGTTATTAGAACCACCAGAGGGCACTGTGGGCCATGGAGATTTAACAGACACTTCTCTACAGAAACACAAACACTGAAAAATCGATTTTTTCCCCCATTCTTTATTTATTTAATAAAATAGAAACTATACAATTCTATAAAAAGTTAAACTTAAAATCATTCCTTTGTGTGGAAATCTAAACTGATTTTATTTACAGTATGTGTTATTTTACTTGTTTTATTTCTACAGAAAAATTAGAAATATTTTAATACAAAACAAATATTGAATATATTTTACAAATGATTCAGACCTGGTCTGCTGTTTTACATTTACAGAATACAGCCAGTTCTAAAACTATCTAAAAGGACATTGAAGTCACTGTTTTGAGGCTTTTAAAGATAAATTCTGATCCAATAATACGGGCCAACCAGACTATGTGAAGGCAGAAACAGTCCTGGCAAAAAAGAACCACTACAGAGGCAGATTCTATTGTTTTTGTTGTTTTTATCATCAAACCTTAAAGTAATCATACTAAATATGATAAGTAGTATTAATTAAAATGATCCCAAGCTGTCCTTTCATTCTAGTTTTTCTCAGGAATACCTCAAGGTAGGGAACACCTTTCTCAAAGGTGCGTGCGTAGTCTCGCAGGGGACGCTCCTCCTCGAGGAATTTGGCATCTCGTCCTTCTCCAGCCGGCTGGAAAAGTCCGTAGTTGTAGACGTCCCATAGGGACTCACCGAGCGAGCAGACGATCTGCTGCTTGGCACTCCACACGGTGCAGTCCTGGTCAAACTGGAGACACCTCTGACATGCAAAGACACAGACAAGACACACTTTAAATCATTATTCACTTGAAATATTTTTCTAGAAACTTTTAGTGTTGCCAATGGCAGTGTTAGGCTGTTGTTATGTGTTATCTGTATGGGTTATTTGCCAATAATCATTACAAGCTACTTTAATTAGACCTCTTTGAGGGGAAAGTTCTCCTGGTTCAGTTCCTCTGTAGGTAGCTGTTCATCACTTCTCAGAGAAGTGAGGACTGAAATATTGGTGTCATCAAATCTACATTTTTTGGTCGTGCAGGTGGCGCAGTGTTTAGCTCGCATGACCCATGTAAAAAGGGATGCAGCTGACCAGAGTTCAAATCTGACCTGTGGGTCTTTGCCGCATGTCTCTCCCTCTCACTCATACCCCCTTTCCATTCAGCCTATTGTCAGAAAAATTTGCCACTATTGCTGCAAAAAGTCACATTTTCCTTGTCTTCTGCGTAAAAAGTAAGCTGGATCAGCAACTCCTTGATTTCCCTCTCTCCATCCTGTCATCTCAATCCCCTGCCAGTAGGGGGCTCACCTCGCTGAGCCTGATTCTGTGGGAGGTTTGTCCTGTTAAAAAGCAGCGGCTCCTCCTCACTGTTGCCAAATGCTTGCTCAGGATGAAGGATTGCTGCAGAGTCAACAGCTTGATGCAATTGGCAGGAATTAGATGGTAACTTTTAATGACCTCCTAAAGTTGACTGTGATTCAGTATGTTTTGATCAAATTGGACTGCATAGGCTAGATATAGATTCTATTTATATGAGTAAGACTGACTTGAAATTAATCTGGTTTATATTTGGTTGTGTGGAATCTAATATACATAATAAACATTTTCTAAAAGTGGGTTGAATCCAAGTTTTCTTTAACTCTTACACACATCCTACTGAATCATTTTGATTAAATGCTCTCACCATGCAGGGTTGCTCTACAGTTTATTTAATCTACAGCAAAGCTTTAACATCTCTCAAAGATAACCAGTGTTTGTTTTAAGGGTCAGATGGACCCTAACAATGTTATTTTGGTAAATGTCCTTGTAGTCAGGTTGCTTTTCTATTCAGTGCAGCTGAATGGTTGACAGACCATTTTCAGCCTAAATCTGAAACACTGAAACAAACCTCGATCATAACACTGCTGACGTGATGATGGGATTCATTTGCTTGCTCTGCAACCGAAAGGCTCTTATTGATTTAAATTGGAAGGAATCTAGAACTACTGCAACATATGGATTTTACCTTTGTGTTTTATCAACTTAAAGTAGTGTACATTCCAAAAACAATTTTACCTTACTTTAGCAAGTAGAAGCTGACTATAATAATTTCTTTTATTTATCAATATTGATTCCATTTGAGCTTTTCTTTAAAGAGAGATTATGTAATTTTTATTTTAAAATAGCCTTTTTATTTGACTGTTTACAACTTAAACATGGTTTGATGAGCAGACTGACACCTCAGTAGTTCAGGTTGGATGCATCTATAAGTGTGTAACCTCAAATTACCTTTCGTTGGAAGTTCCCTCACTGTTTGTCAGATGTGATGTCAGGTGTGTCCATGTTACACAATCAAAGCTATGGACATAATTTTCAGGGGGATGAGGGGATATGCCCCCTGCACTTTTTCAAACATCCGTTTGGGTACCCTTTACTGTCCAAAAACAATGTTATGCCACAGAACACAGACATTGTCGAGCACTAGGACCAAGCGGAAAACCGCAGCCAAAGCTGAAGCCCACTTCCCTGAGTTTAGACCGCCCACAAGCTCCTGATTGGCCCACCGTCTTTTCTTATGTTATTGGCTGTCAAACCAGAGAAGTTCACTTTAAAAACATTTGATGTGCCACCGAATCAAGTCTGTGATTGGATCTTTGTTATATTAATAAGTAAGTTATATTATAAACACTTATGTCCCACCCCCCCCACACTTCTGAAATCAAAATTTCGTCCATGATCGAAGCGTTATAATTAACATGGATTTTTTGGTATTCAGAAGCGACCAGAGTCCAGCTCAACTCGGAAACCAATGGCTACTCAAGGTTAGGTGGAAAATGTAGACAAAATTCCAAAAATAGAAAAATAAAAACAATCCACTGGGCTTTGTTTCCAAGCTTGAAGACGTTTTGCTTCCCATCGAGAAAGCTTTCTCAATTCAAAATGTCAGGAATAGCATTGAGTTCGAGATGTAGACAATGTAGACAAAACAGCTTGTTAAGTACAAGCGCGAGCTACGAGAATAAGCAGAAGAATGCTGCTGTTCTATGTTTTTGCCCTCAGGTGGCAGCATCATCAGAAAAACTCTATAATAACCCTTTTATTTGTTTATGTACTTTTCCTTTTTAAACTTATGTAATGGAGTTTTTATGTAATTTTTTTGTTTTTAACCAGGAAAGATAAAATTTAGATCTAATTGTTGTTTAAATTTGTATTCTATTACTGTAGGATTTTGTTTTTTTCAATTATTTGAACCTGTGCTACTTCTATTTTACTTTATCCTCTTTGTTTTAATTTAACCAATAATCTCTTTGATTAGTTCAGTTTATTCAACTTTACTTTTTGTCAAATTTCCAATTATATTTAATTATTTGGGGCGCAGTGGGTAGCACTGCTGCATACAGCAAGAATGTTCTGGGTCCGAGTCCCGGCCCTTTCTGCATGGAGTTTGTATGTTCTCCCTGAGCATGCGTGGGTTCTCTCCGGGTACTCCGGCTTCCTCCCAGAGTCCAAAAACATGACTGTTAGTTTAATTGGCTTCTCTAAATTGTCCTTAGGCTCTTATTGGTCTTATTGGCCTTGTGAGTGTGTGCGTGAATGGTTGTCTGTCCTGTTTGTCCCTGCGACGGACTGGCAACCTTTTCAGGGTGTACCCAGCCTCTCGCCCATTGACAGCTGGAGATAGGCACCAGCAACCCTCGTGACCCCACTTGGGATTAAGCGTGTTAGAAGATGGATGGATAGATTTAATCCTTCATCACTGTCATATTTTGCACATAATACCAGTCAAACAGTTCCTGCTTTGAGGAAGTTTGGCTAATCCCGCTACTAAAATTTCCTGATGTTAAAGCATGAATATGACCACAGTTACAATGTCTGGCGGAGTTTACATCCGGGTGACTGATGTCTGTATATAGGACAGGATTAAAATCCATCTGGAACTTGTTTTATTTCTAGAAAACAGCTGGTAACAACATTTCCATTGGTGTGATCAGGCTATTCATTTTACCGCATTGTCTCTGTTTTGTTAGAATGAAGAAGTTTATTGTTTTTCACTGTACAGTATCGAACTAACTACTCCCGTTCTCTCAACACTGCAGAGAGGATCTTATTGGCCTCCTGTATGTTTTAAACCTGAAGCGTTTTACTGGTCTTAGTGAGAAATTGCCTCAGATGTTTGCTGTGAGGTCTGCCTAACTCGATTTCACTGTGATGTTTCTTCTCTCTCTGTCTCTGCCTTCAAATTATTCAGTTTTCCTGCTTCTCCATAGGAAGACCTTCAAATTGAAACGTCGCTGACGGCTCACAGAAAGCTGGGCTTTAACAGCAGGGGTGGAGCTTTACTTGTATTTCTGAGAACTGTAAGTAAAACTGCACGGCTCAGCATCGCTCTTATACATCCCCCCTCCCTTCCTAGGTGGCATTATTTGATAGTATAGCCAAGAATATTGGCATGGCAACCGGTTCATTACAGGAGGAAGGAACCGGTTGCCTTAGCAATGTCTTCCTGGTCCCTTGGCGGTATACAACATGACGTGCACGAGCAAACGTTTCTTGCACACATGTTTAAATGAGCGTATGTGTATTTGTGTCTGTGTGTTTGAATGGGAGAGGGAATGCAGTGTTTACGTTTCTGCTCTGCTGTGTGAGAGACTGGATAGCTTATCCCTTGGAGAGAGAAGACCCATATAATTCAGGCTGTATGTCACATTGACACTGTAGTATCCAAGTCTTTCTGCATCCAAACTTTTGCACTATTGTAATCTAATTGTAGCACACCTCTTCTTCTCCAGCTCATCATATTCATGCCTTTCCTTTATGTCCCTTTAATTCATTTAAGTGACGTTTGTGCTGAAGGGTTTCAAAGCACTGTGAGTTTTTTTTTTTTTCCCAGTTTGGCGCAGAGCTGAATGTGTCGCCTGTGGCTGGTTTAAGGCTTAAGAACAACACAGAAACCCTCTCTAAGTGTTTTTAGCCATCCAGAGTGACTCACTCCTCAGCTCTCCCCAAACTCATTAAAAACCTATTAGATAATTAGCAAGTACTGTTATATTGAGGGCAGATTAGCTGACATGTGGAACACTTGGCATGTTCAGGGACTTGGAAATGGAGAAAGGAAGACGGGGGAGGGCAGGAATGGTGGGGCTTTCTCACCTTGATGGGCTATATGTGTGGGAACACCAATTCTCACCTGCCACCACTGGCACGCGGGCAGCTGCAGGAAGTGTTAAATGATGCCTAATTCAGATTTGGATCCTAATTATGACAATGCTTGACCCAAGGCAGAGGCTCGCATCATAATGTTGACTGAATGCGTCTGTTTTTCACTCCTCCTCAGCAGTAGGGAGGCTATGTTTTATCTTCCTTAATTATTTTCGGGACATTTAATGACATGATATAAAAACAATTTAAACCAATATTTTCTTCTGTAATAATGATTTATTTTTTCTGGCGTTTAGGTCTATTAACCACTAACAATGTTGGGATGCTAACAAACCATATACAAAAATATCTGGTTTGATTTATTTGCACAAAGTGAAACAAAAAAGCTTAGACATCTATTTATCAGAGCAGGTACATTGGCCTGAGTAAACAAAATATATAAATGTAGTTATATTTTGTATTTGCATAAATGTTTTAATACAGTCTTTAAACACCTGACTTTGGAAATAATTGTATTCTGGTCATTGTGATTACCTTATTTTTAAAATTTAATAAGTTTTTCAGATAAAACAGTTACCCTGTATCTAAGTTACCTTTTTTATCAAAGACTTTTTAACCCTTTTTCAAGTATTTTCTTGGATGCTACTAAGAAAATTAAAATAATCAGACTCTTACTTAAGGATAATTTTTGGACACCCTGCCCACAGCTGAAAAAAATCTGTTCTTATCCATACCTTTGGTCTTTTTATGCTGTAGAAACATCTTATTCTACTCTGTATTTTTTGCACTGCTTTCGACCCTCTGCTCCTCCTTCTTTGCCTTTGTTCTCCTCAGCTCCCCCACCACGCCAGAACACCCCCAAGTCACTTCCTGACAGGCTGGACACATGTTCAGGCAGTAGGAATGAGCTCATCACTCAATGACATCCTTAGCATCTTCACCAGAGAGAGATAATATTAGAGCTCAGGCGCCAAACTCACCTAATTTCAACCTAATTTCCAGACTTTGATAAGGAACCAAGATGAGAATTAAGCTTGAGCTTCCTGGTCCTGGTTGCATGTTTGTTGGAGTAAATGTCAGTCTAATAACACAGAAAAAAACAGTCTGACTAAAAAAACAGTCTGACTCTTTCTGGTTATTTTAAAGAAATATATATGTATGAGGAGTCAATATATTTTATGCTGCTTATTCTATTTAAAAATATTATTGTGAATGTGGGTAGTTTTCCCAACAATCAATAGAAGTATTCAAATTAAAAGCTGAATTCTTCTATATGTTTTAATGTTTTATTAATATGCTGCAATAGATAACAGGTTAGTAATTATGGGGGGAGTATGGTGTTAGATTTATTGTGGTAAAACCAATATAAACCAGTTTTATTTGTGTTTTTCAAATGTGTTAAGTAAGTAATGTTTATTTATATAGCACCTTTCACCTTCCCTTTGTGACCTCTATGTCACGTTTTAAGGTTAAAACGTGTCTAAAGCCTTACTATACAACAGTTATATGGATATTTTTGTAGTTCTTGTGTCAAATCAAACTAAATCTTTCTCTGAGGCAGCAATACCAGAGAGACTTGGCTTGAACTATTTCCTCATTTGGAAAGACCTCCAGTCAGTGCCCTGCTTGCAAAGGGGATGAAATGTCTTGAAATGTTCTCTGTGCTTTTCTGTTTTAAAACTTTAATGATTTTGGCCTTAAAGTAGTTTTAAATTATGATTGTGGGGCCCTTGTGAGAATTTAGGCATATGTTTTCACTCAGTGTTTCTAATGCACGTACTGTTTGTTTGATGTCAGGGATCCCGATGCGAAACACCATCATGGTCAGGAAGGTGTCCTCCTGAGGAGCCATTGTGGTCATGCTGCGTTCCATGAGAGCTCGTCTCTTTGCTGCCATGAGATGTTGCTGCTGCAGCTTGTTAGTAGTGTGATGATATGGTTGGGCCGCATTGGACATGTTGGGGATGCCCCGGGCGTTTGGGTTAACTGGCCTCAGCGGCCGGTCCACTCTCTGTCTACCAACCACAATAGCTGCAGGTTTCACCACCTCACTGCCCTTCCCTTCCCAGGATTGCCGTCCTCCGATCATTTCCTTCTCTTCCAGACCTTCTAGTCCTCCGTTCTCCCTGCTACGTTGAGCAGGGTCATTTCTCGTCTCTCGACTTTGCTCTTCTTCCTCGTCCTCATCCTCCCCATCTTTGTCATCCTGACTGGAATAAAAATGCTCATTATTTCCCAGCATCCTTTGTGAAAGCCCTTTGGGAAACTCCTCCAACTCCCATTGTCATTGTGACACAGCACACACAAGTGAACACTGCACACCATGAAATTGCATTTATGCCTCACCCGTGCAAGGGGGCAGCCCTCAATGGCGCCCCAAGGGAGCAGTGTGGCGGGACGGTACCATGCTCAGGGTACCTCAGTCATGGAGGAGAATGGGGGAGAGCGCTGGTTAATTACTCCCCCCACCAACCTGGCGGGTCAGGAGTCGAACCGGTAACCTTTGGGATCCAAGTCTGACACCCTAACCGCTCACCCACGACTGCCCACCTTTGCTGTGCAGGTGGTCACTGCAACGAGGGCTGAGGGATTTGGCTGTCATGGAGACAAAACATGGCTATCCCATGAGACCGGCTTCATCCTTGGAAACATGCTGTGGGGAAAACAGGCAGAGAACGTAGTAAACTTAGGTCACTGGGCTCAAATACAGACATAAAGTCAACAAAATTAGAAAGAGCGTAATTCAAACATGTAAAAGACAAGTACAATAATAGTTCTACTAGCCAGTGGAAATGTTAATAAGTCCACATGTGTGAAGTAGCACAGAGCTGGTCCACATTTCCCATTTAGCCACTAGGAATGCACCAGGGAGCAGCAGGCTGATGGAAGACAGGCTAAATATAAACTCTGTGAATTTGCATCACAGGTTTTTTGCAGAGCAGAGTGAGGTGGATGTGCAATGTGGCATCACACGAGGTCAAGATCATCTCTACATCGTTCTAATAGAGAAGCCAAATTTTAGAGATGCAGTCTGTCATGGAAAATAGGGATCTGATGAACACTTTTAAATGTATTCTGTTCCAGTGTAGGCTATTCTGTTCCTTAAATTAAGAAAAATAACGGCTCTCACTTTTTCTTCTGACATAGCTGGTTCCTTTGTTATCATTATTGCAATGATGGTTTCTGTTAAGGTGTCCGCTGTCCAGTTCCCTTCTTTAGCAGACTTTTTAAAACTTTGTGTGTTTCAGGAAAAAAAAAAACATAAATTTTTAAAGTGAAAAAGGTCAAACGTTTAAGTTAAATTTAAATTATTGATGATAATGATTACTGGGACTGAGAATCTACATTAACTACAGAGAAAATACATTAAGTTGTTAATTTTTTAGCCACTGTGTAAACAGTCCTTTGTAAAAAAAAAAAAAAAAAAAAAACATTTACACTGACCTGCAGCACTTGAACCTGTCATATTTTGTCAAACAGAAAGTAAAATTGGTTTCATAGGATGTAATGTGATTGACCAACACAAAACAACTAGTGTTTCATTTAAATCTTTTATAATATTCTTGCCATTTGGGGTTTTCAGTGCTAGTTTTTATGGTCATTATTCCAGTCTTTTTCTGTGCCTATTTTCTTGTATATTCCTTAGTGTAACTAGCCAGTTATGCCAATGCTTTCTCAGCTATTCCTTATGTATTAATGGAAATGATCTGGTTGTTTATTCTTTGCATTTCTCCCCATATGTCCCTGTTGTATAATTTTCCCTCAGCCAGAGATCTCAGCTAATATCAGCTTAACATTTGTTTTGTTTTCCCCATAATTCAAGCCTTTGGTTTGCTGTTAGTCTTCATTTGTTTCTCTGTTTTGTCACCGTGCCTGAATTATGTGTCTGTAAAGGTATTATTTTGTTACGTTTGTGATTCACCATACTGCCTCCTAGTGTCTGTCTGCACTTTGGTTCAGAAGAACTATCTCTAGCATCTTACATACTCTATTTAAGTGACCTATTCAGCTCTGTGTCATTTAAGTTTAACTGTTCTGTTTCCGGTCTAAGAGGTTCTTCAGAGAGTATTAGAGAACCACCAGCCTCATGAAGACCAAGGACATCAGGAGGAAGTTCTGGAGAAGTTTAAAGTGGGGTTAGGTTCTACTACAGAGTCCTGATCTTTGAGCATCTGCCAGAGCTCTGTTCAATCCATCATCTGAGCATAGAGAGAAGATAGACAACTGCAAACCTAGCAAGATATGGCCGTCCACCTGAATGCAGCAGCATCAAGCAGCCAAGAGGCCAACGGTTCCTCGGAAAGAGCGGAGGAGATCCACAGCTGAGCAGAAGATGCAGGGGGATAAGTAGGCTTATAAATAACACACTTCACAAATCTTTTTTGTGGAAGAATGGCTAAAGGAAAGGCATTAATAAGCAGAGGCCATTTTTTTATTAAAATAAATGTTTGCCATTTTTGATGCAGACAACATAACAAAAATGTCAATGAAGACCTTTTGTATAAAAATGAGCTATTTAACATAAATGCAATATTTGGCAGAAGCCAGACATTGAAGGTTACTTTGAACACACAGTCAGCACTGCGAGACATGATGATGGCAGCACCATGCAATGTGAAAGATTTTCTTTACCCAGAAAAGGAAGGAGCCTGAATCTTTGTTAAGATGGTGATAAATACGGGCCGCTCCTAGAGGAAAACTTGTTAGTGGCTGTAAAACTAAACTTTATAAAAGAACCTGAAAATAAGAGCCTGTTGTGTTTTTTTGGTTTTGCTTGTTTCCATAGCAACATGTCTGAATGCAGTTGAACCTGCTAGTCGTTCTGGCAGCTAACATGTTGTCATATATACAATAAGTTGAAACCTTTATCCTGATGCTTTTGTGAAAATATTAGCTAAGGCCAAAGGTTTTACAACTTGGAGAATGAATGTAGACTGAAGGACATTTTGCACACCAGTGAGTTCAGGTTCTTTTGTGGTTCCTTGATCTCTTGGAATCAATCAATATGAAAGATACTCCTCTTCCAGCTTCAACTTTAACATTTGGAAAAGATGCCCCATGGCCTCCATACAAAGAGAATCAGGAGATCCCTGTAAATTGCTTGGTGCTTGTTTAGAATAAATCTAGGTCTAAATATGAATTAAGTGATATTGCTTAGCTCAAGATCTCCTTTTGAATCAAAAAGAACTGCATCATGAGAATTTCTCCAAGCAACTGGGTCGCATGAACATCTTAACATCAGTCAATCTACTCAATACCTTCTACCGTATATAAATGTATGTCACATTCATATGGGTGACCTGTTAATTCTGTGTATTTAAGAAATTGTTATGATTATAGTCTTAGGATTTTTTTTTTTTAAAGCTTGATCCATTTTAAGACGCACTGCAACTATAATCAATCCAGGGAGAAAATTACCTAAAAGAGGGAATCTGTGACCCGTTTCATTTCTTTTTGGTGACTGAAATACCCAAGGGTTTAAAAACAAGATTTTTAACCATCGGAATGATACCAAAGCAGGATTGTTACTTCAGATGTCTCCTCCTAGATAAAAAATGATTTCTTTCACTTATTTCCATCACTTCACTGTACATCCCATTTCCAATACTGGGTCCTGCTGATGTTCTGTCCTGGGAAGGTAGATGCGGTCATCTAACTGCCTAATTCTCCACCAGTTCGGTGCCCACGTTTGCCTACCTACTGGAGAATGACGCAGGGGGTCTCCCAGTATGTGATTGGCAGACCGGCGCTCTGAATTTAATACGAGTTGGCAGCTGAAATTGTGCCGTATCAAAATGAACAGATGGACAGATAAATCCCACAGAGACTCAACTGGAATCAGAACACAAATCTAAACGCATCCAGATACAGGTCGCTGTCATGCAGAAGATGCTGTGGTGATGAGCGGTTAATGAGGAGTGCTTGGTGCAGATCACAATATGAGGTTTATTTAATCGTCTTTGACTTTGCTCAGTTAACCTCCGACGTAAGTTTCTGACTCATCTTTCAAATCTGTTAATAAAAGAAAGGAGTCAACAGCTCTTTAAGCTGTATAAACTTTGTCGATAAAAATCCACACAAAAAAGAAACCTCTAATTTCCCTTTTTTAGTGGCCACTTTTTATGCCACTTGGTATGCATCTTATATAAAAGAAGCCAATGACGTCTACATTAAATATAAGGGAGAAAAGCCCTTGAAATCACATAACATATGGCTGTCTGGGATGGGAGGAATGGCTCTGAGTATAGCCAAGCATGTGAGGGTTGTTTTCTCCTTATTGTTTGCAGGATCTAGGCCCTTCAGTAACTAAATACTTTCATATAGGGCCAACCCAGTGTGTGAGAGCACACTCAATAAATGTTAAAAACAACTAAACAAATTTTTGTTCTCTCATTTTTAAATCAAACTAAATCCCATATATGGTATTATGAAAATAAGAAAAAATTGTCAGAGAGTGACATAGCTGTGTCTAAACAAACAGTTTAATCAATAAAAAATGGCTCTTTGGTTTATAAAGGTTACTGACCCCAGCTCTAGGCTGTTCTGCACATGCAGGCATGTTAAGGCTAACTGCTAGGATTGGGTTAACATCTCTGTCTGTCCGTTAATAATGTTCAGGAGACCATCGTGTTCGAATATTCAGGCTATTAATGATCGCTCTAGATCTTTAATAATTAAATCATTCAAGTTCTGATTCAGTATAACTGAAATGCAAGAAGTACTCTCAGAGAAGCTTCAAATAATCTATAAACTCCCCTAAGAGAGGAATTTATTTACAAACATGAATAAAGATGAAAAAAAACAATAACAAGTGGTTGCTTTTAAATGAAATATGATCCATTTCTTATGTGTTATGGGATGTCATTGTTGATGTATTTAAACCCATGTAAAACTCAGCATGGTTGTTAAGAAAACAAATGACCTAAGGTTAGTTCCTACCCTCAAGCTTCATAATATATCTTATCATCTTAGAGAGGCATTCAGACAATAAAGAAACTTATCACAGCTCTTTAGATTTTACTTTTTTCAGTAATTCAAAGAAGATGCTCTGCAGCTTCACTTCTGAGAAAATATTTCCTGGATACAAAGATGTAAGCATATGCAAGGTCTTTCTATATTACATCCCACAGAAGTTTTTTGTGCTGAAGTGGAGCAGCTCATGGAGGAAGATAACACAGCTGTCTGTATCCATTTAACTCAGCTTATAGTGACACTATAGTGAAAAGAAGCAGGAGTTATTTTTTTGTCTCAGAACCTAGTCCTTAAGGTTAAGGTTTGTCTGCCGCTATTGTGTGCATACTGTAAGATTGAAATTTATAGGAAAATCGATAAAGGTTTGACAGAATAAAAAAAAACAAATTAGACAAATTTAACTGAGATTAACTCATTTTACACATAGAAAGTTGGTTTTATTTTCACTCTAACACTGCAGAAAGAAGGGCTTTGAGAAGTGAGTGTTCTCTTCCTGCCTACAATTTCAGAAGCTCCTCTGTTTTTATTGGTGTTCAATTGAATGTTGTTATTTTTTCAAGGAAAGACTCTGGGTTTGTGCAGTGCAAACCAAAAAGCACCAGATTTAATCCTTTTTCAGCCCAGCTGGTAAAACAACTTTCATCAAAAGTTGCAATTTCAAGAGCTGTACGCAATATAAGG